TATTACTCTAATATCTATACACACAGTGACAGACCCCATTCCCCATATTACTCTAATATCTATACACACAGTGACAGACCCCATTCCCCATATTACTCTATATCTATACACATAGTGACAGACCCCATTCCCCATATTACTCTTTATCTATACACACAGTGACACACAGACCCCATTCCCCATATTACTCTATATCTATACACACAGTGACACTCAGACCCCATTCCCCATATTACTCTATATCTATACACACAGTGACACACAGACCCCATTCCCCCATATTACTCTATATCTATACACACAGTGACAGTCAGACCCCATTCCCCCATATTACTCTATATCTATACACACAGTGACAGTCAGACCCCATTCCCCAATATTACTCTATATCTATACACACAGTGACACACAGACCCCATTCCCCATATTACTCTATATCTATACACACAGTGACAGACCCCATTCCCCATATTACTCTATATCTATACACACAGTGACACTCAGACCCCATTCCCCATATTACTCTATATCTATACACACAGTGACAGTCAGATCCCATTCCCCATATTACTCTATATCTATATTTATATCGCTGGGTTACTCACCAGACCAGGTCTCCTTGTCGCAGGCTCACAGCCGCCATTTTACCGACACAGCCGCTGAGGGGAGTTGGGGGGGGACAGGAAGGAATACAGGCCGCGCGAAGGATGCCGGGAACAGGAAACACTCCCACCCGCCGCGTGCCGCTCGCTCCCAGGACCGCCGAGTGCCGGGCACGCGCAGCGCGTGAATCCACCGCCGTCAGCAGCGACCCCCCCCTTTCCAACGGTCCAATCAGCGCAGAGCGAGGAAACGTCCCGAACGGCCACGCCCAGAAGCTCGCGCTCCAGGGACGCTGCCTGCGTCCTATTGGTTAGACCGCGTCACGTGACGGGTCCAGGTCTGACCGCGGCTGTTGTTGTTGTCCTGTGATGGGGGGGGGAGGAAGGATTGATCACGTGATTGGTTCAGAGGGCAGGTATTTGCCGCTTCCCTGGAAACCACGTGACAGCCAGTGACGTCAGTGACACGGCGCTCTGTAACCGGGTGTCCGGACCGGGGAACCCCGCGGTAAGTGAGCAGCAACCGGGCAGCGCGAGCAGCGGCCCTAGGGAGGGCGGGACCTAGCGTTATAACAGGAGAACTTCCGGCTGGTGATCATTCCTTCCCTCTGGTTATACAGTGGGCCAGTCTCACCCCCCCACGGAGAATGAAATGGAACATTCCTGTGCTATAAATAACAGTGACACCACAGGGACCGCTTCAGTCAGAGACCGGGGGGAGACCTGGCCGGTATCCCGGGTTACTGACTGAGACACGGCCGGTATCCCGGGTTACTGACTGAGACCTGGCCGGTATCCCGGGTTACTGACTGAGACACGGCCGGTATCCCTGGTTACTGACTGAGACACGGCCGGTATCCCGGGTTACTGACTGAGACCTGGCCGGTATCCCGGGTTACTGACTGAGACCTGGCCGGTATCCCGGGTTACTGACTGAGACATGGCCGGTATCCCGGGTTACTGACTGAGACCTGGCCGGTATCCCGGGTTACTGACTGAGACCTGGCCGGTATCCCGGGTTACTGACTGAGACCTGGCCGGTATCCCGGGTTACTGACTGAGACCTGGCCGGTATCCCGGGTTACTGACTGAGACCTGGCCGGTATCCCGGGTTACTGACTGAGACACGGCCGGTATCCCGGGTTACTGACTGAGACCTGGCCGGTATCCCGGGTTACTGACTGAGACCTGGCCGGTATCCCGGGTTACTGACTGAGACCTGGCCGGTATCCCGGGTTACTGACTGAGACCTGGCCGGTATCCCGGGTTACTGACTGAGACCTGGCCGGTATCCCGGGTTACTGACTGAGACCTGGCCGGTATCCCGGGTTACTGACTGAGACCTGGCCGGTATCCCGGGTTACTGACTGAGACCCGGCCGGTATCCCGGGTTACTGACTGAGACCTGGCCGGTATCCCGGGTTACTGACTGAGACCTGGCCGGTATCCCGGGTTACTGACTGAGACACGGCCGGTATCCCGGGTTACTGACTGAGACCTGGCCGGTATCCCGGGTTACTGACTGAGACCTGGCCGGTATCCCGGGTTACTGACTGAGACCTGGCCGGTATCCCGGGTTACTGACTGAGACGTGGCCGGTATCCCGGGTTACTGACTGAGACCTGCCCGGTATCCCGGGTTACTGACTGAGACGCGGCCGGTATCCCGGGTTACTGACTGAGACCTGGCCGGTATCCCGGGTTACTGACTGAGACGCGGCCGCTATCCTGGGTTACTGACTGAGACTCGGCCGGTATCCCGGGTTACTGACTGAGACACGGCCGCTATCCCGGGTTACTGACTGAGACTCGGCCGCTATCCCGGGTTACTGACTGAGACTCTGCCGGTATCCCGGGTTACTGACTGAGACACGGCCGGTATCCCGGGTTACTGACTGAGCCACGGCCGGTATCCCGGGTTACTGACTGAGACTCGGCCGCTATCCCGGGTTACTGACTGAGACTCGGCCGCTATCCCGGGATACTGACTGAGACACGGCCGCTATCCCGGGTTACTGACTGAGACACGGCCGGTCTCCCGGGTGACTGACTGGGAGCAGGGGGAGACGCGGCCGGTCTCCCGGGTGGCTGACTGGGAGCAGGGGAAGACGTGGCCGGTCTCCCGGGTTACTCACTGGGAGCCGGTGGAGACATGGCCGGTCTCCTGGGTTACTTACTGATTTGAGGGTCAGGGCTGAGGGAGACTTGGCTGGTCTCCTGGATTACTGACTGAGTTTTCCCTGAGGGGCAGATCACATACCTGCCATTCTCACTAACACATTCTTCTGCCTTACAGGGAACTCTCTATACTGGGAAAGAGCACAATAGCTGAACAAAACCTACATCTAACCTGTGCTTTATTTTTTTTAATGCATTCAATAAGTCCATTAACCCTTGTAGTGCCTGGTGCGCAGGCTTATCCCATTCCTTTACAGTAGCTCAAGGCATCATAGGTCGACTATGTTACACTACCAGAGTAATGGCAATTCTGCTTTAAATTTCCCTTACTATGTTTAAACATCTTCATTAGACTGTTCCGAGTGGCAGGACCTCAGACATTCGCTTAAATCAGCATTATTCTTATAGACCTATAAAGTTCCTCGCTGCCACAAATTTACTTTTAAAATATAATTTAATTTATCACTCGGAGGAGCAAGTCAATAAATACATTTATTTAAATTGGGAACTTAAGGCATTCTTTGCTGTCATCACTGTAAAAAAAAATATATATATGTGTGTGTGTGGTAAAATCACACAAAAACTTATTTGAAAGCGTTCATCTATCGCGAAAAGTACAACAACCATTTCTAAAGAATTTCACAATTCTATAACTCTTTCGAACTAATCATAACTCCCTTCTTGTGCAGTTTATTTGCGGAGAAGGAGTACTGTAATAACGGATTCTCATCGGACTTGTTGAGAGCAACGATATCACCAATCCCAAAACCAGGAAAGTACCCTTGTTATATAAGTAGTTATCGCCTGATCCCAATAATAAACCAAGATATAAACATTTTTCTAAAATTATGGTTGATAGACTTAGCTTATTCCTGATTTAATTCATATAGACCAAACAGGATTTATAAGATCGAAATCGGCCGGCGGCAACGTTCGAAAGATCCTACATTTAATGATAGAAGTTAATAATGAACATATTCCTTCTGCTTTAATTGCTGTTGATGCTGAAAAGGCATTCGACAGAGTAAATTGGAATTTTTTTGTCAGCAACCCTTTCTGCTTTTGGTATAGAGGGAAAATTTAAAGACCTAACACTATCATTATATTCTACTCCTTTAGCGAAAGTGTATGGCAATGGCCTAAATTCTACTTTTTTTTTTTTTATTTGGTATGGCACTCGACAAGGCTGTCCATTAGCACCCCTCCTTTATATTTTATCCATTGTGTCTCTTGCAGCTTTTGTCAGATTATCAAGTAATATTTCAGGTGTCATTTTAGCAAGCCAATAACAGAAAATAACATATTTGCCGATTTATGTAATTTTGACCTTGATTAATCTAGAAATGTCTATTCCAGCAGTAATGAGCTGTATAGAGGAATTCAGCTCCCTCTCCAACTATAAAATTAATATACATAAGACCCAGTTATTTATAACAAACATTCACAGGTTGAATCTTTATCAAAAAACTCTAGATTTAATTGGTCTAATGATTCTATCTTATATCTCGGAATTAAGATAAATTTTAACAATAGTTCTTGCCTTCAGGAAAACTATAATGAACTGCTCCAAGAGCTTAAAGAGCTGACAGATAAATGGAGTAAAATACAGCTCTCCTGGCTTGGGAGGATAAATACTCTCAGATCCTATTTACTCCCAAAGTTAGAATATCTTTTTTTGGAGAATACCTCCTAGAGTCCTGATAATAATTTTGAGATTATTTCATAGACTATTGGTATCATACGTTTGGGGGAGCAAAAAAACTTGAATTGCCCTTGCAACCATGAGAACTAGAACATCAGAGGGGGGGGTTATCCTTTCCCAATGTTTTTCTTATTCACGACACTGTTTGTTTTCACATTTTCTTGAATGGGGAAACTATTATTCTTTTATGAAACGTGTGTGTGTGTGTGTAAGATGTGTGGATTTGATCCTTTCCACCTTTTTTGGATAGATAAAAACCATATATAGAAATTTGAGGATTGACAACTTAGTTCTAAATCAAGTCTTTTACTCCGTAGAGTGTAGAATATTGCATATTCTATGTTTCTATTGATTATATGTGGATGTGTGGATTGACATAACTAACAGATGGTCTAAGTCCCATGACTTTCTTTGTCTGAGAGCTCCGGAATGTGGATTTGGGGGTCTTGTCCTTATATGGCTAGAGTTAAACTCTGACGTCAGTATAGGCACATCTATAGAGTAACAGAGGGACACGGGCTCTCTCTCGATGTAAGGATGTAACTCTCCCGTCAGAAGTCCAGCAATTACCATCTGCTGTTGAATGTCCATTATCCTGTAACATCCTTTGTTGTTTTATTATGTATCAGTAACTAAGAATAAACCTGAAGAAACCGTAAATCAGGTTGCGTAGTACGTCTTTTCATTGATATAGACCTATATTAATGTGGCGAGCAAATTTGGCCCAAGACACTATATATAATATATATATATTATATAAATATATCACACACACACAAAAGATGTATATATCAGTCAACAGAAGAGAAGAAGAAATTAAGAAGATTTAACGTTGACGATCGATTCCAACCAGATTTTACAAGAGCCAATAAAGAAGGTATTTTTTCAGACAAGCAACTTTCTAAGCATACCCCATTGAAAGCTTTGAAATTATTTATTCAAAATATGAATCTGAGAGGTTGATCAGACGCAGGATTAATAAGAATAAAAGATTTATTATGCTGGTAAAATGCAAGTTTTTAGATCTACAAATGAGATCAAATCTTGATGATAAAGAATTATATACATATATAGGAATAGAAGATTTGTGCTGTGAAAAAAAATACAACTTTTACAGTGAAAAATGTAACAATAACAAAATTATACCTATAAACACATAAGCGTTTAATAAGAATAGTGTTAAAGAGCTTTGTGGCCCCCTTCAGCTCTTTTGCTTAGTGGCTGTATAGCTTGCGCATGCACAGTGGCAGCCATTGGCATCTGTTGTACACCTGGTCAGCTGACCCATGGTGGATGTTGATAGATGCTAATCGAAACTCCACAGATAAGGCAAAGTAGTTCAGATTTTGTATTATGAACACTGTCGAGCATGTTGGAGTTTCAGTTTTTCATTAACATTCTGTGTCCTTGCCTATATAGAGTTAAAAAGTGAATTAAATGCTTTTGTTGTCAAGTTCCTAAACACTTCTTTGAAAGGATAATACATATTTTGTCAAATCAGTTACTAAATGAACATTTGGATGTAAAATAAATGTTATGTTTTGACATAAAACCAAGGGACGTGCCCAGCGGATCTAGGCTAGATAACCACTCCACCAAGTTGTGTGATATGTTACCTGAAGTGCCCCTTTAAATTTCGCCAAGATTGAACTTTAGGACAAACATTGTCCATGGACCTTTACAGTCCCAAAGGTATATATGATAAAACCGTGGAAAGTGGGAGGCTTTCTGATTGAGCTGATATGTGGTGTTAAATCAGTTAGTGTTTTACTGACTAATCGCTCTTTTCTCATAGGATAAAGTGACAGCAATGCAGCTGAAATGGAACCTATTTGTCACATGTCACTTCTTCTAAACAGTCACTGGTTTTCATTTTTTGGACGTCCCTATGCTCAACGAACGGTGTGACTAAGTGGTATTACATCTAAACAAGTGTCTATATAACCGCTGAGGTCTCCTTCTCTCTCGGACGCTACATTCTGTCCTAGCAATGGGCACTCAAAGTTGAAGGTAGATACTTTTATCAGGGAATAATGGCAGAGCCCCGACGGGTGCAGCTAGCTTGCCTTTCTCCAGTTACTACCCTGCATCCCCCTCCTTCCAAGAAACCTCGGACCGATGAACCCGAGTCTGAGACCCCAGTGGCTGCCACTGTCCGAATTGCTCTGTCGTTGTTTGAACCAGATCAGAAGAGGTGCCCAGAGTTTTGTTACCCAGAACTAGTGAGGAACCTCGGTGAGAGGGGCAGTAAAGTCTCATCATCCGAAAAGGTGAGTCTTTTTAAGGTCTTATTGATCATTGCATAATGTTTGTTCTGTATTGCCGTAATGCTTAGCGTTTATCCTTAATTGTAATTCTAGAAAAAGGAAAATATACCCAACAATGCCAAAAATTCTTCAAATACAAAATTCAGTAAATTGTATGTTCTTCATTAATGTTTGTTTTTGTTTGTTTGCTTTTTTATGGTTGAATCTTTTTATTGTAGTTTATCACATTACCACTCCCCAAAAACAGGAAAAAAAATGTAAAATCATTTTAGGCTAATTTCCATGTTAAACGCACATTTTAAACCTTGCAATAACATTGCTATTGTTTCCCACTTCTCCAAAAAGATCCATGATTTGTAAAGTCCTCTGTAATGCTTGAAAAGTTTTGAAATGTCTGTAGGTTGCATGGAAGGCTTTTGTCTGACCTACCTGTGCTGGTATGTCAGGTGTTGTACAAAAATTAGATATCTTTACTGTGTTGGCATCCCTAAATCCTAATTTTATCATTTGGCTCCTTGTCCGCTCAGCATAGAATGAAATAATACTAGAAAAAGGAGATTGCTCTCTGTCTTTAGCCCGTATCTATATAAATGATCTCCTATTCAGACATCGCTGGAATTAAGCTATGAAAACGATCCTATATTACTGTCTCTCTGCTTTATCATTGTCTGTTTACCTACGGAACTTAAATTTATCCTCCATAACAGACTTTCCCTTTATGGCTAATCCAAGGCTGTTTATTCACTAAACTCCAAATATTAGTGAATTGAAACTCCAGTTTTTCCCTTCACTGCAGTTTGCCGTTTTGTGAATAAATCCTAAGGTCTTCACTGTTCAGCTGCGATGGCCATCACTTACATTGACACAAGAAATGTAGGTATGTTTAGTTTTGGGAGAGGGGGGGGGGGATTGACACCTAAGAACCAATCTTGTGGATGACTGGTTTATAGATATATTCTATACATTGCTGGCACATGTCCAGATTAAAAGATAAAGAATTACACTCTGCACCGCATGGCACTCTGAGCTGGATGGAATGGCTGTAGAGGCTGCCGTCCCATACAACATGATCGAAATTCCATAAATTATAGTGTGCAGGTGCATTGTGGGAACCTGCAGTATCCTTTGGAGGCCGGTGGTTGCTAGAGCAGGAGCTCGGGGGCAACCTTATATTGAATTTTTACTACTTTACGAGTAGCATAACCGTGATGTCCTGAAGGTCAAAATAGGAAATAACTCTTCTATATATTTGCTAGTACAATACACACAATACAAAATATGACACGTCGGGCATTACAGGAGCATCTTAAAATATGTATATGTGTGTGTGTTATTGTTTAGTAACTTTACATGCATACCAGAGACCAGAGGTATTTTGGGAATTCTCCTCTCCATAGCAACCGATACCCCAGGGAGATGTATAAATAATAAAGCTTTCTCTGCTGCCCAGTGCACTTTATTTGGTCATATTATTGCCTTAGTGCTTGTACTCTGGATAAGGAAATGCGGAAGGGGCACAATTGCATCTCCTTATGTTATTATCTTAATGTTGTCTTTTTTTGCAACTATTATTATTATATAATATCCGATAAATACATATACAGGACGGTGTCGTGTTGTAAAATAGGTTTAAAAAACAGATCTATATCTTCTGCATCTGAATTCTAATTATTGTTTAAGATTGTGTCTATTTTGGAATGGCTCATCAAATTTTCTGGCACCTTTGACTTTAAAATTAAGCAGATATTTTGTACATAAATCACATTTTTCTCTTGCTGAAAACACATGCATACTCAGTGCTTGGCAAAAAATAAGGCCAATTGGACTATTCTTGGCATTACAGATATCTCCCCAATTACGTTCCCTTTTCACTTTCCCCACTGACTTTCTCTGTAATTTAGAAAACAGAGAGAAGCAGTGACACAGGTGCAGGCCGAGAACTCATGTATCCCAAGTGGAACACATGAGAAATAACAGTGTATGTTATTTATCGACAGAAACCTCAGAACTGCTATCGCACAGCTTTTGGAGAGTGCAAAGTAAGCCCTGGGCAATGTGCCATAGTCCCCCCTAGGTGCTTTGAGCTCATTCTAACCGCATGGCTGTTGTCACAGGCCATCAGCAGTAGCATTCAATATAAAGCTTGGTAGAGATTGTAAAAATCCGCTTGTTAGCAATCAGTCTTCACCGCTAATAAACTCACATTTATTCCAGCGCCCCACTGATCTTCTGTCGCTCACCCCTTTAGCTGAGATAATCAGAATTGACTATCTCAGCCAATCCAATGCTTTCCCATAGGATAATGCTGCACTACACCAATCAGGATCTCCTCATTGAGGTGCATTGAATCTCTGAAAAGCCTGTTTACTTTAAAATGCCGGTAAGGACAGGACACCAGAACAACAACATTAAGCTGTATTGTTCTGGTGACTGTAGTATCTATCCTTAAATCACGTTTGTTTCTGTCCTTGCAGCCTGAGCCACTCTCCTGGTTGGGGCTCTCACAGTCTGCATTAAAAAATATTTTCACTTTCAATCAAATGTTAGCTCTGGAAATTGAACTTTAAAGGAATACTATATTCACAAAAACAACCTCCGCTTAATGAAGCATTCCTTGTGTTAAATCACTTTTGTTTCTGTTTATGCAGCCCTAGCCACACCTTCCCTGGCTGTGACTGACACAGCCTGCATGAAAACATAATGGTTGCACTTTCAATCAGATGTAACTTACTTTAAAAGTTTCTATTTCCTGCTCTGTAAATTGAATTTTAATTGCATACCGGAGGCTTCTGCAGGGTCTAGCAAACTATTAACCCTATGAGATAAAAAAATGCTAAATTAAGCAGAATTTGCAATAAAGGAAGTGTAAACATTAGATGACTCTTTACAGCAAATGTTTGGGAACACTGTGTAAGTCACATCTAGGGGAGGTGTGAATAGGGCTGCATAAACAAAGTAATTTAACTCCTAAATGGCAGATAACTGAGCAGTTATACTGCAGGGACATGATCTATACACCAAACCTGCTTTATTGAGCTAACATTGTTTTGGTGGCTAGTGTCCTTTTAATCGCACACCAAGGGTCCTGCAGGTTCTAGAAGGTTATTAACAGAGTATGAGATGAGAAATTCTAGATTCATTTCTGAAGTTTGAACATTAAATCTGTCTTTACAGGAAGTGTTTAGGAAGGCTGTGTGAGTCACATTAGCGCCAGCAAATTCCTTAGCGCTGTCCAAAGTGATTTAATGCCTAAATGGCACGAAATTTAGCTGTTAGACTGCAGGGCATGATTTTTACAGCTTCATTAAGTTGTTTTGGTGAATATAGTGTCCCGTTAAGTCTACAAATATGAAGTCTGCAGGTGGCTTTACAAATATATTATTAGAACACACAGCATACTCGGAATTGTTTGATTATACAGAGTTGTTTGCAGGGAGGGCCATACGTAAAAGGAGATTTCCATTCTCCCGTAACTTGTAGGCTTACACTTGACTGATAGTGTAAGACTTTACTTGATACTGTGCTGTATATTAATACTCTGTCTCTTTGTAAATCAAGACTAGCTGAACTTATCAAACTCTGTTCTCTGTCTTCTCGGACCAAAAAGAAATCTGCAAATATTTTTGACGATGAAGAGGCGCAGAAGAAAGAGATTGCAAACATTGCAAAGAAATTTGAGGAAAAATATGTAAGTGTCTAACAATGCAGACTTCCCCATCACAAATTGTCTGAATGTGATATTTAATCCATTGCACCTTTTACAGTCACTTAAGTATTGAATGTAGATTGTGAGGCACTAAATTAACATTTTACCAATGAATCCTGAACAGACCCCTCTTACAAAACCTCCTTATGTGTGAATTTATATAGTATAACCCTACATTTCAGAAAGAACATTATATCTGTATGTAGCACTTGGATTGGCCCACCGATTTCATGTTTAAATTTTACCTTTAAAATGTTGAGCTTCACTATAGCAACACTGCTGCTTTTATAATGCCTGCTTTCAAATCAAACTGGTGAGGAGGGGGGCCAGTCTTGTACAACCCTCTGGGATGCTGTGGATTCTTATTCCCATCACTCTCAGATGGCTGGGAATGATAAGCATTGAAGTTTGCAGCATTTGGTGTGCAGGTACCTACTGACCCTATTGCAGAATTTCATGTCGCTGTCTATTTATGCTGCTTTTATAAGCCTTGCGACATTGCTCAGACAACATTGGAACATTTCAGGCAAAACCTCTTGAATTTATATTTTATACACAACTGTATTCAACGGTTGGCTTTAAATCAGTCAAGTATAGGACACCATGTAGCGTTTTGCTACTACATTACTTCATATATAGGTTTTATCGTGATGTGTGTTGATTAAAGATATTTGCAAAACTATATATGTCAAGGGGTGCATTTATTTATTCAATTTAGATTTTTAACCATATCATGAATAAATGCTTCTCGCACATAAAACACCGTATTGCGTGAGGTCGTACTTGTATACGTAATCTTTCATTACCTGTAGATGTAAACCTAAAGAGTTAAATATGAAAAAAGCTAAAACAAACACTGGTGCCTTGTTTGTGATGAGCATAAGCCAGAAAGTGATAGTTTGCTTATTGCGCGTTGGACCATACTGCGTTTCACAGACTTTTAGCTACGTTGCCTTCTTGGCTCCTGATATGGTGAGAGATGTTTATTTGGGAATATCTCTGGCACAGAGGAGAGTTTACTCCCTGTGTCTGTTGTCTGTAATTGTACAAGGAGAAGGGACCCGAAGGAGGATTACATTACCGCAAAGAAGCTCCCATGACACTTCTCAAACAGAACCTCTACATGGTGGGTATATAGTTCCATCAGGGAAAATAAAATGGTATTAAATGAAATATTTCAGGTCTCCTTGTTATCACAGTCACAATGTGTTGTTTCCCAAGAGGTTAAACGGATCTCTAAGAACATTATTGACTAAATGGGGAGTTCTGGAGAAATAACACGTACATTGCAAATTTCACCCAAAAATAGCTTTAAAAAAAATTCCTTTTTTTTTACTGTTTATGGTTTAGCAAAAACCCTTTAAAAAAAAAAAAAAACACACCTTAATTTGTGTAATTGATAGAGGCACTGGCTTTTGTTTTTTTTAAAATTTATTATGGTATCACTGGGGATCAAACCGATCTCCATGTCTGCCATGACAGGCTAGCAAAATATGTGAAAAAATTGTGTTTTATAGCGCAGCCCATTGCTAATGATTAGTTAGCTATTAGGTTTTTGCGATAGGGCATTATGTTGAGTGCGCAGTCACTATCTAAATTATCTTAAAATGACTTTTAATGCATTACAGCTGTCAGATTTCATAAAATGTTACAAATAAATGTGTTTTCTTCTTCTTACACTGTTAAAAGCAGAAAATCCATTAAAACAAAGGCTGGGAGGGAATCTGCTATTATGTTGGCATAGTACGTCAAAATGATACAGTGTTTAAGTGAAAGAAAGAAAAATAGATTTACTTAAATATTTGTGAGATTCAGTAAGAATGATTTTAAAATCTAACATCAATATTGCCCTAAAACTATTCTACATTAATTCAGAATGTGCTTAAAATTAAACCCATTTTATTCATTTATTACTTTGTTGCTTTTACATTTAATCTGAAGATTACTTTGCCTCTTCAAGATGGATGCCACATATAGAATGATGGTGTCTGTGATTCTATCTGTCTTCCCTCAAATTATTTGCAGTATATCCCAAAATGCATTGCTTGGTATAGCATGCTTGCACTGTCAAATAGCACGTGCATTGTTTAGCAGCTGTCTGACAGGGCTATGTGTTTGATTTGTCATCCATTAGGGTACTGACTGTGCTGCAGACGTGTATCGTTACTGTGGGATGCTGTTATATTTGTCTTGAGTTATACTCTGCTTGGCATGAACACTTTCAAGTCTCAGTGGGAAAAAACGGGGAGCCTCTGCATGGTCGTGTGACTGCAGATGTGCTTTGTAAGGACATGTCCTGTCTGTGTTGCAGGGTAGCAAGAAGAGACGTAGGGACCGCATGCAGGACCTGATCGATATGGGCTATGGTTATGACGAGTCAGATTCCTTTATTGACAACTCTGAAGCGGTAAGTGCCGATAGCAGGATAGTTCCCTCCCTTGCTGATGAAGTTTGAAGTGTCCCAAAAAATTTCTTAAACAGGCTATATGACTCAATACGGTGGCTTCTGTGTTAGGTCAATTACACTTATTGCCTTACTCGGTCTCGTCTGATTATATTTATTAAAGGGTTATTCCAAGCACCATTTTAGTGATTGAAGTGGTGATGGTGCCTGGAGTCTGTATGTGTAACGTTTCACATACAGAGTTTACGTTTTTTGCTGCCGGAGGCGTAACTCTGCCTCCTGCAGCATTATTGGAACATTAGGTAACCTAGAACAAGCAGAATAATTAGCTGGTTAACGTCTATTCTGTGCAAATTGTCATGCATAGTGTGCCATTTATTGGCTCAGACTGGCCAGCCGATGTTCTCAGCCAATAAATGTGACTTGATTGCATCTGCAGAAGCTTGTCTGCACAGGAGCTAAGAGCCTTGGAGCTCGATGGGAACCCAGGTAAGCAGCTATTGCTACACAGCTTGCCCCATTACCGGGTAACCGGGTGCATCATAACCACTACAGCAGACTTCAGTAGGTATGATGGTTGGAATACACCTTTAACATTTTTTATTGTATAGTATTTATTTTATATGTAATAATTAGGTTTGTTCCGTAAGCCGAACATTTCTGCCCCATCCTCCCAGTCTGTAATCGTCACCTTTTTCTCCAGAAACACAGTTGTGCATGATGGCATGAGTTTGCAGTTGTAGTTCATTGTTTGGTTTTTACAGAAGAACTCTGATAAATGAATTAAAATTTCTAGCAACCCTCGCAGAGCATCATGGACGTTCTAAAGCAACTGGGCATTTTTTTTTTGGGCGCCCTTCCCTGATTTACGTAAAGTGTCAAGTATTTTACCTCAAATGCATTAAATGAGTCCTGGTACTTCCTTTCCGGGATCTCCACCTGGTCTACTAATGTTTTAAAGACAATCAGAAATTCTGACCGTCAAGGTTTGTGAAGACCGTTTACTGATTCAAGTCCCGTTTCTCTCCTTTCAGTATGATGAACTGGTGCCGGCGTCTCTGAGCACCAAATATGGAGGTTTTTACATCAATTCTGGGACCCTGCAGTTCAGGCAAGCCTCTGAATCTGAAGATGACTTAGTCCAAGAGAAGAAGAAGTCCTCCAAGGTAGGTTTCTCTTCAACCACATCTTGTGCTTAGGGCAGAGGAAGAAGATAATACTTTGTCAGTGCAGCTTATTTTAGGAAGTAAGTGGTTTTCTTGGTGCCCAGTAATTTTTAACTCCTGGGTTGAGACCTGTGTTTAGTTACACAGACTGGTTTCAATGAGTCTCAATCCTTTTTACCAGGACCCATCGATAGAGCTGTATTTCCCAGTGCAGCTGAGAGCCCATTGTCACTGGAGTGGGTTCAGTGAGGTTGTTTTTCATAGTTTTGTTTGTTATATACTATAGACTGAGTCAGGTTAATTCTCTGTCTGTGCTGTTACTTCTTTTATTATAACTGTGTAAAAGCATGGGCAAGGTTATCACACAGAGCAGTGTAATAGGATTGATAAGAGCTACGGAGTCTGATGGCGCTATATAAATAATAAGAGGGGCACCACCCCTGCTTGTCAGACTATTAAAGCGGAATTTAATCTTCTTCGATAGCCGTAATCATTTCTTCCATGTTTTTATTGTGTAAGTCTATCAGCTGACTCGTTCAGCCAAGGAATGGATTCAAAATATGGATGAACCTAATGGTAATGTGTCTGTTTCTCTGCCAGTAGCTGAGTGGGGGGTCATGCCACAGATGCCTCAAAGACCCCCAGATTTTGTTGTAACTGATCGTATCACATATTTAGATGTGTAGCGTCTCTTCGGTTTCTTCACGCTAAGAACTAATTATATTTGATAATTTAAAAATGTATCCCTCTTAATTTAAAACAAAGGGCTGCACTAACTATTATTAATTGGTAGAGAATTATGGGAAACGTAGTCTAACATCTAGGGCTGACACTGGACACTAGAGCATTGGGGTTCTTACAAGGAACATTGGGGTTTTACCAGACTGTGTGATCTGTTTTCTTTGCTTGATTTCCATGTCATGCCTGCTGTTATCCAACAGAAAATCAAAGAAAAAGGAGAAAAACTGAAGAAGAAAAAAAGGGAAGAGGAAAAAAAGTCGAAAAAAAATAAATATGCAAAAACTGGGTAAGATGGCAGTTTCTGTAAATGTGAAATGTTCCCTGTTAATATATTATTGAAAGTTGCTAGGCTCATCTCTTAGAACTTGAAGGAAACGCCTGCTATCATCTGCAGACGATTTATAAAACCATGCTATAGAAACGCACTTGGTGCTACTCGGATTTGGGTCGATATTTCCGGTCCAAGGTGCAGTTAATGCAGTTTGGTTTGAGCCACATGTCTCTCACCTTTGATGAAGGGCCGAAAGTAGAAGTTGTTTTGTGACAGGGTCAATGAAATGGCTCGATCCGAGCATCACTAGATAACTCGCTGGATTTCAGTGTGTGTAGGAAAGCTTTCAGGGTCTGGTATGGAATACAATTTCCCTAAAAATCAGCAATGCTGCTAAATAACTGGTACGTGTACGCGGATTGATGGAGCTCCAGGCATTAACTTTTTATTATTATTATTTTATTTATTTTTTTTTGTTACATTTGAAAGCTGCATTTCAAGTGGCTGCTCGGTATTTTCAGACAATCTGAAAGAATGTTTGGTAGTACAATTTACAGCCTGTGATCAGACAATCAGAAAACAGGGTTTAGGCGTTCACTAAAATAATCAAATAAAGGGCAGCAGTGAACCAACAGGACTTCCCAATACCTGCTTAAGGTGACCAAAAGAAAAACGGTGGTAAACCGCACCAAAAGATGCTCAAAGTGAATACCAAAAAAAATGCATGTTGAGCATCTTTTGGCGCGGTTTACCACCCTGTTTTTCTTTTACTTGTGATCAAAGAATGTCCAGTGAAGAACTGTTATGATATGCAACAGTAAATATAAACATGGGCAGTTTTTACAAATGGGCCACATAATTATGAATGTCTATAAAAATCTATATATATATACAGGGAGTGCAGAATTATTAGGCAAATTAGTATTTTGACCACATCATCCTCTTTATGCATGTTGTCTTACTCCAAGCTGTATAGGCTCAAAAGCCTACTACCAATTAAGCATATTAGGTGATGTGCATCTCTGTAATGAGAAGGGGTGTGGTCTAATGACATCAACACCCTATATCAGGTGTGCATAATTATTAGGCAACTTCCTTTCCTTTGGCAAAATGGGTCAAAAGAAGGACTTGACAGGCTCAGAAAAGTCAAAAATAGTGAGATATCTTGCAGAGGGATGCAGCACTCTTAAAATTGCAAAGCTTCTGAAGCGTGATCATCGAACAATCAAGCGTTTCATTCAAAATAGTCAACAGGGTCGCAAGAAGCGTGTGGAAAAACCAAGGCGCAAAATAACTGCCCATGAACTGAGAAAAGTCAAGCGTGCAGCTGCCACGATGCCACTTGCCACCAGTTTGGCCATATTTCAGAGCTGCAACATCACTGGAGTGCCCAAAAGCACAAGGTGTGCAATACTCAGAGACATGGCCAAGGTAAGAAAGGCTGAAAGACGACCACCACTGAACAAGACACACAAGCTGAAACGTCAAGACTGGGCAAAGAAATATCTCAAGACTGATTTTTCTAAGGTTTTATGGACTGATGAAATGAGAGTGAGTCTTGATGGGCCAGATGGATGGGCCCGTGGCTGGATTGGTAAAGGGCAGAGAGCTCCAGTCCGACTCAGACGCCAGCAAGGTGGAGGTGGAGTACTGGTTTGGGCTGGTATCATCAAAGATGAGCTTGTGGGGCCTTTTCGGGTTGAGGATGGAGTCAAGCTCAACTCCCAGTCCTACTGCCAGTTCCTGGAAGACACCTTCTTCAAGCAGTGGTACAGGAAGAAGTCTGCATCCTTCAAGAAAAACATGATTTTCATGCAGGACAATGCTCCATCACACGCGTCCAAGTACTCCACAGCGTGGCTGGCAAGAAAGGGTATAAAAGAAGAAAATCTAATGACATGGCCTCCTTGTTCACCTGATCTGAACCCCATTGAGAACCTGTGGTCCATCATCAAATGTGAGATTTACAAGGAGGGAAAACAGTACACCTCTCTGAACAGTGTCTGGGAGGCTGTGGTTGCTGCTGCACGCAATGTTGATGGTGAACAGATCAAAACACTGACAGAATCCATGGATGGCAGGCTTTTGAGTGTCCTTGCAAAGAAAGGTGGCTATATTGGTCACTGATTTGTTTTTGTTTTGTTTTTGAATGTCAGAAATGTATATTTGTGAATGTTGAGATGTTATATTGGTTTCACTGGTAATAATAAATAATTGAAATGGGTATATATTTGTTTTTTGTTAAGTTGCCTAATAATTATGCACAGTAATAGTCACCTGCACACACAGATATCCCCCTAACATAGCTATAACTAAAAACAAACTAAAAACTACTTCCAAAAATATTCAGCTTTGATATTAATGAGTTTTTTGGGTTCATTGAGAACATGGTTGTTGTTCAATAATAAAATTAATCCTCAAAAATACAACTTGCCTAATAATTCTGCACTCCCTGTATATTTATATTATTGTTGTTGTTGTTAAATGTTGCATTGTAACCCTTTCAATTTTGATGGTATGAGCATATTAACTAATTATCGGAGAACTAAAGATTGCTTTATTTAACAGTGGGAAAGGCAAACTGTTCTATGTCTGACTTTGTGTCCCGTTTAGATTCACCGCTCTCAATGGCACTAAAGACAAGAAGAAGAAGAGTCGCCCTGCAACGATTAATGAGATGCTGGTGAGATTCCAGAGAGAGAAAGAAGCCAAGAAGAAACCATCATCACCCGTCGTGGCCTCCACTCTGAAATCCGCCCCCAGTGCACCGCCACCACCTCTTCCACCTACACCGCCCCAAGAGGCTGAGCCTGCCCCAGATCCACTGCTGTCCAGCCTGTCCGAAGCAGAGCTGCTGCAAGTAGCCAACGCCATAGATTCCTTGAGCGAGAAGGACCTTGACAAAATATTCAATATCCCGCCAGATAAACCGAACAAGGGGCAGGCAGCACCACCAATTGAAGAGGAGTTTAAAAAGCCACCATCCATCCCTGATGGGCTGCCGCCTCCACTAGAGAAGCGGATCAAAGAGCTTACTAAGGTATTTCCAGCATGCATTGCAGACCTGGCATAGCCAACGTATAGGCCCACAAACTAACAAAGCATCCTTGTAATTGTCACAACATGCAGGCTGGCATCTTGGAAATTTATTCTAGGCCTCGAGGCTGGCAAAGCGTTATGGGTATTACTGTTCCAAATAGGCAAGCAAAGCATCATGGTAGTTTTTGTTCCAGGTAGGCCTGTTGGCTGGAATTGTTAGAAGCAGCATGGCCGCTGCTGCCTGCCACTGCAAAGGACCCTGTTCCATTAGTTTTGCAAACTTGTAATATATACTTATAATACCCCTTCCCCCAAATATTTCTGGTAAACAGTTGCCTGTTTGTGGCCATTTCAGCAGCTGTTGTCATTCTTGTTCCAGGGTATCCGGGCGTCTGGGAGTGATAAGAAAACGATCCTTTTTACCCAGGAGATGAACAGCGCTCTCCTAGAGTAAGTATCTCCCTGTTTATCAGTTTCCAGACAGACAGCGTGTGGGCGCTCAGCCTCACAAGGTCACTCTGACTGAACAATCTCAGCGTACAGATAGCACATTGCTGTAGTACCGGAGGATTGGAGGAAGGCAGTTCCTATATTCAAAAAGGGTTAAAAATCCTTACCAGTGAGCTCAACTTCTGAGACTGGGAAAGTATTTGAAAGGTTATTAAGGGATAATATTCAAGAATTCATTGAATCGAACATTATCAGCAAAAGCCAGCATGGTTATATGAAACACAGGTCATGTCAAACTAACCTAATTGCATTCTTCGAAGAAGTAAGTAGAAGTATAGATCGGGTGTTGCAGTGGATGTGATCTACTTGGATTTTTCCAAGGCGTTCAGTACAGTTCTTCTCAATAGGTTTGTGTTCAAACTAAAAGAAATTGGTCTAGATGAAAATTCTTGTTATTGGGTAGAACATTGCCTTAAAAATAGGCGATAGTGAGTTGTCATTAATAGAAAATTTGCAAGCTTTACAAAAGTGGTAAGTGGTGTCCCTTTTAGGGTTCTGTTTTAGGATCGCTTCTATTCAACATATTTATAATTGATCTTAAAATCTTAGTTGAAAGTCATGTTCCAGTGTTTTCAGATGACACAAAACTCTATAAAGTAATAAAATGTGAGCAGGACATGGCTTTGCTGCAGAGGGATTTATGCACTTTGGGGTGAAGAATGCACAAGCAACTTATACCCTTAATGGAAGCAAATTGGGGATAACAACACAATAGGAGGATTTGGGAATTGTTATAGACAACAAACTAGGCAACAATGTGCAATGTCAATCAGCAGTAGCTAAGGCCAGTAAGGTTTTGTCATGTATAAATAGGGGCATTAATTCTCAGGATTAGAATATAATGTTGCCCCTTTATAAATCTATGGTAAGACCACACCTTGAATATGCTGTGCAATTTTTGGCACCTGTTCTAAAGAAGGATATTATGGCACTGGAAAAAGTCAGATGGGCTACAAAATTAATAAAAGGAATGGAACATTTTAGCTATGAAGAAAGGTTAACAAATCTAAACCTATTTAGTTTAGAAAAAGGGTGCCTCTGACTGGCTTTGATAGCATTATACAAAATTTTCTGAAGCCAATACAAACCATTGTCTGGAAATCTATTCATAAACAGGACTATATATAGGAAGAAAGCACTGGAAGAAAGTTTTAGAATATAATATTCATGGATATAATTTTTCAATGTAGGGTAATAGCTTCTTGATCCAAGGATAAATGTGACTGCCATTCTGGGTCAAGAAGGAATTTTTCCCTAGTGTGTTGCCAAATTGGAAGTGCTTCAAACTGGGTTTTTTGCCTTCTTTTGGATCAACATTGTTTGGAAATCTATTCATAAACAAGACTAAATATAGGACATGCTTTTAGACTGGAAGAAAGGAGATTTAGTCTAAGGCAAAGGAATTTTTTTTTTTTTTACTGTGAGAACAATAAGGATGTGGGATTCTCAGCCCGAAGAGGTGGTTTTATCAGAGTCTGTATAGATGTTTAAACGGCAACTACCGTATATACTCGAGTATAAGACGGATTTTTCGGCACATTTTTATGTGCTGAAAAACCCCCACTCGTCTTATACTTGAGTGAGTGTCTGTATTATGGCAACTTACATTGCCATAATACAGACAAGGACCGCCGGGCTCATTACAAGCCCGGCGGTCCTGTTGGGGGTTGGCAGGAAGCGTTTACTTACCTTTCCTGCAACTCCTGTCAGCTCCCTTCTCTCTCCTCCGGTCCGGTCAGCTCCCCTGCAAGTCTCGCAAGAGTCGCGGGGTCAGAGCGTTGCCACTGGTTGCCGTGGCAACGCTCCGCGCGGCAGTCACATCACGAGACTTACAGTGGAGCTGACCGGATCGGAGGAGAGAGAAGGGAGCTGACAGGAGCTGCAGGAAAGGTAAGTAAACGCTTCCTGCCAGCCCCCTCCTACACAGTGCACACCACTGGACCACCAGGGAATGAAAGCCCCCCTCTCTGGCCAGCTAACAAGCAGGGAGGGGGGACGAAAAAAAATAACATAAAATTTAAATTAAATAAAATAACATAAAAATATTAATAATGTAAAAAAAAAATATTAAAATAATAATGCCCACCCCCACCAAGGCTCTGCATCACACACACTGCATTCATACACGCACACACTGCACTCATATATACACACACACACACACACTGCACTGCACTCATATACACACACACACACACTGCACTCATACACGCACACACACACACACACTGCATTCATTATATACACACACTGTAAATAAATATTCAATTAATATAATTTTTTTGGGAATCTAATTTTATTTAGAAATTTACCAGTAGCTGCTGCATTTCCCACCCTAGTCTTATACTCGAGTCCATACGTTTTCCCAGATTTTTCGGGTAAAATTAGGGGTCTCGAGTATATACGGTAGATGAATACTTGCCAAAACATCATATTCATGGATATAATTTTTCTATTGTAGGGTAATAGCTTCTTGATCCAAGGATAAATCTGACTGCCATTCTGGGGTCAAGAAGGATTTTTTCCTAGTTTGTTGCAAAATTGGAAATGCTTTAAATTGGATTATTTGCCGCCTTTTGGATCAACAGCAAAAAAACAAATGTGAGGAAGGCTGAACTTGATGGACACATGTCTCTTTTCAGCCTATGTAACTATGTAGTTTAGAGAGCCATTGCTGTGTTCCTCTTCTGTGCTTGTACCCAGATTGTTTTTTTTATGCACATTCTTTCCTCTAACTGCACGATTTGTTACCCCACTTCTTTCCTGCAGTATTTACCTCTTATCACGAGATCTCAGCTCCTCGCTGCGCTCCTCGGTATTCACCCACCTGTCCTCCATTCTCCCCTGTAGTAAGGACACACTGGTAAAATGGGCCAGTCGCCTTCATCTGCACAAACAGGTGAGTTATGGTAATTTAGATTACATTTAACCCACCCAGTATAACTAGCTGTAACCTCACCTACACAGTGCACCTAACGTGTGGGAGCCTGGAGTGTCCCTTTAATAATATAAACCCATCCAGTATAACGAACTGTAACCTAACCTACACAGTGCATCTGTGTGGGAGCCTGGAGTGTCCCTTTAATAATATAAACCCACCCAGTATAACTAACTGTAACCTAACCTACACAGTGCATCTAACATGTTTGGGGGCCTGTAGTGCCCCTTTAATAATATAAACCCACACAGTATAACTAACTGTAACCTAACCTACACAGTGCATGTAACGTGTGTGGGAGCCTGGAGTGTCCCTTTAATAATATAAACCCACGCAGTATAACTAACTGTAACCTAACCTACACAGTGCATGTAACGTGTGTGGGAGCCTGGAGTGTCCCTTTAATAATATAAATCCACCCAGTATAACTAACTGTAACCTAACCTACACAGTGCATCTAACATGTTTGGGGGCCTGTAGTGCCCCTTTAATAATATAAACCCACGCAGTATAACTAACTGTAACCTAACCTACACAGTGCATGTAACGTGTGTGGGAGCCTGGAGTGTCCCTTTAATAATATAAACCCACGCAGTATAACTAACTGTAACCTAACCTACACAGTGCATCTAATGTTTGTGGGAGCCTGGAGTGTCTCTTTAATATAAACCCATGTAGTCTAAATATAATCTACGTTACACATTGCCTGTCAGATCGGATAATAGGAACTGTGCCTTCAGGTTGTATATTATGAAGATATTTGACGTTTGTCAAGCTCTGTTTGGCGATTAATTGCAATGATACCACCAGACCTTGTTTAGACCGGCTTTTCCCCCCCCCCCACTTCCCTTTGACAAGGTGTCTTGTGTACAAATGTCTTAACCCAGATCTTTCTCCTTCAAGGGCGGTCGGCTTCGGGAACCCCTGCGGAAATTGAAAGAGGCTGTGGCAAAGGCCATGCCGGAACAAATCAACAAGTACCACGAGGAGTGCAAAGTCCACAATGAGGCCAAGTATGCCAAGTAAGTCAGGGCTGGCCTGTGGCACATACATAAGCTTCCAGTTCCAGCAGTGACATATACTTGGAACTCTGCTTCTCCAAGTCATGAGTTTCCTCAAGCTCGAAAGCAGCTTCTAATTCTGATTTTGCTAGGATTTCAGGCATTTTTAATGATCATGGGGAACAATTTTTTATTTTATTTTTTTTTTACCGTATTATGAGCACGTCCTCTAGCTTCTCCCAGCTCTAGACCTCTGATTTTCTGCAGGAAGTGAAGAGTGCAACACCAAACTACTTCTACAACCCAACTAATAAATACAAGTTATTGTGATTTCAGATATCTGCAGCTATTTGAAGTGATTAAAGTTTTACACATAGAATGTGGCTGTTACATTCTAACACTGGAAACCTGTGCAGTGACCATTATCCTTTTTTACCTGTCCCTCACAGTAGTAATAAGATCTGCACAGTAAAGACAGAGTGGAGCACATTGTGCAAAATCCCATAGAATGGGCTGTCAGAGGTCCCCGTTAGTACTAAAATTAAATAGTCTCTCGGCTGAAATTAACCCCATATTTTATTCATTAAAGGAAGCAAACACTATCCAAATACAGGATTAAAAATCTATCTGCTGTCTCTCACTCCTCCAGAGGAAGAGGCTCAAAATCCTACCTACTTAAAATCACTTTCGGCCTTCTGTTTCCTGTTGGTTAACTTGGGGTTTCATAGTAAGCAAGATTCCTGGTGTAAAATGCTGATTCTAACTGTGAGCTAGACATAGCTAGAATTAAAGACCTAGCTAGAATTAATGTTTCAATAATCATGGAACAATGTTTTACACTTTCTTTTGATAAAGGATGTTGGAAGACGACAAGGAGAAGGAGCAGAAGGCAGGATCAGAGGAAGAGGAAGAAGAGGAGAAAAGCAGCAAAAAGTCAGCCGGTCCTCGAAAGAAGTTCCAGTGGAACGACGAGATCAGGTGATGAGATGGGGGAGCAGGTTACTGGGAAAGGTCAATGAGCGGGGAGTCCAGTGGCATTGCTTAGATTTGGAGATATTGGAAATGTCAGACAGGAAGCAATCTATAGATTAAACGGACTCTCAACCAAAATTAGCTAAACAACTCCTCCTAGCGCCACTGACTAAGTGGTTGAATTGTATGTGGTATCTTTCTGATTGTCCTTTATAACCGCACAGAAAGGGTTACTAAGGTGGTGTTAAAACTGAACTGTCACTGCTTACATCTTTGTGCAGCCCAAAATATATTTAAACTGACCCAGAGGTTGTGCTTTTATTTTTATAAAATTCTCCTTAGGTTTTTTGTTTTTCTCTACATTGCATGCCTAGCTGTTCGATGTGCAATAGGAACACACAACTGCTGCAGAAGTGATAACAGAGTTACGGCAGTGAGATTAAACTCTGTGTGTGATTACAAACTGCTCCAGTTCTACGATGCTGTCAGGCTGAAAATTGGCCAACGGGGTTCTAAGGACATTCAGCTTTGCAGTCACACAACATTGTTGTGGTGCTTAGAATGACCCATTAAATAAATAATGGTAGTATTGTGGGGTTAGTAATGCGTTACTGTCACCTCTCCCATCTGTTAGGAACGACATGTAGATTTTTGCGTGTTGTCATGCACCTCGCAGACTTTAACCAAAGTAGAAAGATTCCAACCTTGTAATTCACTTAGTAAAAGCGAGCAAGTTCTGTATAGCTTGGGTTTAAGACTTACCAGGTGTCAGAGTACAATATAAACTGACGGACCTAAATATGTGAGTGCCTAGTTAACATGGAGATCATCCCCACCCCCCAGTTTGTTTTATTATTAATAATATAATAATCTACAAACAAAACAAAGTAGAAACCCACCTACAACAAACATAGTGTTAGAGGAATGGAGTATTAAACACCAGAGGTAAAGAACATGTCCATAAGTGAAGAGAGGATGCCAGGTAAGATTGATCAAACAGAGGGTGAAGAAGCATGATGATCATACTAGCTTTTAATCACAAAGGGTTGAATGTGGGAAGTTGGGTATTTGGTTCTTAAATGTGCGTGTAACATTTTAATCTGTGTGTTTTTAATAAGGGAAGGGATAATCTAACCATACTCTATATTCATGAAAGCCCACATCTCACACCCCATCATTGCCCCCCTGTGATGTTTATACAGGCAGCTGCTGTGCCAGCTGGTCCGTCTGAAGGTGGACATGTTCGAGTCGGAGGGAAACAGCATGCTGACTTTGGAAGATTATCTCAAATCCTTCCTGGATGTCGAGGTCAAACCCCTGTGGCCCAGAGGCTGGATGCAGGCCCGGTATGAAATGCAAAAAGAGACATGTTCCTGATATAAACGGGTTAAACCATGCTGCAGAGGTAGTGCAATAAGATCTCTTACTGTGTTAAGGAGGAATATAGGCAGTAATGTAAATCTCAGCTCTGGAAGTGCAGCCTGGGAAATTGCAGAATTCAGTGACTGATGCACTCACCAATAGCAGGTCAGACAAGGCAGCCAATAACAGGATGGATCTGATATTAACACACGATGTGCTGTATAGGAGTCTGCTGCTCTGCTTCAATTTCATAATGGACATGTTTACTCAAGGCTTGCATTGTTTTTATTACTGCTTACTTTCCTTCAATTTTGTTGTGTTTTTGCAGAAATATACCAATGTTGAGCATGGTTCACCTTGAATATATGATGGTATACGTGCTATGAAATTGATTGTTGCCCTGGACCATATTTCCGTCCTAATATTGGCTAACAAGTCTGATGATCAGGCTCCAGCTCTTACCCAGTCACACTGTTCAGCAGATTAGGCTCTGGCTTTACTTACTATAGTAATGAATCTGGACCATAATCCAGTCCTTACTCACTTGTCATCGCATCTGGCTTTACTGGCAGTCATTCATCCTCACATTGAGCACTTGTTGAGTTGCTCAGAATAATGTATAGTGTTGTTTTTTTTGTATTCTGAACCTATGTTTCTTTCCCAGAACCCTATTTAAAGAGACGAGACGTGTTTATCCACAGCTCTCCTCCATCATGTGAGTATAGAACAATCTGCTGCTCAGTTGTGCTTACTCTATTTACTACACACACACTCATCCTTACTGACTCCCTCTATTTCTGAGATAAGCCTCTTGGACAAGATAAAGATGCTTTCTCTCCCCTTCAGATCGGTTATTTCAGCTATCACAGGGGATCCCAGCTTTGGTGTTTTTTATTAAAACGCATCTGTGAAATTTAGGGGATTAATAAAGATTTAGTCACAAAACACAATACAGAGAGTTTTATTGGCATGGAGCTTTGTGATACCCTCCTGCACACCAAACAGTACTGTGAGTTGTGCTTTGGAGCTCTGTGATACACTCACACACTGCACAATAATATGTGTTTTATTGCTTTGGAGCCCTGTGCATGTTATAATGACCGTAATAGCCTTCTTAATTTTGGAATTATTCAAAGGGAACTAACTAGTCCATGCTTTGCCCAGGGACCACCTGAGCTTTAATGTGTCCTTGGGGGATAACAGAGAGAATTACGGTAGGGATATGTTCCAAGTAGAGGTTTTGTGGACCATTACATAGTAATGCAAGTGAGCTTGGTGCAAACTGCTGTCCAGATCAGGAGACAAAATCACAATTAGATGCTTTTGGATAAGGAAATGACTGGCGTGATCAGCCTATTATTTTAATAAGTGTGTGGTCCTCTGTATTTGTATTGGGGTTTTTTTCTGTTCTAGAATATATTATACTTGCATTTTACAATAATTATTTTCACCATTCTCTCAGCAATATGTCATCTGTTATTTACAATGATTTATTTCTTCCAATAGGGCCAAGAACAGAGCTCTGGTTGCACCAAAGGTCAAAACCAAGGTACAGTGCGTGTGGTTTATTCTTTGAGCTTTCATAACCTCTTGGACTGCACAACACAAAGTTTCTTGGAGATCATGTGATCTCTTGCCTCTATGGTTTTTGTTTCTGGCCATACTTCTTCCTTTCTTCTCTGTCTATTAATAGTTATCATTTATGTTGACCATGTAGTTCTATTTCTACAATCACACACATTCTTTTTTTTTTTTTTTTTTTTTCTTAGGAAACTTCTACCAAGCATGACAAGAAAGTCATATCCCCCCAGTCTGAGGCCCAAGGACCCTCAGTTGTTTCTTCATCCACCCCCACCAAGGAATCTTCGGTTCTCACATCCACAGTGTCCCTATCTCAGCCTGGAGTCTCTTCCATATCTACTCTTACCCAGGATAACTCTTTGGATGAAGATCTTATCCATAATCCGCCTTCATTAGAGGGAGTGTCAGAGCACTTGACTGCTCTCTCCAATCGATCTGCAGGTCTTGGTTTTGACTTTCCCACCAGCAGATCTGTCACATCAGTAAAAAGCACTGGGATGGAGGAAAAGAGGAAACTGTGCCTTCCTCAGTCTTCGCCATCTGTCGCCAGTAATACTCAACTACCATCACGTGGGTACTCAGTTGACCAGCCTCTCCCATTAGGATCAGAGAAAAAATTGACAGCCTCTAGTCACAGCACCAAGATTTCTTCCGACGTCCAACAGGGGAAGCTTAAGCAACACCATCACCAGGGAACAAACAAGACTCCCACAATAATAAATGCATCATTGCAGCCCTCTGTGAAACTTTATCAAATAAGCAACCAGCATAGCAAAGGAAACTTCACACACCCAACCCAAGCTGCAAGCCCAAAAACATTAGCTCCTTCACCTCCACATCGACCTGCCACCCCTCAGACCAAGTCCCCTAAACCCCAAGGATTTAACCCAACGTCCTCATCTACAAGCAACACCCTCAAACCCATCATATCTCCAGGTGTTGTGGGCAAGCATACAGGCAACAACAGCATCTCTGGCCAGCAGATATATAGACCTCCAGTGCCGAGACACCCGCTACCCCCAAATAGTAATTCAGGCAGCACTTGTAGCCAAACGTCCAGTTCTTCTACCACCGTCATTCAGTCTCCTCAAACTCTTGTTCGGAATCCCATCACTATTCCTATAAAGAAGCCCACTGTCCCTCCTCAGAAGCTGACTTTGGTGGCACCTCAAGACACCGGGGGAGGGACTCAAGGTGTCGCCAAGCTACTGACCTCTTCTATGGTTGCCGGTGTTGGAGGAAGCGCAATGTCTCCCTCTAACATGACTGTAAGTATGAAATGGACATCATCACTAATTTGTGTCAATAGCAGTTTCAACAGTAATGTTTACTGCAATACCCTCCACATCTTAGTATTTTAGTTACATGGTACTGCCATGATATATACCATTGATGAGAAGCTTGCCCTTTGCATGAACTAATGCCAGGAGATTGGTCACAATCCTCAAGGGTCATTTGTAGTTGTTTGAAGCAGCTGGTTCTTTGTAGCCACCTACTTTTGCACATTAATAGGGGAACAACTTGCCGTTCTACCCACTGCGACTGCCTCGAGCATTTGGGATAAGTTGTTTTATTGTGTATTTACTGAAACGCTGTATTGATCATCTATCTATTTTCCCGGCAGCCTACAAAATGCAGCGCAGGACCTGCCCTTCTGACGTCATCGCCATCACTGACTGTGCTGACTCCATCATATAAACCAAACGGTGGAAAACTGCCCACCCCAACTTCCTTGGGAATCCTCTCCCCCATTCACACGTTTCCGCTCCATGTTATATCTTTCACAGCAGATCCTAAGGTGTCTGCCTCTAAAGACGCTATAGTGACTGGGCCGGCCCCAGGGACTTTTCACCACGGACTGCCTCGGAGTAAGTGCTCTGCCCCATGTATATAAACATATCTGTACAGTTAGCGTTCTAGTGAGGGTTCTTACATTCACAAACTAGAAAAAGCCAGTGACATTCAAATTTGTATCTCAAATTAGATTTTTTTTTTTTTTTCCTTGGCACTTTTCCTATTTACACCTAAATATTCCTTATCACACATTTTTCATTGTTTTATTCTCCAGTTATTTTTTCTTTCTTTACATTTCCCCCCTGCCTCTTATTCTCCTTTGTCACTCTCCCCCTAACCCTCGCACATAATACTATCCTTCACTCTCAATCTCTCTCTTCACAGATCTGCTGAGTGGTCTGCACTCTAATTCCAATCATCATTCCTCACCGCTCCCGCACTCCGGCCTTCCAGCACACATACAGCCCGCACAGACAGGTAATGGCAAACTAACTTTGTATACAAGTGGCTCTGATAAAACCTCTATAGTTCCAAATGAGACGTCCATTTAATATTTTTGAATAAAGTTTTTTATAAATATATATATTTTTATTTTATTTTTTTAATATCAAAAAAGTGTGTGTGTGTGTGTGTGTGTGTGTATATATATGTGTGTGTGTGTGTGTGTGTGTGTGTGTATATGTGTATGTATATATATATATATATATATATATATATATATATATATATATATATATATATATATATATATATATATATATATATATATATATATATATATAACCAGGGGACTGGCTGCAATCACCTGAACATGCATAAATAGGGTGCTGCTGGGTTCCAATTTATACAATAAAAAAAGATTTGTGGCCTTGTACTGCAGAGAACCAGAGATGTTTATTTTTTTATTTTTCCCCAAGTAAGTATCTCATGAGGTAGAGTAGGACCTGCCACAGATGGGGTACATTGACGTTGCGGCAGGCTTATGCAATATATGATCATATAATGTAACTAAATCCCCATTATTATTTTGCCTAGATTAGGTGTTTTTAAAAAACGAACAATCTGTCAGCACCAAAGTTGCTGTTTAGTTGATAAGAGAGTGCGCTGGATCTTTTGTATTGTTTGTGTGTGTGTGTGTGTGTGTGTGTGTATATATATATATATATATATATTGTGTGTATGTATGTATATTAACATTTTGAAAAAAATCTATAAAATCGAAACCTAATGTTCTTCTGTGCATTAGATACAATAGCAAGCTAAAAGGACTTCTTTAAAGGCCTGTAGAGACATCATGTACTAAAGAATATCTTGGTGTATTTAAAGTTAGTGTTAATTGAGATTTATGGGTGGGTTAAATAGGCCCATAGTAGGCCGGAAGTGAACCGGTTGCAGACCGTGATGCTTGTGATATCATTTGTGCTTTATTTTACTGTTAGATTTTTCCATTTATCATATTACAGATGGAGCTCACATTCACCCTAAAGGACCAACGGTTCCTCCAAGGAAGGCTTAAGTTGTTGCACATCATGACCAAAACACGATTGAGGACTTGAAGCCAATCACTGGGGACGTGTTACCTGTTTAAAAGTTCTTGCATGGCACGGCACCCATCATTCCAGTAAAAGCACTTGTATATTAAACAGAGGTGGGCAGACCGTTACTCTGAGAGTGATGGGAGTTGCACTGCTGATGTAGTAGCAAGTGGCCCACCTTGCTGTGGATTGTGACTTAAAATATATTGTATAGGTTTTTTGTTCCTGAGCTGAAGAGGCAACGTTTCCACATGAACTTTTATTTTTCATGTCAAAGTGTACAGCTGCCCTGGCAGATCAGTCACGTCTCTTCCTAACGTAACGCACTTATTGATGTTCTGCCTGGGAGTTTTGTACAGCTTTATTTACTGTAATGATTTCCTGTTTTCCCATTGCCCTCTGATCACTTTTCAACTGCCAGTTTTATCATTTTCACACACCCACTCTGAACGATTCCCCACTGGTCCACTGCTCTTTCTGACATCCCTGGCCATCTTTTATAATATTTTTCATCATGCTGCTGTCTCTGATATTTTCCCACTATCCACCACTGACTCAGACATTGTTCCCAACCATTGCTGGCTGGACATAGTCTAACCCATTTTTTTCTGTCATCATACATAAGGAAACTGGTAGGCTTTACCTGAAGTCCTTAATGGCCTTTCTCAGAGACGAAGCCAACCAGCTCTGCCCAGCCATACTTTTTTTTTTTTTGCTTGGCGAGTTCTCCCCTTCCCGGTCATTGTAGGGTTAGGTTGCTGCCACATATGCAGCCAGTCCCCGTACTTCATACTCATCATTGACTTCTTGATACCCTCTTTGCCAGCATTTTCTGTTGTTCCTTATTACGTTTCTCCCTGTCCCCCACCCCTCCCTGAAATTGAAACTGCCTGTTTTCACAAAGGAAAATGTTTCTGTTAATGAAAATATATTATTTTTGTCTTTTTCTGAGTGGCCCAAGGGTCTTAAATGTGTGACTTTATATTTTGTCTTTATACCTAAATGAATGTTCAGTCCGTCTGACACTGAAACGCAGAAGAAAATAATTAAGATAAAGACTTTTTCTTATATCAGATATGTTATCTTTTTATTGAAGGAATTTCAGGTGCAGACTTCAGATTAAATCTTTTCTTTATTTGCAAACAGATGGATCTAAGCTGCTGGTGGCTTGCTTTAGAATGCTTTGGCCTGCAAAATGGTTTCAAAATCTATTTATTTTCGCAGTCCTCTCATATGTCTGGCTTTTTTAAACCAATCAAAATAGCTTTCCTGTATGAAAAAAAATATTTAGAGTTAAGTCACTAAAAAGTACACTTTTCAATACTTGATGTCACAAATGAACCTTCTCCGGTCAGACGTACACAGGACAACCCACCTCTCTTCCTGTCTGACCAGCATGACAAGTCACAGGGATGCAATGACAGCCACTGGCCTGGCTAGATATAAAACTATAACTTGCTATCATAACTGTTTTTATTACGTTTAAATTAGCCTTAAATGCAACATAGTTTTCAATTGTGGTGTTTTGTGTGAAGTGGTTTTGCTTTTGATGTACAGATCATATCCCTGTAGTCTCCCTGCTTACATCTCTGCCATTTAGGAATTAAATCACTTTGTTTATGCAACCCTAGTCACACCTCCCTGCATGTGACTTACACAGCCTTCCTAAACACTTTCTGTAAAGAGAGATCTAATGTTTAAACTTTATGGCTCATTCTGTTTAATTTAGAATCTCTTATGTCCTGCTGGAAATGAATTAATCGATCATACTGTGCTGTAAGATCGGATTAAAAATGTTTTGTTTTCATGCATGCTGTGTCAGTCACAGTCAGGGGGTGTGGATAGGGTTTCATAAATAGAAACAAAAGGGATTTAACTCCTGAATGGCAGAGAATTGAGCAGAGTGACTAAAGGGGCATGATCTATACAGCAAAACTGCTTCATTAAGCTAACGTTGTTTTAGTGCTTAGTGTCCATTTAATCACTGTTGTAATAGGGGCTCTATAATGATCAGCATTCGAACTATTTATTATGTTATTACATATGGATTTATACTCTAAACCAGGGATTATGCTAACCCAGTCGGTTACCTGGACCTAAAATTCTTTAAAAATAAATGATAAATTTTGTTTCTGTAATTTCAGCTGAATGCAAACTGCTCAATTCTCCTGCACCCTCTTATTAAAATTCCTCAGTGTATTCAATAACAGCCGAATGGATCCCTGTTACTTTCAAAATATTAAAGGTCTTAGGAGTTTTAGGTGCAGTTTCCGCTGTCCGTACAAGGAGAATCTGAACAATTGCATGAAGGCAATTCAACTGCAATATGAATTCAGCTATATACAAATTGCTTATAAAAAAAATGTAGATTTTAGGGATGCATTGGAAGTGAATAGTGCAGTCTTTTACCTTTTACATACACCAGGATTGTTTGTTTTGTCGTGTTTATTTAAAGAAACGTTGTTTTCCTTATCCAGGTTTTAAATTGTACTTGCTCCTGTGTAATATCCGTGTAATAACACTAGAGGGCGTCCACATAAAAGGGCATTGCATTTTCCAGACAGCAGTCAATAATTCCAATCTAGAATCTAAATGAAACAATGTCTCATCACTTGAGTCCAAATTCCCTTTTCATATGGGATTAGCTGCATTACCCTTGTTATTTACAGAGAATGGATTGAAAAAAACTGTACTGCATATTACATTATCATTTTAGACTGAAATTAAGGTTTGTTTATATAATGTGGTTAAATGTAAATTAGAGAATGGCAATCAGAAAATGTCATTTACATATCTAAATTTTGTAAAATGTACTGTACTTTGATTGAAAACTGAGAAATAGTTAAGCTATTTTTTAATTAGATTGCCAGCTCTTTGGTTCTCTGGTTGCTTTGGAATACGTTTTGTAAATAATAAAATTAAGTAGATTGTCGTGTGAGGCCTCTGCATGCTCAGTAATGGATGGTTTTTTAGCGGTGTATACGGTATTTTGTGATAACTTTATGTAATATTTTTTTATTTAAAGAGCACCAACATGTGTTGCAGAGCAGCACATAAATTCAAATAATTAGAGTTTAGAATAATTTAGTATGACCTCTGACTTTTTTGTATTTGTATAGTTGAAGGGTTTTTTTTTTTGTTTTGTTTTTTTTAAACCACAACAATTTTTTTTCCATTTGTATAAATTCAGGCAGTCATCTTGTTTTTGCTCCAGTTTACACTTAACGCAAACCTGTCTTTTTGTTTTTAATTATTTTTTACCCAACAATAAATGTTTTCCTAATTCTGTCTGTGTTGATAATAGTTTTATTGTTTTGGGGGGTGGGAAGTTAATGTACAATTTGTGAATTACTGTTTAAATCTAGATACTATTTAACCTGTGTAGCCTTTACTATTTAAAGTGACCTGACAAAAGCAGGGGAAATATTTTTATGAAATAAAAGGTTTGCTTTAAGTATGCTAAATGTGAGAAGAGTGTTCAGAGTCCCATCTATAGTGGTATGACCATATAAAACCGCTACAAAGAGACAAGGAATGCCCAAAATTGGGCAATGAGTTGGGGCATTTATATGCCAATCCTCCCAAACCTAACAACCTCTTCTTCCCAGTGATGACATCTGAAACCTGCAGTATTTTGGGCCAATTAAGACAAGCATACCTAATTTCTGTGCAATGTTTCAGAAACTGATGCTCTGAGCCCATCACGCACCCAGTATAAGGCTTCCTGTTTCAAGCCTCCGAGTTAAGAAGATGTGGATGGGGCAGAGCTAAATGACACTGAATAGAAGACTTTGGGGTTAAACCAATGGTTAATGATTTAACCACCACCAATGGTAAGCCGGTGCCAGGGACGATTACGTTGTTATTGGGCTCGAAGTGGTCCATTAATGTGCATACAATGTATACACTGTATGTTCTATAGGTATGCTCTTTAGATACTTCAATTTTTCACATCTCAATATATAAAATAGATTGGAATTATTTCATCTTTATCTGGTTGTTCTCAATTGTAACTCATATTACTTTAACAAAATCCTGTGTTTCTCCTTGTTGGTTTTCTTTGATCATACAGAACATAAAAATTAGCTATTAAAGCAAGACTTTTTTTTTTTTTTTGAGAAGGTGCTAGGATTTTTTTTATTTTTATTTTTTATAAAAAGATTGAACCTTCAAATGTACGCCATGTGAACTTCTAATGAACACAAATGTCTCGAAATACATTCAAAACCACCATTTCTTTATTAGTGTTTACATAAATAAAATACAGTTTTTTTGTTTTTTTCAAATTTCCCCCATTCCCACTGAGAAAATAAATGAAAGGTAGGCATGAATTAGGATGCAGCTATGGCCAACGCCATAAGATTGCTTTTGGAAGCTTATAGTAAGCAAAGGCACCACGGTAGCTGTGTAAAAGGAGAGATGCTATAACTGTGTTTACCTAAGCCACTTACCAAACCTCTTATATACTATATAACATTCTGCCCCAGGATGGCACAGGAGAATTGCACCAGTAGTATGTGTTGTGATTTTCAGTTTTAGTGGTATTTGTCTTAACTAATTTTCTTGTTCTTACACTCGACATGTCTATTATTCAGTGCATGTTCCCTAAACATCGTTTTCTGACCTGTTTCATTTGAGAATAACGTGGAACATCAAATCAATAACTCATAGCAAATTCAATGGAATATTTGTAACAATCTCTATTTTAAAGTTGTAATATGATTTAAAAAAACAAAAGCTGTGCAGAAACTAGAGAATCTCATCATGAAAGAATAAAGGATACAACATGACTTTGAGCTTTCAGATGTAGTGGCCCCTGGTGGACAGCTAATTAGAATGTTTTATGTGCTATGCTCTTGGCAGTGAAGGGCCTGACTTGGAGTTAGAGTAGATAAGGACACCTGGATTGTGACTTGAGTTAAAGTATGACATAGGAGACGAGTCCATTGCTTTCTCAAATTTCAGAAGACTGCAAGAAACCAGGAACCATAAGATCGCTGGTGTTGGTCAGAGCAGAATTGTTGGGTTTCTGCCAAAGTAGAAAAAGGCAGTTATTCTGTGTATGTAGGCTAAAGGGGTAGCTTCATCGGTTCAATGTCCCTTTTTATAACCCACTGTAAGTGGGCATTGAGTAGATCATGTTTTATTTCTTGCCAGACACTAAAGCTGCAAATTCTTGAATTGGCATATCTTTGTTGAGGTAACTCTCATATTGGCGTTTGCTGATTCGCCCACTCCTCAGGGCATCTTCAATGTCAAACTTCTTTCCAGATTTCCTGTCATGAATCACAGAAGATTCACCATTGGGCCCCTTGATTGTGATTTCTTCCCAGTCACATTCTTGACTCTGGAGATTGACAAACATCTTCCAGTCGATCAAACCCAAATTGCGAGCTTCTTCCGGTGACATCTCTCTACCTGTATCTGGGTCGATGACCACAATGGACCGACGTAGGTGGTTCTCTCTCTGTTCTCTTTTGATTGCCATGGTCTCCAGACGTCTCTCTAATTGATCAATCTCATTATCTTTGTCTTTGCATATTTTCTGGAGTTCTTTCAATTCTGCTTCTAAGCTAGACAGGCGTGAGTCTAGGTTTACACCACTGTCTATCTGAGTCATATTTCTCAGATCCGCTGCCTCCTTTATGGTGATCTGAATCTCTGACTGGAGGTGACGGGCCTCCATCTGCAAGTTCTGTTTGTCCATCTGCAGTTTGTGGACCTCTTCCCTCAGATACTCTAACTCCTTGTTGGATTTGGAGTTGCTAAATTCAAGTTCAGCCAAATGAGATTGAAGATGATTAATTTCAGATTCCAGCTCTCTCTTGCGCTTATTCTCATCTTCCAAACTGACCTTCAGCCTCTGTATGTCATGCTCTGTTTCCGGATCCTTCTCTACTTCAATTTTCTCTGTGAAAACAACTTTTTCCTTTACTTCCATTTTTTCTAGTGTGATGACTTTATTACGTAATGCTTCCAGCTCTGTTTCCAGCATCTGCCTTCTGTGCCTCTCGTCCTCTACCTGGAGTTTTAATAAGTTATGCTCTTTCTCTTGCTGTGGATCTTGTTGCAGGACTACTTTTTGTTTTAGAGTGACTTTTTCTTTGGTTTCAAACTCCCTCTGTTCCAGCTCATTCAGCTTCATCTTCAACTTTTTAATCTCAAGCTCGGCATCTCGCCTAGCTTGTCGCTCTCTATCGAGCTCCTCAAGTTGCCTCTCAAGTTCTGACTTGCGCCACTGCAGCTTAAGAAGTTCTTCCTGCAGGGAGTCCTTTTGTTTTAGCTCATTTTCAATATTCTTTGAGAAACTGTTGACCTCTGATTTAAGCAAAGGATCTTCTTCAAATTTCACCACCTCTTGTTGAACTATCCTCTCTCTCACTTGTGACAATTCCCTTTCTTTTTGTCTTATCTTATCTTCTTGAGCCATTCTCTCCCTTTCAAGTTCCAAAGACTTCTTCTGCTCCTCAGCCAACTGGGATCTCAGGCTCTCTACTTCATTCTTGGTAGTGGGATCGTCTCTGTATTGGATTACCTCCTGGACCACCTCTTTGATCTGCACCTGAGGTTTGGTATCTATCCAGCTTTGTATCTCCTGTTTCAATTTAGTGATCTCTAGCTCTGAGCGTTCTACCACTCTAGTCTTCTCAAGGATCTCTTCGCGGAGTTTATACAATTCTGCCATTAATTCTGGGTCAGTCTTGTGCTTGATGACTTCTTTAGTTACTTCCTTTACCTCCACCTGTGGTCCTCTCTGCTTTGTTACTGTCAACTCATTCTTTAGAACCTTCAGTTGTTCCTCAGATGCTCTGTACTTCCTTTCCTGCTCAATCAGCTCAAGGCGCAGGTTTGCTAATTCACTTTCTGCTTTAGGGTCAGGACGAACAATCTCACGTACTTTTTCTTGTACAATAACTTTGGAATTCTCTACTTCCAAAATGTTGATTTTCCGGATAAGTTCATTCTTCTCACGAATATTTATACGTATTTTGGAGGTCTCGTCTTCATACTGTCTTTGTAAGTCGGCCAACTCCTTCTCACTTTCCAGGTCTTTCTCCACCTTCAGTACTTCCTTTACTGTAATCTTGCCTTCGGCCATGGCACGCTCTTTTTCAAGACGTTTTAGTTGATCTTGAAGCAGGATCAGTTCCTCTTCCTCCTTCTGCCTTTGTGCACTCTCTCTCTGTTTATTTTCCTGAAGTAGTTTATACTCTGCAGCCAGCTGAGGATCATTCTGCAACTTGATGACCTCCTTTTCTGTAATTTTTTCCTGCTGCTTGTTTTTTTGTTCTGCCAAGATGAGCAATCGCTCCCTCAAGCTTGCAATCTCACTTTGCTTTGATCCTTTCTGTCTCTTCAGCTCTTCTAACTCTTCCTTGAGCCTTAGATATTCTTCATGCTGCTCCTTGTCCTTCTCAATCCTTAACACCTCCTTTACTACATATTCTTGTCCTCCTTCCTTTTGCTCATACTCCAAAGTCCGTACCTTCAGCCTCAGGGAATTCAACTCATCCTCCAAGGACTTGTTTTTGCGCTGTTCTTCTGAGACTTTCTCCAGGACCCTGCGATACTCTTCTTCCAGTTGTGGATCTGGTACTTTCTTCAAGACTTCTTTCTTAACAACAGTCTCCTGAGGTTTCTGGTTTTGTAGAAAGACTATCTCATCACGTGTGCTCTTGATTTCTGTTTCCAACTGCTGTCTACGCTGGACTTCATCATCCAACATATTCTTTATTTTCCAAGTTTCCTCTGCGGGCCTCTCAGAACGACTCATCTGAACTGATTGCTGTTGGACTTCCACCTCTGGTTGCTGTGTAAAATAAATAAATAATACTGAATCAGTAAGCGCTTTGTACAATGTGTTCAATTGCGAACATTTTTCCTATAGTTGCATTTCAATTTACCCAGCTGGCTAACATTTGAGGGGAGCCGGCCCTAAGACCTGCTATTCCTTAGCTTATTACAGCATTTTGCAGGCAGCATCACTACTAAAACCAAAACAATGTTTAAGTAATTTTGCTTTGAGAAAAAGTATATTTTGAAAACAAGACATATATTTGTTTAAATATGTAGGGGAGGAAGGGGGGAAGTGGAGTGTGTGGGAATGGGAAGAGCTACGATATATAAACACCAACTTACACCCCCCCTCCCCCCCTCCCAATATATGTTCTGTAGGGAGATGGGCATAAGTGTCTGGTAAATCTGATATTATAAAAACATGGTAAAGTTCTAACCAGTGTTATTTATTAGAGGCTAAAGTGACAGTTCCCCTTTAAATGGTCTAAAGAAAAAAAATAATAATTACTGGGACTCCCCTTATTAATTTCACAGAGTTGTGTGAGAAAATGCTACAAATTGTGCCTGTACTTTGTGTTCAACATCTTGGAGTAGTCACGGGTTGAAAGTGAAGTACAGGTTTGAGTCTAAACATTTCCTGGTGGTATGGTACGGCATTGTGGGAAATGTAGTGTAAGCTTCTTTTTACCTGGCGCAGAAGGCTTTGTGCAAATTCTAGTGTCTGCAGTCTCTGCTTATTGACCGCGCCGGCTTCAGTAAATCTCGCCGATAGGTCTGCCTCCTGTGGAGAAAATGTGAGGGTGTTATAAACGGCACACTTCGGAATGGTATCTTTTAATAATTTTCTTGAAGTTTAACTTCAACCTGTAATGTGATGGAAAAGAAGCTTTGGCAAGTCTGTCATTGGAAATATCTGACTGAGAAATGTTTTACATCACATGACGTTGACTTATGACATCATGCGATGGTGCAGTGGATTTAGAATTGTATAGATGCTGTTTGTTTAAGCGCACCTTGTAATAGAGGAATAATTAATCATGTTCTTGGCATAGTCGCTGTGTAGTTCGCAAGATTTTCATGCATCCTAAGCCCCACATAAAATGATATATGCCATTCAATTACTGCTACAAACAGCCGTGAGCTACAATGGTGCCATAGAAATTATTTTGATGGTTGTCATTTGAAAGTTGCCAGTGCCATTGGATCCTGGCACAGCGGTTCTCGGAACCTTTCCACTTTGCGCTTAATGTCCAGTCTAGGCCTAGATTTGAGTATACCATAATTACTCAACACATTGTAAGGCTATATGATTCCTACTTCTCTGACACCCAAAGTGGCAAACGTATACAAAAACATAATGCCCCAAATGGCGTCGATATTTATTATTAGGACTGCCAGATCCACCATGGTTTAACATATTTGACTTCAAAATGGGACTTGAAAAGTTGTACATCTAATTTATATGCCTTAGGAAGGGAAATAAATTGTTACGGTGGTAAAGCTAGCTAAATATAGATATATAAATAATACCGCTAAATAAATATACATACACAAACATCTAGTTTTAATGAAAATTCGGAAAACCCTTGTACATCCTTCAGAAAAGTTGTAAAAAGATGAATAGAGCAGGGAACAGAGGTCGTAAATGCAACTGTGGGATCTTTACAATGTGTCCACAACGGAGAAGAAAGCTTGTATTGACGAGTGTGCAGCTGTAGGGAGTGCTTGTATAAAGGCGTGCTTGTATAAAGATTGTAAAACGTGTAGTGTGAATGTATAGGGAGGAAAGATGAAAGCGGAGAACTGGGAAGGAAAATGTGGTGGGATGGTGTTATTAACTCTATAACAAGGAGACATGAAAACCAGGATTACGTTTGGATGGCAAGAAACCAAAGGACGAGTGTTTGTGAAGAGATGTGAGAATCGATAACAGAGCTAACACAGCCAGAAGGAACTGAGAAAACATTCTAAATAAAAATGGGAGACAAAAACTCTCTAAGAAATGCCAATTTAAAGGAGAAATTTTTTTTCCCCCATCCCAGCACATAATGAAGCGTTGGACTATATGGAAAAGTGAAGGAAATGGAGCGAGTAAACGAATGGTAGGATGGGAGATGACAACAAATAAGAAAATGGAAGGAACAGAAACAGGAGCTAGTACAAATGGAAAGGACAAAGATGGAAGATGTTAAATGGTAGAATTAGAATTAACTAATGAACAGGAAATTGAAGGAAGCTGGTAAGGAATTGGAAAGGGAGCAAGGAAGGTTGTAAGAAGATGAAAGGAAGCTGGTTATGAAATTGGAGGGGTAGAGAATGGCTGTAATGTGCCGGGTCTACAAACTTTAACAAATGATTACAACATGAAAGAATAATTTTGGTTTTCCACGTACCTCTTCCTTTACTTTGGTGGCTGGAGATTGGATTCTAGCACGTTTGCTGTAACTACTCCTCCTGTTCTCCATGTCCAACATGGACCTCAGTTTCTCAGCATCCAGCTCGTAATCCTGAAACAAAGTAACAGGAAAAATCAAGTTACAACTTTAAGTAAAAACACTTTACTTCCAAAATTCAGTGAGGATAGTTTCACAATCGTAGCTTGGTATGCAATGAGAAGATTATCTACCCATTAATAGAAGTTCCGTTGATAAGCTTCTAGAAGGCTCCAGGAATAAGGGCCTCTCCAAAATTCAATAGTCATTTCAAATACAACAGATGAGAGATATATTACCTTTACTGCTTGTTGATACTGCTGTGCACTCTCCGAAACATGAATCATGTCTTGCTCTCGATCTGCAAATTCCCCCAGCAGGAGCTACAAGGGGAGAAGGAGAACAAGTCTTAGTACTCCAATATCTAGCAATATCTTCCAGATCTATCTACCCTTCTGAGGTATCTCACAATTAAATGTCTCAATTAAGAGTCTGTGAACTCTGATAAGTCTCTCACTTTTTTTTGTCTCCATATTTATCTGTAGATGTTAATCATTACCCGGTGACATTTTGTTTTAGCTCTATGGGGTGGGGGAGAAACCTGAAAACCACACTATACAGTACTCACTAGGAACTGCATAAGCCCTACATTTTGGTTTAAAACAAGTCAGTTTAGGCCAAAGATGAACATCATAAGCACTCCATCTTCTATGATCTAGGATTCACGTGATGTTCATTTTCCACACTCAGCAGCAACTAGAGGTTCTAGAGGTCTCCTTGAGGTTCATTTACCGGCTTTCAAATTCAGTCCCTGTAGTCCACCAAAGGTGAAAGTTGCCAGAATGTCCTTTGGGCATTGTGTGATATTACTAAGGACCAATGGTCACCATTGCTACACATAATCTTCTTTTTGAGATATAACACAACCTTCTGCTGCTGATGCTGAATATTACCAAGCATGCACCAAAGAGTGTTTGATACGATAAATAAAAATACTCTTATCCCGTACAGTGTAGGCAGACGAGAGTGGAAAAATTACACAAAATGGAGGCTCTCACAGCAGAACTTAAAGGCACCACTGAGAAATGTTCTCAGAAGTGGCTTCCATGGCTTGAATATGCGACCACACCAAATTCTTTCCATTAAAAATTGTTTTGTTCTCCACACTTCTCACTCCACTTCGCTCCATTACCAAATTTTTACCAAACACCTAGTTCACTACAATCATCTTGGTAGCACGGCCATAGACCTTCAGGTAAAGTTCAGAGTAGGTTTCTTATTTTAGATAGAAACCAATAGTTTTCCTTTTACATTGCGGACAGGATATAACCAGATTTTGACTTTGTTCTAAGCAACCTGCTAAATTGTCATCTTAACTATGTGTACCCCTAGTTTCCAATCTGAACCCATGTCTTTATAAACGATTAAGAAAATCTTGATAAATAAAGATTGTCCAAAAAAAAAAACACTCTTATCAACTCTGTTTCAATAGTTTTTTTACCCTTTGATTCTTTAGTTTGGTCTCAACTTGCTTGACGCTGTCCGATTCCTTGGGCTCGTAGTTGGGTACATTAAGTAGCCATTGGTTGAGGTTGTCGTAGCTGTTGTGGTAGCCAGAATAAGCTGTCTTCGCTTTTTGCAAAGCTTGTGATCTGTACCGGAGAACCAGCATATCAGAAATTGTGCAGAATTACATTACATTAAAAGAGTTGCACACTATCCTCACAGGTGTCCTCTTACCTGCTCTGAATCTGTTGATCCAGTTGGCTGTATCGTTTGTTGAGTTTTGACACCTCAGCCTCTTGGCGCTCAATATCTGGGCAATGCTCCTGGAAGCGATTGGCCATGTTATTACATATCAGCTTACTGTTGTGAAGATTCTGTTCTGCTTCGGCAAGGACCCCTCTCCCCATTTGCAGCTCCGAGCTCATTGCCTGAACCGGACAGAAAACAACATTAAGATCAGGCAAGAAAAATTAACTACACAAATAAAATGCCATGTTTCACACAGTAGCCAATATCTAGACGTGCAATTTGTTTCGGACCGAATATGAATTTGGACGAATTTCAGGCAATTCGGACATTCGGTACTTCCGAATAGCCGAAGTGCTGAATTACCGAGGTCCCGAAGTTCCAAAATTACTGAATTTCCGAAGTGCCAAAATTCCAAAGTTCCGAAGCACAGTATTGCCTAAGTACTAATATACTTACCCAGTGGAAGAAGAAGAATGTTACACTGTATACCATTTTAAATAAAAAGTATACAAACAGGATTCAGCTGTAAGCATTTGCAACACTTACAACAATCAAGTAACATACATTCATATAAAATGTAAGTTACTTAAATGTAAGTTACTTGGCCAGTCAATGTAATGGCAGGGATGAATAAGTAGATAACTCCCTAATTCCCACGGTATTAGGGAGCTATCTACTAAAAGGCTGAAAGACCTAAGTTGGTCTTTCAGCCAAATTTACTAATACTAAGTAAGAATTACTTAGTATTAGTAAATTATGCCCCTACTCGCTATACCGCGAGTAGGGGCATGTCTATTAAACAGTGAGCAGCCTATGGCGGTGTTATGGAGCTCCCAGGATGGCCAATGGTGCTCAGTGGATACTTTTATGTGCAGGCACCGCTGAGCCTCCAGCCTTCCCTGCTTCTATTCGTGGCTATTTAACTGAACACCTGATCATTCTGGACTTTGTTTTATGTGAATACTTTAACCCAGATAGCACAGCCATGGAGCCTATTTGTGTAATTAAAGACTTTGGCTCCATGGCAATTGAATTATGTGTATAGGATCTGAGCGCTATTCGCTACAATTGTGCGCTCAGATCCCAGCTATCTGGGGATGGGTTACATGTATATATTTTATGTGATAAATGTAACATTATGTATTTTAGTGTTTTATTGTAACCATGTGGTTAATGGAGTTTTGCCTTTGTCCTTGGAGATAATTGGATTACTTCCCAATTATCTCCAGGATAGAGGGAGGGATTGTGATGTACTGTGGTAGTGTTTTAACCCTGTATGCCTGTGATTGGTCATTTTACCATTTGTGTCCCAGTCTTCCATCTGGTCCCCTAGGGGAGTGTCCACCAGGTGGAAGACCTGCATAAATACTGGGCAGGTAGCCCCATTAAATCAGATAACTGCTTGACCCTCAACACGGAGCTCTGTCTCATCTTTGGGGGGGATTTACTGTATGCTGTTAGAGACTGATTGCCAGGAGTGTAAGCCGCTTGGGTGCTTTTCCTGTTCGTCTGCTAGCAGCTATTCGTGAGGTTCCAGTTCGTAAGTTTGGAGTGCTATTATGTAGGCAGTTCCAGTTCGGGAGTTTGGAGCATTCCCTTGTATCCAGTTCGGGAGTTTGGTGTTCTGCAGTAGCTGTGCCTGTGTCTCTGGAAGGGAAGATCTACTAAACGGCGGTTTAACCCTTTTTATGCCTGGGGTGCCGTTACAATTAGGTCCTTCCCCTCATTCTAATTTAGGGCCCCCACCCACCACTCAGGGGTGGGGGCAGGGGGGAGGACATTAGGTCCCTCCCTAACTAATTTCTAGGGCCCCCACCCACCGCTCTGAAACTGCTATGTTTTCAGCTGCAGGGTTAAAACTAGAGGGACCTGGCACCCAGAACACTTCATTGAGCTGAAGTGGTCTGGGTGACTATAGTGTCCCTTTAAGACAGCTTCTTAGTGTCCCCGGATACGGGACACGGGCATCAATTCGGGATGATGGGACAGGAACCCGAAACTGGGACAGTTGGGGGGCATGGATGTTTCTTCCTGATTCTGGACCTTTCAAGTTCACTTTGTACTTGTAGCATTTATAAAGATGCCTGTCTGTCTATATGACCATCCAGCATTATCAGCTCCCTTTAACCATGGTCGTGTAATATAGTGCATTTATGTTCCAACTGAAATCGGATACTCATCATTCTAGGCCTCGGAACCGGCTGATGTGATCTGGGTGTCTGTAGTGGTCCTTTAAGTGTGTGTGCATACCGCGGTCGCGGGGTCGCAGCCCTGCAACCCCTGCGACCAGGTGCCTGCCGCCATGTGTTGCTGTCCCGACCCGCGCTGAGTAAGCGCGGGGGGGGCCCACAGATCAATTTTCGCACCGGGGCCCCATGGGTCATGTGTACGCCACTGGCTGCAAGAGACGTTCCAAAATTCTGAAGTGCCGAAGTCCCGAATTGGCGAGGTCCCGAAGTTCTGAAATTACAGAATTTTCGAAGTGCCGAAGTTGCCGACGTTCCGAAGTGCCGAATTGCCGAAGTCACAAATTTCGGAATGCCAAACTGAAAATTTTTCCCATGCACATGCCTACCAATATCTACAATCACTCACAGTCAACTCTTGCAGCTTTTTATCCGCTGCACGTGGGTCCTCAGGCACAGTGTCATCTTGAGAAAGTTTGGTCTCATATGTGGAAAGCAGGTCACGACTCTTCTGCAGGCTGTTCTCGAGACGATTGGCTCCATCAAGTCTAGAGCAAACATGAAAAGTTGATAAAGACCCCGACCAGAAGAAATGCAGATACATGCCCCAACCACCAAATCCACTCATGGAAAAGTCTCCATGGTGTGAACACATAATATGGGAGAAATGGAAATTCATATCTACATGGAATAGACAGTAGAAATCACCAGCATGTATTTGATTAAATTTAATCACTAATCCGAATAATAAACAATATAGTATGCATTTACAATTAAACAGATTATATTGGAAGGTTAGGGGTAAGATCATGAATTTGAAACCTACTTTCAGCCAAGTCCATGCAGCAGAGAGACAGTTCGTGCATTACTTACTTCTCCTGGGCAGAACTGAGGAGGTCATTGACGCGGTCGTACTTATTGTTGGTTTCTGACATTTTGCTTCGTAGGATAGGAGAACTGGAGACATCTTGGTTGTTCTTCAAGTAGACGTCACACTCTTGGACACGTTGGCTCTTCTCAGGCTCGATACGACGTACTTGATTGGAGATATTCTAGAAGACCCAAGAAAGAATGAATTAAGAGACACTGATGACCCAAAATACCTCATATTACATTCATATAAAAGTTATATTACCAAAAAAATGTGTATCTTTTAAACATTATTTTATTTTTATGTTCAGATATTCCTTAATTCAATGCTCTAACACACTCCCATTAATTCTGGTATGTATAATTGTTTACATGGCAGAACGTGTGACTGGTGTAATGAAAGTTAGACTGTCTGCTGCGTGTGATTGGCTAAAATTAGCTACAAAAAACGTGAGACATCCCATCAGTGGACAGCACACGGCAAACCTTCCCCAAGAGCAAGTCAGTGGTGGACAGCGCATGCTGCCTCTCCTCAGTTTCATAATGAACACTGAAAATATTCGTTTTCAATCTGGATGGTGCCTTGTTTGTATATATCTATATGGATAGATATGTCAATGTTGCCTAACAGAAAACGAAAATAACTGCAGTTTTCCTTTAACAGAGGAAATCTGGTGGAAATCAGGTTCATAGCTGGACTTGTAACAGGGCAATATAAAATTCAGCTCAAAGTTGGAGCTTATTGTAGGAATAACAATAGCTCCCAAAGGATTCTGCGATCCTGCCAAGTGTTGCCACTCTGTTGCCAAATAGCTTATAGTTTGCGAATCTCGCAATATTTCCAACTATTATTATCTTGGCATTGCCTGTTCCTGTACTGTGGGACCCATATAATACGTACTGCTATACAAACAGCGTGAGTCATAATGAGTTTCTGTTGCCCAGATATAATATTAAGCAGGAAACACAGGACTCCTAAAATAAAGACACTCCCTTTAAGCGGAAAGCTGCTTAAATCAAACTGTGTTCATTATTTTGTGTCGATAAACTGTTTGTAGGAGATAAAAGGAAGCAAGGTAAGTTGTAATTTAAACATAGGTAGCCTTTAAAAGGTGCAGCTATCAGCCAATCACAGAGCAGCAGGGAGTCGAACATTGTACAGCGCTACGGAATCTGATGGCGCTATATAAATAATAAAATAATAATATTGAATCACTTGTCTTAAGATATGTTTTTAAGTCTATATGCGTGCTCTCAAACAAAAATTGATACTAATGCTCTCTGAGCATTACCTTGAGCTCCTTTAGCCTTTCCGAGCTGTCCTGCACTCCCCTGTTTTGCTCCAGCGGGGGTCGTAGTTGGAAACTGATGGCCTTCTCTTGCCGGTCCAGGTCACTGATGACTTTGTCCATCCCTGCGAGAAGCTGACGGCCCTGGGTATCCTGGGAACTTGAAACAGCTGTGGGTAATAATTTTAAGAGTTTGGCACTAGCACTTTTACCATAGAATTAGAATATATTATTACATAGGCTGAGCTATACCACGTCCTGGATCATGGGGTGCATAGAAAGCTGCAATGGGTATGTTGCTTAGAGTGTCCCTGTAAGGTACTCTCAAAAAGATTTACCATGCGAAGCAAGAGGAATAAGGGTCTATAGCAGGCATGGGGGGATGGTCAGTGCGACTCTGGATTATCTGGAATAATCTAGAGACTTCTTTCATGCCCATGTTTTTCTACCTAATGCTCCCAAACGGTACAATACTTTCAGTTTCTCAATATGATGTTCAATCCTTCTGAATATGTGGTCATTCGACACAACCAATGTCAGTATCCAAATGGCTGATGTCAGACGAGTTTTTGGATTAACAACTTCTAGATATTCCTTTGATCTCCACATTTTCTGAAGCACATGGAGCCAGCTAGGGCCTTTTTGCAGGGATTATATATCAAAGATTCTTCTCTAAAAGCTTTCAGCCAATATAATATAACCACGTGTTTTATAGTTATATATAGTCACATATGCACAGCCAGGAGTCTGGTTCCCTCAACCAAGCTAAACCTGAAACAAGGCCGGACAAAGAACGGACCTATAGTCCGTGTTGATCTACACCTGTGGCTGGCTGAGAACAATGAGAGTGGTAGTTTGCCCAATGTCAATTTACTTGTTGAGCAAGTTGTGGTGAATTAAGAACCGATTTGACTAAAAAGGCCAAGTTGGAGAATTAGCAGAGCCATGGATATTTCAGGTTACTGCAATTTACTAAGTGGGTAAATGTCTTTCTCTGGCTCCCAGGGGTTGGCAAACTCTAACTCTCCAGTTCTTGCTGAACTCCAAACCCCACGTTCATCTGTCAGACATACAGAAAGACCCAAGATGCAGTGTGTAATAAACAATCAGGAATAAACGTGCACTGGACCTTAGAGTTTGAGAAACAGAGAATAGTTAGGGACAAGCCAGAGGCAGGGAAACCAGAAATCAGGGAAGCGAGGTACAATAGCTGATTCAAGGATTCTGTGGGTAATAATAGCAGTATGGTCGAGAATATAACATGCTATTGGGTACCAAAACTAGAACCATAACAGGGCAATGACCCAAGTCTTGACCACCTTTTTATAGTATGGCTCTTTAATTTTAAAGTCATGCCCCCAAAATGGTTGAATTTTAATGTTTTGGCAGGCCGTGACATCATCAGCGGCATGGCATTGGCTCATCATAAAAGGGGGCAGAGCTAAAGCGCCATAACAACAGGAGAGAAGAAGGACCATTGGAAAGGTTCCCCTCCACCTGCATGACATCCCCTGGTGGTGCCAGAGCCTGGGCTAAATAAGGAACCGTGCCACTACCTTTCATGGTGCAGGTTTGCTCCATATAGTAAATAATTGGAAGTCAAGACTTTCTGTTTTATCCAGTTTCAAGACCACTTTATGTCAAGGGTAGCCAACAGGTAGACCCTCATTTTTACCGCCCATGGCAGGAAAGCAAAGTATCATTGGAATTGTAGTGCTACATAAGTTGGGGATGTTACTGTTGGCCACCATGCTCTGTCTCACCCAGTTTGTGCCCCAGTTATCCCAACATACCCTTGTTGGATTCTCTCTTCAGGTCATCGTAACGCTGGAGCAATGCACCCCGGTCTTTGACGGCTTTCTGCTTTGTGGCTCGGTATTGGTTGCCGATGCTGTCACAATAATGAGAATTAGTAAAGGTTTGGTTATTAAAAAAATTGTTAAGGTGGATGCTATGAGGCATCATATCAGCATTTAGAACTGGAATTAGAGAGAGTGGTTAGAGGAGATATAACGGGGATGCAAATTTATAGAATGACTGCCAAAGAGGGATAAATCAGACAATTAAAGAGGAACTAGAGGGATTCGCTATAGAAGCAGTTAGCAAAAAAACCTATAACGTACAGGATAAATATATAAATATAAGAGGGGAATACAGAGATTGAGTACAGGAACTTTTAGATCCCTGACTGAGGTGTATACAGACTGAGTACAGTAATGAATAGAGGAAGGACTGTAGAGACTGAATACAGGAATGTTTAGAGGAAGGTCTGTAGAGACTGAGTACAGGAATGATTAGAGGAAGGTCTGTAGAGACTGAGTGCAGGAATGATTAGAGGAAGGTCTATAGGGACTGAGTACAGGAATGATTAGAGGAAGGTCTGTAGAGACTGAGTGCAGGAATGACTAGAGGAAGTTCTATAGAGACTGAGTACAGGAATGATTAGAGGAAGGTCTATATAGACTGAGTACAGGAATGATTAGAGGAAGTTCTAAAGAGACTGAGTACAGGAATGATTAGAGAAAGGTCTATAGAGACTGAGTACATGAATGATTAGAGGAAGGTCTGTAGAGACAGAGTGCAGGAATGATTAGAGGAAGGTCTATAGAGACTGAGTACAGGAATGATTAGAGGAAGGTCTATATAGACTGAGTACAGGAATGATTAGAGGAAGGTCTGTAGAGACTGAGTGCAGGAATGATTAGAGGAAGGTCTATAGAGACTGAGTGCAGGAATGATTAGAGACTGAGTGCAGGAATGATTAGAGGAAGGTCTGTAGAGACTGAGTGCAGGAATGATTAGAGGAAGGTCTGTAGAGACTGAGTGCAGGAATGATTAGAGGAAGGTCTGTAGAGACTGAGTGCAGGAATGATTAGAGGAAGGTCTATAGAGACTGAGCACAGAAATGATTAGAGGAAGGTCTGTAGAGACTGAGTGCAGGAATGATTAGAGGAAGGTCTGTAGAGACTGAGTACAGGAATGATTAGAGGAAGGTCTATATAGACTGAGTACAGGAATGATTAGAGGAAGGTCTATATAGACTGAGTACAGGAATGATTAGAGGAAGGTCTATAGAGACTGAGTACAGGAATGATTAGAGGAAGGTCTATATCAGCTCAAGGGGGGAATATAGAGATTGAGTACAGGGACTTTTAGATGAGCATATTGAGTAGAGATCAGATTACAGCAAGGTCTATAAAGACCGAGTACAGGAATGACTAGAGGAAGGTCTATAGAGAGAGACTGAGTACAGGAATGATTAGAGGAAGGTCTATATAGACTGAGTACAGGAATGACTAGAGGAAGGTCTATAGAGAGAGACTGAGTACAGGAATGATTAGAGGAAGGTCTATAGGGACTGAGTACAGGAATGATTAGAGGAAGGTCTATATAGACTGAGTACAGGAATGATTAGAGGAAGTTCTATAGAGACTGAGTACAGGAATGATTAGAGGAAGGTCTATAGAGACTGAGTACAGGAATGATTAGAGGAAGGTCTGTAGAGACAGAGTGCAGGAATGATTAGAGGAAGGTCTATAGAGACTGAGTACAGGAATGATTAGAGGAAGGTCTGTAGAGACTGAGTGCAGGAATGATTAGAGGAAGGTCTGTAGAGACTGAGTACAGGAATGATTAGAGGAAGGTCTATATAGACTGAGTACAGGAATGATTAGAGGAAGGTCTGTAGAGACTGAGTACAAGAATGATTAGAGGAAGGTCTGTAGAGACTGAGTGCAGGAATGTTTAGAGGAAGGTCTGTAGAGACTGAGTACAGGAATGATTAGAGGAAGGTCTGTAGAGACTGAGTGCAGGAATGATTAGAGGAAGGTCTATAGGGACTGAGTACAGGAATGATTAGAGGAAGGTCTGTAGAGACTGAGTGCAGGAATGACTAGAGGAAGTCTATAGAGACTGAGTACAGGAATGATTAGAGGAAGGTCTATATAGACTGAGTACAGGAATGATTAGAGGAAGTTCTAAAGAGACTGAGTACAGGAATGATTAGAGAAAGGTCTATAGAGACTGAGTACATGAATGATTAGAGGAAGGTCTGTAGAGACAGAGTGCAGGAATGATTAGAGGAAGGTCTATAGAGACTGAGTACAGGAATGATTAGAGGAAGGTCTATATAGACTGAGTACAGGAATGATTAGAGGAAGGTCTGTAGAGACTGAGTGCAGGAATGATTAGAGGAAGGTCTATAGAGACTGAGTGCAGGAATGATTAGAGGAAGGTCTGTAGAGAATGAGTGCAGGAATGATTAGAGGAAGGTCTGTAGAGACTGAGTGCAGGAATGATTAGAGGAAGGTCTGTAGAGACTGAGTGCAGGAATGATTAGAGGAAGGTCTGTAGAGACTGAGTGCAGGAATGATTAGAGGAAGGTCTATAGAGACTGAGTACAGAAATGATTAGAGGAAGGTCTGTAGAGACTGAGTGCAGGAATGATTAGAGGAAGGTCTGTAGAGACTGAGTACAGGAATGATTAGAGGAAGGTCTATATAGACTGAGTACAGGAATGATTAGAGGAAGGTCTATATAGACTGAGTACAGGAATGATTAGAGGAAGGTCTATAGAGACTGAGTACAGGAATGATTAGAGGAAGGTCTATATCAGCTCAAGGGGGGAATATAGAGATTGAGTACAGGGACTTTTAGATGAGCATATTGAGTAGAGATCAGATTACAGCAAGGTCTATAAAGACCGAGTACAGGAATGACTAGAGGAAGGTCTATAGAGAGAGACTGAGTACAGGAATGATTAGAGGAAGGTCTATATAGACTGAGTACAGGAATGACTAGAGGAAGGTCTATAGAGAGAGACTGAGTACAGGAATGATTAGAGGAAGGTCTATAGGGACTGAGGACAGGAATGATTAGAGGAAGGTCTATATAGACTGAGTACAGGAATGATTAGAGGAAGTTCTATAGAGACTGAGTACAGGAATGATTAGAGGAAGGTCTATAGAGACTGAGTACAGGAATGATTAGAGGAAGGTCTGTAGAGACAGAGTGCAGGAATGATTAGAGGAAGGTCTGTAGAGACAGAGTGCAGGAATGATTAGAGGAAGGTCTATAGAGACTGAGTACAGGAATGATTAGAGGAAGGTCTGTAGAGACTGAGTGCAGGAATGATTAGAGGAAGGTCTATAGAGACTGAGTGCAGGAATGATTAGAGGAAGGTCTGTAGAGAATGAGTGCAGGAATGATTAGAGGAAGGTCTGTAGAGACTGAGTGCAGGAATGATTAGAGGAAGGTCTGTAGAGACTGAGTGCAGGAATGATTAGAGGAAGGTCTGTAGAGACTGAGTGCAGGAATGATTAGAGGAAGGTCTGTAGAGACTGAGTGCAGGAATGATTAGAGGAAGGTCTATAGAGACTGAGCACAGAAATGATTAGAGGAAGGTCTGTAGAGACTGAGTGCAGGAATGATTAGAGGAAGGTCTGTAGAGACTGAGTACAGGAATGATTAGAGGAAGGTCTATATAGACTGAGTACAGGAATGATTAGAGGAAGGTCTATATAGACTGAGTACAGGAATGATTAGAGGAAGGTCTATAGAGACTGAGTACAGGAATGATTAGAGGAAGGTCTATATCAGCTCAAGGGGGGAATATAGAGATTGAGTACAGGGACTTTTAGATGAGCATATTGAGTAGAGATCAGATTACAGCAAGGTCTATAAAGACCGAGTACAGGAATGACTAGAGGAAGGTCTATAGAGAGAGACTGAGTACAGGAATGATTAGAGGAAGGTCTATATAGACTGAGTACAGGAATGACTAGAGGAAGGTCTATAGAGAGAGACTGAGTACAGGAATGATTAGAGGAAGGTCTATAGGGACTGAGGACAGGAATGATTAGAGGAAGGTCTATATAGACTGAGTACAGGAATGATTAGAGGAAGTTCTATAGAGACTGAGTACAGGAATGATTAGAGGAAGGTCTATAGAGACTGAGTACAGGAATGATTAGAGGAAGGTCTGTAGAGACAGAGTGCAGGAATGATTAGAGGAAGGTCTATAGAGACTGAGTACAGGAATGATTAGAGGAAGGTCTATATAGACTGAGTACAGGAATGATTAGAGGAAGGTCTGTAGAGACTGAGTGCAGGAATGATTAGAGGAAGGTCTATAGAGACTGAGCACAGGAATGATTAGAGGAAGGTTTGTAGAGACTGAGTGCAGGAATGATTAGAGGAAGGTCTATAGAGACTGAGCACAGGAATGATAAGAGGAAGGTCTGTAGAGACTGAGTGCAGGAATGATTAGAGGAAGGTCTATAGAGACTAAGCACAGGAATGATTAGAGGAAGGTCTGTAGAGACTGAGTGCAGGAATGATTAGAGGAAGGTCTGTAGAGACTGAGTGCAGGAATGACTAGAGGAAGGTCTATATAGACTGAGTACAGGAATGATTAGAGGAAGGTCTATATAGTCTGAGTTCAGGAATGATTAGAGGAAGTTCTATAGAGACTGAGTACAGGAATGATTAGAGGAAGGTCTGTAGAGACTGAGTGCAGGAATGATTAGAGGAAGGTCTGTAGAGACTGAGTGCAGGAATGATTAGAGGAAGGTCTATAGAGACTGAGTACAGGAATGATTAGAGGAAGGTCTATATCAACTCAAGGGGAGAATATAGAGATTGAGTACAGGGACTTTTAGATGAGCATATTGAGTAGAGATCAGATTACAGAAAGGTCTATAAAGACCGAGTACAGGAATGACTAGAGGAAGGTCTATAGAGAGAGACTGAGTACAGGAATGATTAGAGGAAGGTCTATAGAGAGAGACTGAGTACAGGAATGATTAGAGGAAGGTCTGTAGAGACTGAGTACAGGAATGATTAGAGGAGAGTTGATATAGACCGAGTACAGGAATGATCACAGGAAGGTTTATATAGACCGAGTACAGGAATGATTAGAGAAAGGTCCATATAAATTAGTAGCCATTTACCTGTCTCCAAGAGCGATGGCCTCAGGGTCTGTTGGGGGGATCATGAAACAAACACCAGGAGCTACCAATTTCTTTCCATGGCTGTCTATCACCTCCCACTTCTCTCCTTTATTGGTCTTCAGAGTGTAGTTTGAGCTGCGAGTTAGCTCACCCTGCAGAGCATACAGCACATTGAATGGACACACCACGGAGAGCATGCAGCACGCAGAGAGTTAACACTATGTCACTATGTGCAGAGCATGCAGCACGCAGAGAGAACACACCACAGAGAGCATGCAGCACACTGAGAGAACACACCATGCAGAGCATGTAGCATGCAGAGAGAACAGAGCATGCAGCATACTGATAGAACACACCATGCAGAGCATGTAGCATGCAGAGAGAACACACCATGCAGAGCATGTAGCATGCAGAGAGAACACACCATGCAGAGCATGCAGCACACTGAGAGAACACACCATGCAGAACATGCAGCACGCAGAGAGAACACACCATGCAGCATGCAGCCCGCAGAGAGAACACACCATGCAGAGCATGCAGCCCGCAGAGAGGACACACTATGTGCAGAGCATGCAGCACGCTGAGAGGACACACTATGTGAAGAGCATGCAGCACGCTGAGAGGACACACTATGTGCAGAGCATGCAGCACACTGAGAGGACACTTTAACACATATACTGTACCTCGTCAGAGACAAAGTCGCACAGAGCCTCAACTGGGATGGGTTTCAATGGGGTCTCCCTGCGGAATTTTAGAGGAGCGACCTGATGACTGCGCTTTTGTAAGGAAGATACAACATCTTCGTACTTGTCCAGTGCCTTCTCCTGGTCCTATCAGAAGGGAGAGATAATGTTACTAAAATGTTTTTATTGCATAAAACGATCCACTAATATAAATATAGCACATCTTTCCATATCATACTACAGTCCGGGTAGGCAACCTTCCACACTCCAGATGTTGTGGCCTACATCTCCCATAATGCCCTTTCAGCCATAGGGGAGATGTAGTTCACTACATCTGGTCTCCCACCGTTATAGTTTGTTAAATGTTTAATGTTAACGTTAGCGAATTAATACAAATGCTGTATTAACCACCTATAGAAAAAACAGGTTTATTTAATAAACTTAAAATGCTAGCAAATTAAGGCCTCAGTTTAATATTGATGGATAAGATTTCCAAGTGATTTGATATTTTTGGATAAAATCGTAAAAGGATTTAATATTCTAAAAAAAATAATTAATTTTGTAATAGTTTGATATTTTTTGACATATTTACAGATTTTCTTTTAGAGATTATAGTTTTGATATTTCAGTATGTTGAAAAAATTATTTTAAAAGTTTATCCATAAATCTTGAATCATTTCATATCCAACAATATTAAAATGAGGTCACAAGTCTGAATGACAAAACTGAGACTAAAGTAGATGATTCTGAGAAATTCTCCATCGTCACAGCAAGTTATTAGAGCCTCGGTTTTACCACTCTGATTTTGTTCTGAGTTTAGTTGATACCTGGATGACATCCTAGAGCAGATCTTTAAATTTCAGACACTCTGCCTGCTCCGGCCCATGTCTTACCTCGAGCTCTCGCAGCTGGGCTTCAATTTGATATTTATCCTTAAAGTCTGGGCTGTACTTATGGTCCAAATCTGTGTCCACCTTCTTCAGGAGTTCCTGGGAGTCTTTGGCGTCTCTGTAGAACTGTAACAGTGAAAGAAGAATTTGTTTTGGGAGAAATCTTTAAAGTGGGAATGGTTGTGAATTTGACAATATAGACCAAAAGAGCCAAATTGTAAAAATTATCCAAGACAACTATGTTTTGGCTATTTTAGTCTATAAGTCAGAATTTACATTGAAATCCCAATCCATTACAAACCACAGAACTTGGTATGCACCAAATGAGAGTTATTTGAAAATATCATCCCATTGAAAAAATGTGCAAGCCTAGTTAGAATGCTTTGATAATTAAAATAATGGTTACAAAGTTCTGTTATTCGAAGCCTAGGTTCAATGCTCTGCTAATTAAAGTAATGGTTACATAGTTCTGTTATTCGAAGCCTAGTTGCGATGCTCTGCTAATTAACGTAATGGTTGCGATGCTCTGTTCTTGCAAGCCTAGTTGCGATGCTCTGCTAACTAAAGCAATGGTTGCAATACTCTGTTATTGCATGGCTGCGTAGTTGTCCATGCGCAGTCTCCTCACCTGGTGGTAGTCCTCCATGTACTTTAGATGGCTCTCCTCACAGATTAAGAGGTTGAGATATTCCTTCCAATCAGCGTGGACGGCATCCATGTGAGCCTGACACAGAGAATAATAAGCACATTACGTAAGCTGTTCATGCATTATTCTACAGGATCTATCTCCATATCATATGCTCCCAGAATCCCTGAATCCAGCTCTCCTCCGACCACCAAGATGATTGACTCAAGCAGTGGCATATCTGTGCCATGTTGAATTACCTCTACAGGGATTTTCCCTGGGTGTCCAGATGCCAAGAGCTTATCTCCCTCCTCCTGTAGTTTGTTGATCTCTTGTTCCTTGGCTTCCAAGCTTCGTTGAATGAAATTCTGTGGAAAATAAAAATAATTTTACACAATGTATGAAGCGTATTGAGTTGTATGGAAGGGATAACCCCCTGAACAATCAAGTTACAGGAAAGGATTGGCCATTTTCACTACTTGCAGTCACTAATGCAAGAGACAACTCTTTTATTAAAATAATAATAATAATGTCGTTTTCACATCCTACAGGAAACACTAGCAAAAAAAGAAATGCCAATTCCCGTGTCGTATATATGCTCAGTCAAATTTTCCAGATATTTTTGACTAAAAATCAAAGATCCTAATCAGATCTTGCAGCACACTGTGTTTTATTAAGAAGTTTGTTGTTTTTTTTTTTTATGTGTTTGAACCTAAATTACACAAAAGAGAATGTTGCAGGTTAAGCTGGCAATTAGCAGACCTGGTGAAAGTAAATTCTAAATAAAACACATTGTGCAATAAAGGAAAGAGAGAAATGTGTAGGGAGGCTGTGTGAGTCTCAGCCAGTAAAGATGAGACTAGGACTGCATAAACAACGTGATTTAACGCAGAGACAGCAGAAAACTGAACAGTGAAACTGCACGGACACGATCTCTACACAAAAACATATTTTGGTGCATAGAGTGTCCCTTTAATGTCCCTGTCACTTAGAGCTGTAGACTGTGTCTGGATTGTGATTTGGTTTTTGTAATGTGTTTTCAGATGTTATAATACATGTGGTGTGATGTGCTGGGTGTTTGCATTCCCAGATCTTAATTCAAATCAATGCAAATGATCTGATTCCGGCATGAGCGGCATTAAACAAATCCCATTGCATATTACTGCTAAATATCCTGTGAAAACATAGTCTGTTTTTATTACCAATTTACTAACATTGGTTTATGGATTTGTGTGTAAATCCCTCTGATATAATGAACAAGCTTTTATTTTGCTGTTTTGTTGCAAGTGATAAATGATGCAATACATGTGGCCGAAGTACTTGTTAATACAGGGTTTGTTCACTAAACTATGAATTATAGTGGAAACGCATTGCAAAATCCAGGCTAAAATAGTCGAGTTGTATCGACTGCTCAGAAGTTTTCCAAATCAACTATTTTTGCCTACATTTCGTAATGGATTTTTTTTACTTTGATGCCGCACCTCATACTGTCGCCTGCGGCTGATGTAGTCCGTATTGCGATCGCTCCAGTCATATTCCATTCTTTCTTTCTCCTGCTGGTCCAGCCAGTATAGCTCGTTGGTGCAGCGCTGCATGTAATCCTGCAGGGTGTTCAGGTCCCTCTGACGCTTCTGGGATGCAGCCTGGTAATTGTAGGGGAAAGGTGGAGACAATGGGTATATAGAGCTGCATCAGGTATCGTAGGACACTGCCAGATGATAATAACAATTGTTTATATAGCGCCAACATATTGTGCAGAGTTGTGTTGGGCAAATCTGTAACTCATTAACATGAGTATGTATGGCTGTCTATTGCTCTGCTACATGGGTATTTGGGGCTGTCTGTTACTCTGATAATGGGATTATTTGGAGCTGTCTGTTACTCTGATAATGGGAGTATTTGGAGCTGTCTGTTACTCTGATAATGGGAGTATTTGGAGCTGTTACTCTGGTAATGGGAGTATTTGGAGCTGTCTGTTACTCTGATAATGGGAGTATTTGGAGCTGTCTGTTACTCTGATAATGGGAGTATTTGGAGCTGTTACTCTGATAATGGGAGTATTTGGAGCTGTCTGTTACTCTGATAATGGGAGTATTTGGAGCTGTCTGTTACTCTGATAATGGGATTATTTGGAGCTGTCTGTTACTCTGATAATGGGAGTATTTGGAGCTGTCTGTTACTCTGATAATGGGAGTATTTGGAGCTGTTACTCTGATAATGGGAGTATTTGGAGCTGTCTGTTACTCTGATAATGGGAGTATTTGAGGTTCTCTGTAACTCTGATAATGTGAGTATTTGGGGATCTTTGTTACTCTGATAATGTGAGTAATTGGGGATCTTTGTTACTCAGATAGCATGCGTGTTTGTCCTGTCTGTTACTCTGATAGTTTGAGTATTTGGGGCTGTCTGTTACTCTAATAATGTGAGTGTTTTAGGCTGTATTTTACTTCGATAATGTGAGTATTTAGAGCTGTCTGTTACTCTAATAACGTGAGTATTTGGAGCTGTCTGTTTCTCTGATAATGTGAGTGGTTGGGGTTGTCTGATAATGAGAGTGTTTTAGGCTGTATTTTACTCTGATAATGCGAGTATATGGAGCGGTCTGTTTCTCTGATAATGTAAGTATTTTATGGCTGTCTGTTTCTCTGATATTGCATGTGTTTGGGGCTTTCTGTTACTTTGATAATGTGAGTATTTGGGCTGTCTCTTTCCGTGATAATGTGAGTGTTTGGGGCTATCTGTTACTTTGATAATGTGAGTATACGGAGCTGCATGTTACTCTGATAGAGTGAGTGTTTGGGGCTTTCTGTTACTCTAATAATGTAATGCTTTCTGTAGTATTCGGGAAGTATCTGGACCTACTTACCAAAAGCTTCTGATATTTAACCTGCAGGGTGCTCACATACTCCTGAAAAACAAGCAAAATAATCCCATCATTGAGAAATAAAAACACATAGACTCAGTGAGATTAATATCTATGAATGACACTGTCTTTTGGGGTCTCCTGACCTTGTCGGGGTCTTTGTTCACTTGGTCTCCGATGGCTTTGACCTGATTGTGGAATATATTGTGCTCCTCAATCTGCTTTTCCAAATTTGGCAAATCCGTAGCAAATCCCTGACCACTGACCAAATCCTGCAACGATAATTAAGGCACATTGCATTTATACAAGCAGACCACTTATTAAATCACACCAGAGATATCACGATCTACACAGTCATAAAGGTAATCACAGACTGATGCAGAGCATTCTCCAATATTGACATGTCTACACTCAGTGGCTACTGTGCTGGTTACACCTGTTTGTTAATATAAATGCAGTCAGAGAGTCATGTGTCTGCAACTCAACTATTAAAACAACTTTGGCTTAATGAAGCAGTTTATGGATCATGCCTTCGAAGTTTCACTGCTCAATTCTCTGCCATTTAATACTTAAATAACTTTGGTTTCTGTTCACACATCACTAGCCACTCCTCCCCTGGCTTTGACTGACACAGCCTGAATAAAAACATAACAGTTTCATTTTCAATCAGCTGTTAACTTGCTTTAAAAGTTTTTATTTCCTGCTCCGTAAACTGAACTTTAATCACATACAGGAGCCTCCTGCAAGGTCTAGCAAGCTATTAACAGAGCAGGAGATAAGAATGAATTTGCAATAAAGGAAGCATAAACATTAGATGACTCTTTACAGGAAGTGTTTAGGAAGGCTGTGTAAGTCACATGCAGGGAGGTGTTGCTAGGGCTGTATAAACTAAGCAGTGGAACTCCTAAATGGCAGAGAATTAATCATGCAGGACCATGATCCATATACCAACATTGCTTTATTAAACTAAAGTTGCTTTGGTGACTATATGTCACTTTAAGCATACAGACATGGGCTAAAGAATTTAGGTGTTTGTCGACCAATCATTAAAGAGGATCTATACTAAAATGACTTTACTGTGAATATTGGTGCAAGATGTGGTGTTTCTAACATCTCAAAATAGCCAAAAATGAAGCTGACAGGCTATAGCAGTAGAAGACCATGCTGGGTTCAATTCCTGTCCACTAAAAACAGAGAACTGATTCTACAGCTGGAATTTGATCTCCACAACTCTCATCAAAACAGCTGTATTATTTGACTTAATCCTTTGAGGTCAGGACACACAAAACCAATATGGACTCTTGTAGAGGCCATCGTAGGTCCTACCTGATATTAGAAATGGGTACCGAACAAAGTGGTTACAGAGTTATTTTTAAAAGTTCTCACATCCTGGCGTAACTTTAAATATTTCAACTTAGATAAGAGTTCTCAAATTTCCCCAAGTATCACTCATACTAGAATGAACATTACTTGTGACTTGTTTGTGATAGGTAGTATAAATAACATGGGTTCTCTAAGAGGTCCTCCTACCATGTTGTCATCAATCAGTTTACTCCAGTTAACTTTGGGAGCCTGTCCTGATGGCACCGAATGGGTATAAATTTGCTCGTGCTTCTGTCTTTGACTTGCAAGACGTCCCTTCAGCTGCCGGATGCTGAAAAGAAAAAGATTTAGAATTCACACTCTGGATCACTACAGCCACATTCTATGCTCTTGGTATCTGCCAAAGCTAGTTAATATCAGTAAGGGGACCAAGAGAAGTTATCCCTGCGAGTGGTGTGTCTGAGGTGTGGGAGTGGGCTTGGCCCTGTAATTGAATCACAAAAAATATAAAATGGTGTGTGATGGGAGTTGTGTGTGTAAGTGTATGAATATGATGGGACATAACTGCATATGTGTAATGTGAGTGGCAAGTGCCTGTGTTTGTGTGGGAGGCTGTTTGTGTTTTGTGGGGGTCACCCTTTTAAAAAAAATAATAATGTTAAAAAAAAGTGTGAGAGCACCCACTAAGGCTCACAGAAGTAAACACTGCCAAGACACGTGAAACAACCTGGTGCTGCTCCTAGACCCCCCACTAGAGGTGGTAATTTACCCAGGGTAGTTAATCAAGCCAGAAAGCCACCCCACTGTACAGCTGTTATACTACAGACACAAAGTGAATTCAGGAGAGGGACAGGGAGACGGCCCCTAGTCACCAGCAATCCATCACCCACAGGTAAACACGGGGCACGCCCTCTCTCTACTTGGACTTAAGCAGCTAAGCTGTTGGCATCTCCAATGGTTTCAGGTCCAACAAAATTTTTAACAGGGAAGTGATTATCTAACTTATTTAACCTATTGTATAATGACGATGTATGTATGTTTGTACTATGTTAAAGTACTTTTTAACCCCCCCCCCTTCTCTTCTGTACCCCATCTCTGCTTCTTTTATGACAAAATAGAAATTGTCAAATTGAAAAAAAAAAAAAAAAGTGTGAGAGCCTGTGGGCCGCATCTTCTGTGGGTGTAGATGTTGTTAGTGTTCCCTACGGCCCTGGGTGCCACCATTGATCATAGAGATTCAACAATCAAAAGGGAGCACAGCCAGTGACTTGCACCCGCCAGAGATACAGAAAATACTATCCATCACTGCACCGGTGGCCACGGGGCCTGATCTCCCACTAGCACATGGACCCAAAGAGCTTCCCCTGTGCCCCCTTGGAGCAGTCCCTGGTGAACTGGTTACGATTGTTAATTCGTTATTATTTACAAATAGAAATTCTGGGCTAAAATTCTAAACATTGAGAAATCGCCATGGAAACCAATGGAATGTTCTTAGCTCTTGCTTCTCTCCAGAATGCTCCTTATATACCAACCACATAGTCCCACATAGTCCCACATAGTCCCACATAGTGCTTTTGTGGTTGTTTCGGGAAGGTACAATAATCAGCACTGACAGTGCTTAACGGAAAATAGAAAGAACTCTGACTGCTCTCTGCCAGTCCGGCTTCACCACCTGCTACAGATCGAGTGTCACCATACCGGCTATTTTTACAAGCAGGATTTATTGTGGTCTTTGCTATTCCCTTTCTTTATAGTGTTCTTCACCATTCCTCTTAGTCACAATAAATAATAATGTTATAAAATTCATAATGCAGCGACGGTGAGAACAATCCCTCCTGTGCCAAAATGTATTAACCAGTTCTTTGTATCTTCTTTGATAACGGGACTCCAAGAGCATTAGAGTGGTCAGAATTGTTATGAATTGATGAAGAATTTACCAGATTTATGCCAGAGATTCTCGTTTGGAAAAAAAAAAATCCAGTCTGACTATTTTCTCAGCATTTTCAGCCAACATTTTTTTTAGTTCAACTTTTGTTTCCTCACAATTCACCATTTACCGGTTTATTCGCTACAGTGATAATTCAAAATGATTTTCAACTTTAAGGACATAATAGCTTAGCTAGAAAAGTTCCTTTAAATCAGCCATGCTTTCAGTTCGGCTAATCTGTCCTTAAATTTGAAATTCACTTTGAATTTACGTTCAATTCTCACCTTAGTAAATAACCCTGTTAGTGTATTATATTGAGTGAGTTTCCTCTGCATTTTAAAAATACAAAAATATAGAAAATCAAAATAACTGTAATACATATTGTTGATAAAAAAAAAACAAGCGATTCTTACTCCTCCGTTATCATCTCTGCTTGCGGGTGATTCAGCTGCCGCGCCAGAACTGCGTCCGTTTCAAGGACCACTAACAGTTTTTCAGAGTCCGAAATGTTTGATGAAGTTGCGTCCCTATACATCACTGGCTGAGAGGCAACTAACTTATCCACGTCCTACGAAGAAATAGAAAGAAAAAGGTACATATTCAGGTTTCTACATGTTCATAGATAATATTAAAGTATTTAACCAGGAACGATACAGTTAGCTTGTCATTAGTTTCCAAGTGCATCCTGGGATTCATATGTCTAGCCTGTCTGTCCAGACATCCAATTACTTGGAGTAGGTAACGCGGTATAACGATGAGCATAAGACAGTTACTGTTTAGAATGTTTTGTTTTAGAATTCATTCATGTGCATCCAAATACAAACTGCTTTTTGGATTAAGTGAGCCATGAACATAGGGGATGCGGGAAATATTTACAATAATAACAATATAATCGAAAAACGTGGAAACAATACATTTCCAAAAGAGAAACAAAAATATATATTTTTTAAAGTATTTTAGTAGGGAAATATTTAGTTGTTGGCTTAAGCTGGAATTTTAATTAATTCGACTCCGCCTAATTCGTACAAAAAATAAATTTAATGGATTCAATATTATTCAAAAAAATATATATATAAAACACTTTTCTCTATGATGCCATACATCGTAGAAGGATATGCAAGTGCTGCTGAGGTGAGTGTTTTTTTAAGGCACCATGGAAAGAAGGATTCTGGGTAAGGCTGCCTTTTAATGTATAAATAAATGCCACAAATTGCAGGCAACACTTTTCATGCAACACCCATCAGCACGTAGAAGTGTCCATGAAAACCCATCTGGTAAAAAAAAAGACAAAGCCACTGTCACAATTAAACCCAGACAGGGCTATTACCTAGTGTGAAAATTGCTGAGAATTTAAATAGAATTTCAAGTATAAAGACAAAATAGCCGATCTGAAAACAGAACTGACTTGGAGAATTTCTCCAATTAGATTTCTTTGGCTTTAATTTTGAAATTTACTTTGCCAAAACCCAGTGTGACTCACTACTTTAATCTGAAAACACTTTGTGGGTGTGGATTTAGAAAAAAAAAAAAAATAAGACATTTTGTTTATTTATTTGGCAAAACAAGCTATTAAATAAACAAAATACATTTTTAGATGGTAAAAATTAGAATAAAAATTTCCATAAATATGATCTCTATTTGGGAACTCTACGTTCTTTAATTAGAACCAGTACTCACCGTAATGAGATCCCTAGTAGTTAAAGGAAGAGTACTTTATTAATCTGAGAAAGTTAGACAAATGTAGATTACAGAGTTCAAGTAAATGTCATTGGAAACACATGGGATAAAAGCAATGCACACACAGTAAAAAGACAATGAGAAGACTGCGTATGCCCTGGGTGTTATTCTATTCCAACTCAATGGTCCTCAATTTATTGACTTGGAAATACTTATTCTAGAAATCGAGCAGTTAGGGTACTAACCACTGAGCTATCTCACATGGAAACATAATGAGAATTCTTAAGTAAAACAAAAGACTTTCATTGTGAAATAAAAATACATAAATGGCAACATAACAGCCAGTCCAATGGAAACAAGGATACTTATTCAATAAACACTGAATTGGAGTAAATTTAAAAGCAGATTGCAAACCCAGGATAAAATAACTAAAAAATAGTTAAAGGGTGGCTATACCCGAGATGGCGATTTTTACCAAATCTGCATCTTTTGCCTAAATTTTGCAATTTGTTTCTCAGTTGATTACAATTCAGCATTTCTAAATATGAATGAGGTTAAGTAATAGGATCTGGAGAGCCATACAGAAAGTGGATCATCAATTCCAATAATCCGAATATACACAAAGTGTAACCCTCTCCAGATCTTGGGCCAATTCCTGGACAAGACCATAGTGAGACGATAAGACATTCGAGATCCAGGTCAGGTAAGCCCAAATAGCTACATTACCACCTATTAAAATGTGAGGATAACATGCACTTTTCAGGTGTCACGTTCCACAAGAACTCATACAAACTGTATCGGGTTCAATAAAGTCAGAAAGAAAACCCAGTAGTGAAATGAAAAAAATAAATAAAAAATGTACGAAATGTCCTCCAAGCTCAACCAATCCTCCTACACAAGTCTGATGAACTAGTCGGACGAGTAAAATGACTGAGTGTAATAATTCTTCAGGCAAAATCTGTAGAATCTAGTGTGCACAACCTGCACTGACACCTGCTATAGGGACAGTGTTTAGGGATTCACCACGTGCCCAATCAGAACCTATGGAAGAATCCAATGGCTTATATTAAGAATGGCGCCGGCTACACTCCGCACAGTATTCCTCTGGGAACATTGGCAATAAGAGAAAATAAAGTTAAAAAATGTGTCGGCATTTCATGAAATGGACACTCTCAGAGTGAAACAGCTCGTAAAACAGATTGACAGAACACCATCATTCGGCACCCGGGATGGTATCTAGATTTTAATTTTAATTTTATCGAAGTAAAAAAAATTGGTACACTGAGACTGGAGTTAAAGCCCCGGTACCCTGAGACTGGAGTTAAAGCCCCCGTACCCTGAGACTGGAGTAAAATCCCTGGTACCCTAAGACTGGAGTTAAAGCCCCGGTACCATGACATTGGAGTAAAAGCCCCGGTACCCTGAGACTGGAGTTAAAGGCCCCGTACCCTGAGACTGGAGTTAAAGCCCCGGTACCCTGAGACTGGAGTTAAAGCCCCGGTACCCTGAGACTGGAGTTAAAGTTCCGGTACCCTGAGGCTGGAGTAAAAGCCCATATACACAGAGACTGGAGTTAAAGCCCTGGTACCCTGAGACTGGAGTTAAAGACCTGGTACCCTGAGATTGGAGTAAAAGCCCTGGTACCCTGAGATTGGAGTAAAAGCCCCGGTACCCTGAGACTGGAGTAAAAGCCCCCGTACCCTGAGACTGGAGTAAAAGCCCCGGTACCTTGAGACTGGAGGTAAAGCCCCGGTACCCTGAGACTGGAGTTAAAGCCCCCGTATCCTGAGACTGGAGTTAAAGCCCCGGTACCCTGAGATTGGAGTTAAAGCCCCGGTACCCTGAGATTGGAGTTAAAGCCCCAGTACCCTGAGACTGGAGTTAAAGTTCCGGTACCCTGAGGCTGGAGTAAAAGCCCCAGTACCCTGAGACTGGAGTTAAAGCCCCGGTACACTGAGACTGGAGTTAAAGTTCCGGTACCCTGAGGCTGGAGTAAAAGCCCCGGTACCCTGAGACTGGAGTTAAAGTTCCGGTACCCTGAGGCTGGAGTAAAAGCCCCGGTACCCTGAGACTGGAGTTAAAGCCCCGGTACCCTGAGATTGGAGTTAAAGCCCCGGTACCCTGAGACTGAAGTTAAAGCTCCCGTACCCTGAGACTGGAGGTAAAGCCCCGATACCCTGAGACTGGAGTAAAAGCCCCGGTACCCTGAGACTGGAGTTAAAGCCCTGGTACCCTGAGACTGGAGGTAAAGTCCCGGTACCCTGAGACTTGAGTTAAAGCCCCCGTACCCTGAGACTGGAGTTAAAGCCCCGGTACCCTGAGATTGGAGTTAAAGCCCCAGTACCCTGAGACTGGAGTTAAAGTTCCGGTACCCTGAGGCTGGAGTAAAAGCCCCAGTAACCTGAGATTAGAGTTAAAGCCCCGGTACCCTGAGATTGGAGTTAAAGCCTTGATATTGCAGTAAATACCCCGAAATTCCTAGATTGGAGTAAAAGCCATGATTTCCTATATTTGCAGATAATACCTATACCCCAGACAACCATTGCCCCTCACAGGACAGGTCTTACCTTCTGCAGCTTGGAGTCTGTCTCCACCACATTGCGCTCCACCTGGTCGGCATTTTTCTGCAGCCTCTCGATGAGATCTGACAGTTCCTTGTTGGAGACCCTGGAAAAGGAGAGAGACGGAATGTCAGCCAGGCATAGCATGTTCATCTCTCTGCTGTCTATCAGAGGGACTCACAGCTTCTCCCACCTCACTGGTTCCCACCCCTGGGCTGGATTATCTCCAGGACCGAGCTCAGTGCCAAAGCATGGAGCACGGACTGGCACACTGCCAGCTCATTAGCTGGTGACTCACCGCTGCCTTTTGTATTACTTTCTAAACAGCGGGTATTAATCCAGAGTGGATAAAGAGCAGCATTCTTTATACGACACGTTCCGGATCACCCACACTATTTGTCTGCTCTGTGCCCATGCCACCCAGCCATCCCTTAGTACATACAATACCTGCTTACATTACTCATCTAGCCAGCACATAAACACTGTTTGATTCCTTTTAAAACCACCAACAGTTTCCAGAGCGTTGTACAGCAGGATTATTGATGAAAACACTAGATTAACGACTGAATGATGAGATCTCACAGACTATGCCAGTGACTGGCAGCCTGGGCACACCGCATCTTTTGGAAACTACCGTTCCCACAATACATCATGGCAAAGGGCATCATGGGGAATGTAGTATGCAAACTTTTGCAGTGTCAAGATAATCCATTGCGGGGCTGTGTGATAAATCGCTCTCCAGCCAGTGAGCACATTGCTGCAATCAGGCAGGGAAGGGGTTAACTCTCCAATGTAACAATCACTCTGTGTGTATAAGAGGTGTGTTAGTTAACTATTTCAGTGCTGGACTGTTTTTACTGATTATTTAAATAAAACATCCTGGAGATGACATGTACACAGCACTAAACTGAGCTAAAATGAGTCATTCTCCCCTATCCGCTCCCCAGGACCAACACACTTCCTAATCCCAGGTCTATTAGTGACAGATGTTCCCTCTAAGAGAGAGAGGGGGGGTCGCTGTTTATGTAATACGTACACTATCAGTCTGCATAACAATGAATATTAACCCGTACAGTGCATTCATTAGGGGGTTATCTCTCCAGGTCACCTTGTCAGTGTACCCTGAGCTTACTACACCATGATTTTATTTAAAGGGACACTGTAGCCACTATAGCGTTGTATATTTAATGCTATAATGTTCCTTTAAAGATGCCAATAAAATGACACAACTCAGCAATCTTCACCAACTGTTCTCATATGTCGTAAATGAAGTGTTAGAATTAAATGTTTGTTGTTTCCAATTGTACAGCGCTGTGGAATATGTTGGCCATATATCAATAATTGTCATTTTGCTTTGGAAGCCAGCCAGGACAAGATGTGACAGGGTAGGACATTCCTGAGATACCATCTGCTTCGCTGGTGATGTGCCCAACTGCCCCATAGGGGGTATATAACCCTAGCACATCTGTGTGCCAGGACAACAAGGGGCCAGAGAGCTGAGCAGAACTCGGATCTACAATCAAATTATAAAATCGAGGAGAAAATATCTGAAGTGAAAACATTCTTCATCACAATTATTTTGACCAAGTCTGCTATTTCAGGGCAAAGTTTATAGTTACATTTCTAATTAGCAGTTCGTTGCTTATTGAATAACCCATTTGTATCCTGATTACCACAGAAGGAAACAAGGAGGTCATTAAATGTTAGGGGGAGTGGGGGGAGCTTAACCCCTTAATGAACTTCTGGAATAAAAGGGAATCATGACATGTCACACATGTCATGTGTCCTTAAGGGGTTAAAGGTAAAAATATAATTCACAAAGAGAGTTTGTTTTTCTAAAAATGTCACTTCAGACCTGGACATCACAATAACAGGGGCCATACATTCAGCCAAACATTGAGACTACCCCCCAAATACATTCTGTACTAAGGTTAACCATTTCAGAGCCTCGGATGCCTGAACATGTACTAACCTGTGATACAAATCATATTTTTCATCCAAGAAAAAAGTGTTTTAGCCGTCCCTCTAGGGAGAATATTTTTAATGCACCCTTTTTAGCTGATTTCAGATCTAGCACCTTGACTTTAACCCCTTAAGGACACATGACATGTGTGACATGTCATGATTCCCTTTCATTCCAGAATTTTGATCCTTAAGGGGTTAAACTGTGCACAAGAATTTCCACGAATCCTGGGGCTATCCCAGCTCTCTGCTATTCTACTTGTAAAGCCGATTCCGAGGCCTAGAATGATGAGAGTATCCGATTTCAGTTGGAACATAAATGCACTATATTACACGGCCATGGTTAAAGGGAGCTGATAATGCTAGATGGTCATATAGACAGACAGGCATCTTTATAAATGCTGGAAAGGTCCAGAATCAGGAACAAACATCCATGCCCCCCAACTGTCCCACTTTCGAGTTCCTGCCCCATCATCCCGATTTGATGCCTGTGTCCCTCATCCGGGGACACTAAGAAGCTGTCTTAAAGGGACACTATAGTCACCCAAACCACTTCAGCTCGATGAACTGGTCTGGTTGCCAGGTCCCTCAGGTTTTAACCCTTCAAATGCAAACATAGCAGTTTCAGAGAAATTGCTATGTTTACATTTGGGGTTGATTCTGCCTTTAGTGGCTGCCACTAGAGGCGCATCTGTGACGCTGGAGGCACATTTTGCCTCCATCGCACAGAGCGTCCATAGGAAAGCATTGAAAAAAAACGTTGGTGGGGGAGGAGAGGTCACCAGCACTGGATTAAGGTAAGTCCACCCTTGGGAGGGAGGTCCCTGAGGGCGGTGGCATCCTCAGGACACTATAGTGTCAGGAAAACCACTTTAAGGAAGCACAGCGCTACTGCATCATTAGACTGTCCAGTGCTCTCTACAAGGTCCTGGGTGACAGGCCCCCACTGTCCTTCAGTGGGCAGACAGGCCCCTTCCTTTTCTGTGCGAGATCGCCCATTATGGTCATCGCCAGAAATGTTAGTCACATCTCTGGCAATGCCCCCTCTCAGGTCTGCCCACCCCAATCAACAAGGTTGGCAGGTATGATTAATCTGACACTATTAGGCAGTACATAATTTTCCCCTTTTGGCAATTACCTTAGGAGAACAGTTTGACATAAAGACAATAACTCCATTGAAAAGTACACTGTAAGCACCATAGCCACTACAACATATATCACTGCAGATTATTGTACTATTGCATCTTATTAGGATGTGCCGGGAGAGCCTTGTTTTTTGCAACGGATTGGAAATTATTTTACAAAAGCTGAGGACTTTTTCCACTGTAATATCACAATAAGCTGTAGTGGTTATGGTGTTTGAAGTATCTATTAGTTACTTGTCTTAGCGTGACAAAATTCGATAGCCAGCCATTATTATGCAAATACTCATACGCCAGCCCTATCCCTTGTCTTAGCACAGTGGAGGTGGGCCACGTTGGTAAGTGTCCTGGTAGATGGTAAGTATACTGTCTATCATAAAGCCAATACAGGCGTCTTCATATTACCACGTGTAAGGGCAAATAAAATACTAAGGGGCTTGTGATGTTAATATTTGTTCTGTACATCCCCAGTGTAGCTGCTCATTACAATTCCTTGTAGTTTTAGGTGGTTTTAAGTGACATTTAATTCTTATCTAGTAAGCAAAAAAAAAAAAAATGAGGCTAACTGGCAAACACAAGGGGGTAACTTGTATTCTGAGGGTCATGTGACCCCCAGTGTTGCAGCAGAGGAGGCGATGGGTACTTTGCTGGTACAAGGAGATCCTCAATGTATTTACCTAAGAAGTGCCCATTGTATAAGGAGAGACCACAAGCTCCCTTGCAGAGACATCGTGTAATCCTTGGCAGGTCGCAGCCTGTTTCAGAGAATTCTTTGTAAAATATTTCATTTCCATATTTTAGATTGTCAGCAGCGTATCAGTTCACGTTTCTCAACCTCGAGTTCCTACACAAACCCAATGATCGGAAACACGTTCTTTATTATTAAGGGGTGATGAAAAGCCAAATGAGCGGTATAAATAGGACTGGAAATTTATGAAAACGTCACACCCTCCCGACAAACCCAACACAGCACAGCGTTTATTAATGAAGTGGGAAATCTCAACAATTATAAGTGAAACGTTTTCACTATCTCCTCTAAAAGAGCCGAGTATGAATAATTTGCCAACCGCGCAATGTTTTCCAGAAATTCACACTTTAGCAAGAGTAACCCTTTGTTGGGGATTATTCACCAATAAATGATTTTATTATTATTATTTTATTATTTATATAGCGTCATCAGATTCCGTAGCGCTCTGCAACGGGTGATATTTATTATCTGCAATATGTAATTACACGGAACATGTATGTATAATATGTACAGTGTTTTATTATAACGATTAATTTGAAACAAATGAAAAGGCTTGAAAATTCAATTTTATTTTATGATTTGTGAACTTTGATTTGGATGACAAATCCTTTAACGAGACCAAAGCTTCCTTTGATAGTTTGCTGCCTTTGTGGGTCTTTATATAGAATAATGCAAGTCAAGGAGGCACAGTCTCATTCCTCTCCTAATAAATGCCTCATTAACCCTGCTGCTCAGTAAATAGGACTGTTTGTGCACAAAACCTCCTCCTTTCAGCCTGTGATCATTTATTCATCTACCACGAACCGTGACACCATTCCCACGGAGGATTGCACGCAAACGTTGATTTTAACTTTTCCTGCCCTAAAATGCGAGAGTCAGTGGTAAATCAATATAGAGTCTGTAGGGGGCACTGCAGAGGCTGGATACTGGAACCTCAACAGAGGCGTGGGAGAAGTGAGCTCTCCACAATCCATACTTCCCAAGTGTCCCTATTAAGGATGGGCAGTCCCTATTTTGTCCATTCTCTCTGTCCCTTTTTTCTAGGAGCTCGATATTGTTGATGTGTCTGAGTGTATATCAGAGCTCCACAGCAATAATACTCTCAGTAATGTGTCTGAGTGTATAACAGAGCTCCACAGCAATAATACTCCCAGTAATGTGTCTGAGTGTATAACAGAGCTCCACAGCAATAATACTTCCAGTAATGTGTCTGAGTGTATAACAGAGCTCCACAGCAATAATACTCCCAGTAATGTGTCTGTGTATAACAGAGCTCCACAGCAATAATACTGCCAGTAATGTGTCTGAGTGTATAACAGAGCTCCACAGCAATAATACTCCCAGTAATGTGTCTGAGGGTATAACAGAGCTCCACAACAATAATACTCCCAGTAATGTTTCTGAGTGTATAACAGAGCTCCACAGCAATAATACACCCAGTAATGTGTCTGAGTGTATAACAGAGCTCCACAGTAATAATACTCCCAGTAATGTGTCTGAGTTTATAACAGAGCTCCACAGCAATAATACTCCCAGTAATGTGTCTGAGTGTATAACAGAGCTCCACAGCAATAATACTCCCAGTAACGTGTCTGAGTGTATAACAGAGCTCCACAGTAATAATGGGAGTAATGTGTCTTTAAATTACAATAAATGTGTTAGGAAATCAGTCAATTTAAAAAAGATACATTGTTCTTGTTCTAAATTTTAGTTGTATAAATTGTTACAGTCAGCTAAAATGTATTCACACAGTCCCACCACGGGAAACACGCCCCTCACACCCCAAAAATGAAAGAGTCGCCCTTGGTCCATCTGAAATATTGCAAAGTATGTTGATTGATGTTCCAATTTATGTTGATTTTTTTTATACTGGGGTTAGTGGGAGGTCCTGGAATATGCACATGGGGTTATTTTAATCTGGTTATGACCTTGTTGGGCCCTTTTCAATGTCCTAAATGTTCTAACTGAGTATTGTGAAATTAGAAAATTGCCTACTGCAAATATGACACTGTGAAAATTTCACTTCTCTACTGCTAAACGAACTTCATCAGTCGTTCATTTTATATTTACTTAGAATTCACTTTCAATTTTCTAATAATTCACATTTAGTGCACAACCCGTGTGGGTTCTGGTAAAACTTCACTTTGACAGCTTCCATTCCTAACATCCTTCCAACATCCAGAAAAAACATCTACTAATCAGCTGTCAAAAAGAAATTAAAAAATAAAACAGAAATTGCTTATGCACCATGAAATATTAAAGGGACAGTGTACTCTAGTAAAATAAATAGTACTAATTAAATTTTTAAAGTTGCTTTATAACTCATTAACATTTTCAGCACCATTGGTGCACAAAAGCTATAAACGTGCAAATATGCAACACAAATGTTCAAATAATCCTAGTACGTTGTCTGTGCTACCGGTGAACGTGTCTTCCAATCATGCGTGTTAATGAGCTGGCTGGAATAATTTGCAGAGTTCAGAGCCTCTCCTCGTCACCGAATAATCCTGTTGGGCCGGGCGTCAGTGTCAGAAACACCATGCAAGAATAAATGACGTTTATTGAATTTATTCTGCCATTCTCCTTTCCTCAGAACTTTATATTTCGATAGATCACATGGCGTGGAAACATAGAAACATAGAAACATAGAATGTGACGGCAGATAAGAACCATTCGGCCCATCTAGTCTGCCCAATTTTCGAAATACTTTCATTAGTCCCTAGTCTTATCTTATAGTTAGGATAGCCTTATGCCTATCCCACGCATGCTTAAACTCCTTTACTGTGTTAACCTCTACCACTTCAGCTGGAAGGCTATTCCATGCATCCACTACCCTCTCAGTAAAGTAATACTTCCTGATATTATTTTTAAACCTTTGTCCCTCTAATTTAAGACTATGTCCTCTTGCTGTGGTAGTTTTTCTTCTTTTAAATATAGTCTCCTCCTTTACTGTGTTGATTCCCTTTATGTATTTAAATGTTTCTATCATATCCCCCCTGTCTCGTCTTTCCTCCAAGCTATACATGTTAAGATCCTTTAACCTTTCCTGGTAAGTTTTAACCCGCAATCCATGAACCAGTTTAGTGGCCCTTCTCTGAACCCTCTCTAAGGTATCAATATCCTTCTGAAGATACGGTCTCCAGTAAGAGACAATCCTTTTAATTTTAAAGTCTTTGTTTTGCATTCTCCTGCTTTTGCAACCCACATTATCAGGGCTATTCACCAAAGCGAGAATTTAAATTTAATGCCAGAGTAGTCAGCCTAAAAGCACAGCTGACTTAGAGAATTATTCCAGTTTAGATACTTTTGCCTTAAATCTGAAATTTACCATGAATTTTCACTGTAGTGAATGACCCTGTATATCTATCACTTAAATGTTGTGTTTGTAAACAGACGGTGATAACCCTGTAGCCAGATTTTATAAAATGTTTTCATAATTAAAGCTAATTTAGTTTTAACACCAACTTCATAAAAAAAAAAAAAACCATTGCCGAGCTGCTTTAACATCATATCCTATTTTTGTGTCAATCTGAGAATTGCGACGTTTTAAATTAATAATTAAAAGGGACTTTGGGTTTTATTGATTAAACTGAATAATGTGAAGAACTGGATGGTGAAAGTTAGGCAAAAATAGCCGTATTGGTAAAATAGCCGTATTGGTAAAATAGCCATATTGGACAATTGATTTTGCATATCATGCCAATTTTGTTTATTGAATAAACCCTGGTGTCTTCATTTAATTTTGCTGTCATTACATCAGAGCCGTGTTAATAAACATGTGCCATTTCAGGGGTTAATGTTTACAGTTAGGTTGGTTAAGTTAGTTTTGCCCAGCACATGCTGCAGACTGTAAATCTCATTATTCTCAGCATAGCTTGGCAGTGAATAATGAGTTACAGTGCATGCCTGCCCCCCAACATTGGTGTACCATGAATTGGAACGCTGGTGGGCAAGGTTAGAGGGGGCGGGATAGTGACGCAGATTGCATCATTGGCACCACTCAAAGAGGGCATTTCTTCCCCGAACTGCCAGTAAAGCCTGCCAGGCTGCCCGTCAATCATCTAGACCAACCCACTACGGCACACCATGCACGGAGCAGTGTTTCAGAGTCACACCAGGGAACAAACCCAGACTGCAGGAAAATCAGGACTGTCCCGCGGAAATCAGGACGATTAGGGGGCCTGGATTATGATGCAGGGGAGGGTACACAGCAATACCCAACATTAATGAGAGGGATTTCACCCATCACTCGCTATATTCCCACCATATAACATCACCGGAGTCGGCTGTCTCTGCCAGAGCTTCCACCAAATATGCAGTTTCACCAATGATTAACAATTTATCCTGGATGCGTTAATTTGACTTTAGCTGGTTTACATGTTTGCCGTAGGGTATGCATGTTATTATTACCCCATGTTATTTGACCCTGCCTGCCACCATTAAACCTACAGTTTAAACCCTACTTAAAGATAATGTAACTGGAGCACTAACCACTGAGCTATCTCGCCAGTAAATTCTCCAAACTCAGCAATGGTAACAGCTTGGCTACTTTAGCCTTTGTTTTGCGATTCGCTTTCCAATTCACTATAATTTAATTTTTATTAAATTAAGCCCGGTGTTGATTTAATTTGTCAGGATTTATTTGTTTTTGAGAATACTAATATTGACCATTAAGTAAGCACGCACACCGCTCCTGTTCACACTTTTATCAAAATCACCAACGATAACATTCCCACATCTCATTCATTCATTCACTCATTCATTCAAAAAGAGCCAAAAAATAAATTAAACCAAAAGGGTTTATTCCCTAAACAGTAGAATAAAAATTAAATACAGAAATGTAAACTAAAATACCCACACTGTTACTATAGCTGGGTTGGGGAATATGTCCACATCAGCTATTTTATTCAAAATGTAATGATTACAATATTTATACAGCGCCAACATATTCATTTGTACAGCGCTACAGCATTTGCTGGCGCTTTATAAATACTAAAATAATAAAAATAATATTCGCTGTACAATAGGAGATCAAGACAATCATTTCATTTGACAGAACAGTGAATATGGGCTTACACTTCAGTGTTCACTTAACTACAACTGGGTATTTAGTGAATAGACCTCAATGAGCAATATATACCAAAATCATGGGAGGACACATTTAATATTTGGACATGGGAGGACACATTTAATATTTGGAGTCCCACAAGCTGACACCCCAGTTATTTTTTTTTTTTTTATAATTCACTGTTCAGCTACAAAATATTCTAGTAATTACAAAGGCTTATTAAACCAATTCTTTCTTCTTTTACTTAAAGGGACACTATAGTCACCAAAAGAACTTTAGCTTAATGAAACAGTTTTGGTGTATAGAACATTCCCCTGCAGTCTCACTTCTCAATTCTATGCCATTTAGGAGTTAAATCCCTTTGTTTATGAACCATAGTCACACCTCAATGCATGTGACTTGCACAGCCTTCATAAACACTTCCTATAAAGAGTCATCTAATGTTTATACTTCCTTTATTGCAAGTTCTGTTTAATTAAGATTTTCTTATCCCCTGCTATGTTAATAGCTTGCTAGACCCTGCAAGAGCCTCCTGTATGCGATTAAAGTTCACTTTACAGAGAAAGAGAAACAATTGTTTAAGGTAAATTACATATGATTAAAAGTGAAAACAGGTTTTTTTTTCATGCAGGCTCTGTCAATCATAGCCAGGGGAGGTGTGGCAAGGGCTTCATACACAGAAACAAATTGATTTATCTCCTAAATGACAGTGAATTCAGCAGTGAAACCTGAGAGGCATGAGCTATACACTAAAACTGCTTCATTAAGCTAAGGTTGTTTAGGTGACTACAGTGTCCCTTTAAAGACTCCATCTTTAAAAAGATATATTGGACCACAATTCCCATCATTCTTTACCGTTCTCCGATGAACTTTAAATAGTATTAACAATATGGAATTATAGTTCTTTCACTGTCCTTTGCATTTGTCCAGGAGACATTTAGTTATGTCTGTGAGTTCTAAACTCTTCATGTCCTGGCCTTTTCCATTAAGAACTAATAACCCTAATGTAATATCCCTTTTTACAATTTCATCAGGAACCTGAGCTATTAATAGTTTACATACTACAAGGTAGTTGTGAGAAGGATTCAAAACTTCCATTTCCAAAGAAGAAATGTATTTACTACAACCACTGTCAGTGTCAGGTCCAAACTTGCAAATCTTTTAATGAACGTTCTCACAACAGAGAGACAAAAATCCCAAAGCCCTATCTCAAGTGCATCAGCCGTTACACCCCTTGCATTTCAAGTACATTCACACTCTATAGTTTAAAAATAATGGTGAGATTATTCATAAACTACTTCACTGCCAAATTTGTCTTTAAAAATATGACGTTAATTTAAGCATGGAACGCACAGGATAAAATAGATATATTGGGGAATGGGACTTCCAAAAAACACCTGCAAAATCGAAAATGAATGTCTGTATGTTGGTATAATGGTTCTTACTATTATCCTCACATAATTATACTAAGGTTTCAAAATGAAAGCAATCTGTTTATTAAATTATCTTCGTAAAACAATACCCAATATTACAAATAATGTCCCATTAACAGACTGTGTTAAAACAATATTGCTGGGCTGACCCTCTGAGAGTCAGCTATTCCAGTATAGTTTTCATAAAATTTCTAATTCACAGTCAAGGTAATTCAAATTATAGTAAATTATAAACTGAATTCCAAAATGTAAGCTAAGAATTGTTGAGATATATTGAAAAAGAGCAACTATGTCACCTAATATGCAAATAGGTTCTTATCCACAAAAATTCATTAACAGTTTAATCCACAGCTCGTGGTTACTAATTTCAAATTCAACAATGAAACCAAGGACATCTTTTCAGGGAGATTCTACAGAATTGTTTTTATTTTGTTTAATAATAATCATCATATTCATTATTCAAGAAGCGATGTTAGACTTTCTGGTTGCTACTTTACAAGTTACTCCTAGGGTACTGAAGACAGTCTGGTTATTTTGTGGGTCAATGCTATATACAGTTCCTTCGGTGGGGGTCTATTAAATATAATGTACCCCTAGAGTGCTGCTCCCTCAATATAGTATCCTATTAAAGGATCACTATAGTGTCAGAAAAACAAAGCGGTTTTCCTGACACTATAGTGCCCTGAGGGTCAGCTCCCCTATGGACGTTCCTATGCTTTCCTATGGACGTTCTGCGCGATGGAGGCGAAATGCCCCTCCAGCGTCGCAGATGCGCCTCTAGTGGCTCTCCGGAAAACAGCCACTAGAGGCTGGCTTAACCCCAAATGTAAACATAGCAGTTTCTCTGAAACTGCTATGTTTGCATCTGAAGGGTTAAAACCTGAGGGACCTGGCACCCAGACCACTTCACTGAGCTGAAGTGGTCTGGGTGACTATAGTGTTTAATCACGACCAGGTGATCTTATGCACAATTTAGGAGTCAGACAAGTTGTGGCAACCAGCAATACATTTATTTATAGAGCTTTGTATTATTACACATTGGTACATCATCATTCATCACATATAATGAGTGTATTTCAAAGGCTGGACACTAGGTGGATCTGTTACAGGTGTATATAGTTATGTAATGAAGTACAGTTTTTTTCTTAAAACTCTCTAATTCTGACTATTTGTAGTGATGTTTAAATGAATACCTCTGTATACCACTTACAGTAATGTGCTGTATCCATTTACATGCTAGTCATCTTTCTTCAAAAAGCTTAACTACCATTACATCACCAAAAACTCAAATTACCAATCGCCAGGCAAAATGACTGTCGAATGATAAAGTTATATAATGAGATCCCTCCCTTAAATGGTCATTTTTTATTCATATCATTTTAAAGGGAAGCATGATTGTGTAAGATAATTTGTTTTTGACAAGTGAAAGGGTTACTTACTAACCTGAGTGAGAATTTGAAGGGAATTTCAATTTTAAAGACAGAGTTGTCGAAATGAAAGCAACCCACATTTTTGCAACCCACATAATCAGGGCTATTCGTCAAATCGAGAATTTAAATTTAAGGACAGATTTTTGCCAGTTTTGCTAATTTGGATTTCAATTTGAAATTCACTTTGAATATTCTTTGAATTCTCCTTTTAGCGAATAACCCTGCAAGAGTCCAGTTTTCATCGGACAGTTTCCGAGTCGATATATATGTGTGTGTTTTGCTCATTCTGTAACAGGTTCCTTGAGATCGGTAGAACCAGTCTGACCAGCCAAACTTCTCCTTCCAAATGTCCATCGCGAGGTTATCTCAGGTCATACCGTGGGTGAAAGGCCACTAGACCTCTTTAAACAACTCCTCAGCATCAGAGAATCTCTTACATCACAATCCACATTCCTAAACTCCAGGAATTAAATCGAATATCAATTCATAGGTCAAATTCACCAACCATTGTGCCCTGATAAGATGCTGCAATAGATATATTTAACTAAACTACCCAATTATGGTGTCAAGCTAAATAAAATAAATGTAGCTGTAAAAATACTACACAGGAAAAGCAAATAGTGCTGAACGGTTTGTAATGGTATAAACACAGATATAAATAAAAAGCAAATAAAATAAAATAAACCATAAATATATTTACGGTTAATTTAATTTAATTTGCTTTTTATTTATTTGTGGTTTTATATATTTATGGTTTATTTTATTAGTATATCTGCATCTGATCCCAAAAATAACATTGAATAGTCCTTAATTAACACAGCACAATGTTTAGTCAATAATAAAATACGCAATTCTTGGCCTCGTTTATGGCGATGCAATAAATACCAGATATATATATAGAAAGCTTTGCAACACTACGTGGACATGAACGTTAATTTAGATGCCGTCCTTCATAGAATTCTAAATTATTATTATTATTATTATGATATTTATAGAGCGCCGTCAAATTCCGCAGCGCTTTACAATGGGTGGACGAACAGACATGTAGTTGTAACCAGACAAGTTGGACACACAGGAACAGAGGGGTTGAGGGCCCTGCTCAATGGGGGTACATGCTAGAAGGAGTGGGGTAAAATGACACAAAAAGGTAAGGATAGTATTAGACTAGTGACAGTTGCAGAAGAGGAATCAGTCGGGAGCTATTAACAGTTTAATTGATACGCTTTTATGAAGAAGTGTGATTTTTTGAAGGAGTGGAGACTGGGTGAGCATCTAACGGAGGAGGGAAGCGAGTTCCATAGGAACGGTGCAGCCCTCGAGAAGTCTTGAAGGCGAGCATCAGAGGTGGGAGTACGGACAGAAGATAGACGTAAGTCTTCAGCAGATCGTAAGGGCCTAGACGGGACATACTTGTGTATTAGGGAGGATTATTATTATCCTGCATTCTTTTTTATTTAACGCACACTAGCTGTGGAACATGATATTGTTTGCACTTGACAGAACACTGCATGCACCATAACCACTACAGAAAGCTGTTTTCAATTTGCTACAACTCAATATTTAGTAAATAAACCCACAAAGATTTTTATATATTAATGAAATCCTGAGAAGCTTTGTCTTGCAATGTATTTATTAACGCAAAATCAATACGGCTGTCTTAGGTGATATTTAACTTGTGAGATATTCATCAAGTTGTTAACTATTGTTTAAAAGAAAGATGCATTCGTTAAGCTCACGGAAATCTCACTGTACATGGTTTTCTATCTCCCTTGAAAAATCGAATCTACTCAAGGTTTTCTAACAATAAATTATAGCATCAAACAGAGCCGCAGTCTGGTAAAAAAACAGGAAACTGTAGATTAAAGGGCAGCGTCTTCTTCTATTTTAGGATACCTCCCCACGCCACACCCCATAGGTTGTTTTTTTCTTCATCAATTTGTCTATAAAGCAAGTCTTACTGGGTTGAGATATGCTGTTCATGTTTCCCCCATGAATACCATACATATATTTTGGTGTGATGTTCGATGTTTGTTGCCTTTGGCAATTTTGTAAGCACTGTAGCGATGCGCCATGCTAGCTCTGGCACACTGAAAGACATTGCGTAGAATGCCCCTGCTTGTTCCAGCGATTGACTGGATTAATCATTTTCTCTACCAGTTGAGGACAATAAGAAACTGCCAACGGTTTTTAATTTTAATTTTGTATTGAACAATTTACACAACCCATACACGGACAGATTAATAGGACAGGGATTTAAGTTTAATTTAAGCGGGTACTGTGTATCATTGGGTTATACATTTTATCCACTTCAAAAACCACCACACTTTTAGACATTTTAAAATTTACAAAACCAACCAGCAGCTACAGTTCCACCACACCTAAGCCAAATTTTTCTTTGACTCCCTCATGAGATGTAATCTTGCAAAAGACTTCAACAGTAATGCCAATCAAGACCAATATAAATGGATATTAATGTACTAGGGCAGGGCTGCCCCAGATGTTGTACAACTACAACTACCATGATGCTCTGCATGCGTTTAGTATGACAAAGCACCATAGGAGTTGTAGTTCTGCAACATCTGGGGACCTACCTATTGGACAGCCCTGTACTAGAGTCAGCGTTTGTTTAGGAAATCCACTAAATCAACCAGTCATTTCGGCTGGCTTTTATTTCCCGTTTTAATAGCCGAAATAAAAATATTATATTACAATCCCATTTTCTACCATTACATGTAGCACCTCTTCTATATAATATATCATTTTGAACAAATATGCGTAGAATGCGTTACCGCACCCACTGGAAAATGTCAAATGACACCAGATAATGTGCCTTAGGGCAGGGGGTATATGGGTGTCTGCAGAATATCCAGGGGATCAGGTTTGTTTTCTCAGACCTCGCCAGGTAACTTTTGTTAAGAGAGGATTCTATTGACAAACATGCGTGGAGTTTACTGCCCTATTTATACCTGGCTCAGGTGTGTTTCTTCGGATCTGTCATCATCCACAGCTGAATGAATAGAATATCCAGCAATATCTCACTGTTGTCAGAATGTGGGAGCTTGCTTTTAAAAAATACTGAGGAGTACTGTACATAGTGTTGTTATAAAGCTAACATACGCAGCTGCGCTGTACATTGTCTGAATGAATCCTAGAGGGAATTTTTGACAGAGAGGGGCGAGAGGTTATGAGAGCCCTGTCAAAGAGCTCACACTTTAAAGGATGCAAACTATAAATACCAGACAGGTAAAGATAAATCATAGTGTACAATCGTAACATATACATGTTGATTAATATACGGCACACAGGCTGTATACAATCTATTTACAGTAGAAGATAAACTGGTGAAGACAATTGAGAGACGTGACAGATGAAACTTCATTGATTAGTAGATATGCCTCCGTAGAGAACACTCCCACTCCAAAACATGTTAAATGTCTTAAAGTTGTTAAAGAGAGACAATAGTCTCTTTTTACTGACAGGGGTTACACTATTTGGCAACTGTTTAAAGGAACATTCCACTGCCCAAATATGAGATAAATATAAATCACTGTTTAGTCGATATACCCCAAAAATGGAAACATGCATGCATTTAATTATACTTTTTTTTAAGCTGCAGATTTCCTGTCTGCAGCGTTTGCAAGCTCTTCCCTACTAACTCTGCACAGACAGTCTCAATTAGAAGTCTTTGCAAGGCAGGTGCTCTGGGCAATTGCTGCCTCTCGAATTTATCTCCACTGAGCTAACCACACCAGGAAGCAACAGGACCAGTTGTCTGATTGAATGCCAAGGGGGTGTAACAAGGTTCTCTAACCACACCGAGACAGCAGGACAGGACTCTGAAAGCGGGACATTAAGACTAAAACTGTTTCAGTAAATCCTATCCACATCACGCCCTATGTCCAACCCTAAACCATAACACAGTCTATGAGTCACAATATTACACCTACTCATTGAATGAATTCAAAAAATGCCATAAATCTATATTTAGATAATAGAAAATGTCATCTACTTCATAGGACTGCAAATCGTGCGGTTTGTATATTTATATTTTTTTGTATTTTACAAATGTGAAATAAATGTATATGTGATTACAGTGTGCCCAACAAGGCAGCTCCTCCGTCTGGGCGGGCCGCAGCATTAGCAGAATATTTGTTTGTTTTTTAAATCCAGAAACAGTCAAGGTCGCCGACCTTTTATGAGTAACATAGCAGTTACAATGGCGTGTCGATACCTTTATAATAAAACAATTGATTCTAATACACCTTGATGTGTTCACGAGGGACCAATTACAATTATTAAAGGGCTATTGTAAGCACCAAAACCACTGCATCTTAATAAAGTGGTTATGGTGGGCAGACTCTGTCCCTTTCCTCTGTAAAACAATGCTATTTCTGACAAATGTTAAAATTTAAAAAAGAGAACACGTGTCTAACAGCTATCAAGCTGACAGTTACTAGAAGTACTTCCTTTCTAAGTACTTTATGTGCGGTGTTATCATGCATAGCATTCTGTTCTGCTTCTCTGAAATGTTTAATGAAGTGAAGAGTATTATTAATATTATTTTATTATTTATATAGCGCCAGCAAATTCCGTAGCGCTGGGTTTTCACAATATGTGCTTATACATCACCCAGCGGTTGGAGAGATCAGAGAGGATTGATCCCTAACTCGGGTGTAATTACAGAACAATGAGCACGTTCAAAATGCAGAATTACTCATTTACTAACGAACCAGCAACCAATCACGGTCAGGATATCAGAAGCATGCTGGGAAATACTATGAGACAGTACTGTGCATGCCAGGGTCTGATCATTTCCCAATCAGTGTGCCGCAATAACTGCCTTTAATACACACTGTTCTATTCAATAAATCCTTTATGTAGAGTGACACCTCAATCTGTTTCCATTGAAGCAGTATCGCCGTCACGCCCGGCTTCTCGCTGAACCGGCACTGTCTGTTTCACTCACACCCTCAGTTTATCCAACAACAGATACAGATCGGAGGCCTCCCCTGCTCCTCCTAATCAAATTCCAAACAACACTGAGGAATCGGGAGCACACAGCTCATCCCGCAAAGGCCAACATGAAATTTAATTCTCAAAAGCCCCAGATCTCAGTGGAAAGATGCTAAATTTAGAATCCATCTCATATTGACCCCCAAAAAATAGAAAATAGACTACTGGAAAGACTGGGGCTTACAACATGTCGGTCACATAGACAATAGTTACAGCATGGGTGGCCAAAAGCTAGATCACTAGGCATTATAGATCTATAGGTGCCTTGATGCTTTAACACTTATACAGGCAGGGATTTAACTTCTGGGCACCCCTGGTAATGCAGGGTGAGACAAATGTCAGAAACAACTCCGAATCCGACCCAAATACCTATAAGAAGAATCAGATGCTTGAAATGGAAATGGAACATGTTTCTTTTTGCACGAACCCTGCAGCCATGTGAATTTTAGCTATTAGCTTTCATTTTTTTTAATTTACTCCGTGTGTCTGGCTGTCCTGGCACGGCCACGGCATACCATGCAAATTAATTTAACCCTACGAGTGAATGCCACAGCTCAGATGTGTATATACTGCATATCGGAAGGAATGCCGAGCAATTGGATAAACGGAGAATCACGGGGGTGAGGATGGCACCCGGAGACATACTATGGAGGTGAGTGTGTTATTCGCCAAACTCCACTGCAACAGAATTTACTGGGGAGAGGAAATAATTAGCTCCCACATCCCAAAAACTGTGAGTTTCCTTTAAATATTAGCACATTCAAGATGGCGGAGAAGTAGGGTAGCACACGTTATTGGTGCAACCATTGGCTTGTTACATCATTTAATCTAACATTATGTGTTCTGACTCAACTCAGAGTAATTCAGAACAATATGCATCTAACAATCTTCTTCATGCTTCGAGGTTTTAGGGATATCTTTCCTTTATGATTAACCCCTGATTTTTATTTCAAATATGTTAATAATTGTGGAGCAGATTCAAAATTGCAAGAAAGCATCAATCTCCAATGCCCTGTGTCCAAAGGGTTTAATAACAATTAAAGAATAATAAACGTGTCTGGAGATGTGATAATAAATGCTATGTGTTACATCTTTTTATTACCGCGCATTTATCTTCCACAATATTAGAGTAGTAAACCTTATAATAAAAAATAAAAATACAGAAATAATATAAATGAATATAAAGTAAAATAAAAACACACACACACAAAAAAAAGACAAATGCACAATAAAATATACAAAATGAAAGTGGCAGTGTCACACTATGATATATCACCTGTGATAGAAGGTGGACGCAGGTATCTTGTCGTGAGACGTTTATAGATGTTTATAGTATCTCATTGTGCATTGTGCCACTTGGACAAAATGACAAGCTAAATGCATCTTCCTTTGGTAACAGACAGGGCGATTATTAACAATGAATAGAAAGAGAAGAGAAAGTTTGGCAAATTATGTAAAACCCAAGAAAGGTTTGACAGTGGATAGTAACTGCCCCGTCTACTCAGAGTGGGGTAGATGCCTACTTATGCCCAACTCTTCGCTAATGTATAATGAAAAAGCTCAAATTTACACAAAACCAAATTCAGCTAACCTCCTACCTTTGTTCATTCAAACTGTTCGAACCAAACACATCACAAATATCCAGGGAGGTGACCTCAAACTGCCAGACGGGATCTTTTTAAAAACGATAAACATTAAAGCATAACAAGAATAAACCAAAAAAAAAAAAAAGATTTCAGCAAATTTAGGAAAATGTTTGAAGAATAAAATGAAAATAAATGAATCATGCTTCACTCCCCCGCTTTCCTAACATTTCATTCAAGCTCTGTAACCTTGCCTAAAGACAAGGGCACAGCCATCGCCGATCTACCTAAGCTTTGTTTAATCTCGCTGACGATATGAAAACATGTTTGTGTCACTTGGCACATCAGCTATTGTATTCCGGACAAAAGAGGCTTTTTTTTTTCTAGGGCATGGGATAGAGGTGTTTATTATTGGGAGTGAATGAATGAACAGACATGGATACATAGAGACAGGAAACGGATCATTTCTCATTTTCAAAGTTAGCACGAATGATGTGATGACTTTTTGGGTTGGCTGTACATCTAGATACATCTGGAAAATTCAGAATGATCACAGTTATCCCTGTTAGAAGAAAATAAATGGTGCTATATAGTACAATAGATATGAATCTTTAAAGCCTATCAGAGTTATTCACTAAAATCCAGATTGGCCTTGCTCCAAATTGGGCAGATCGATCCGGGTGCAGAATCCCGACATTGTTCACACTCTATAACAATATCTGGATGTTGCAATTCAGGCCCCGAACGTTGGCCGGTCTCACTTCTCTCTGGTTTTTCGCAAATATAAACTGATAAATAAAAGCCGGGGATTTTGTTGTATTCTATTGGGCAGACTAGATGGGCCGAATGGTTCTTATCTGCCGTCACATTCTATGTTTCTATGTATTTTCAGATCAAGCTTAGTTTACAGTTGCATTAAAGTTTTAGAGAGTCTTCATTCCTGACGCATTTCTTTTCATGGAAGAATAATGTTAAACTGTATTAATGTTTCCAGACTTTGTTCACTGAAAGCAAATTGCTGAGAAATGCGATTTCTGAATTGCAAACTCCAGGCCGGAGTCTAGCTGTGCCTATTGCCGAGCTGAAGAAATTTTCAGAATGCGTAGCATTGTGTCAGTGGCCGTTGCATTTCGCATATTAATGTGCATGAGGTAGCAGTGGCTACATCATTAATATACAACAAGGCAGTAACGGTTGCAGCATTGACACAAGACCCGGTAAAATAACCTAGTTTCACACAGTTCTGTCTGCATGCACAGTCAGATAAACCAGGGCTGTCAAACACGACCCTCAAGGGCCCTAATCCTGCGAGACTTCTAGATATTCTCTAATTAATATGCAGTCAAACATTGAACATAGTGATGTGTATCACGGAACAACCTGCTTTGTTAAGAAGTGACCCAGTGCATCCAGAAAGCCAGGAGATGAATTAAAGGGTTAAACCGAATTAGACAAATTTGTAAGATGACACATAATTATGATTATATCCATATAGCTCTCCTCCTCAACACATGCCTTCACATACTACGTGTCTGTGTACAGGGATCTCGTTACTCTCTCTGTTATTCTTTAGCTAGGATACGGGGTATAACTGGGGTATTAGAATAACATTTTAACATTCCACATTGAGATAACTCCACACACCGGAGTATCAGCACAAAACGTAGCGGATAGTTCATTCTAAGCATATGGCATTCTACTCTATCTCTGATACAGGGTAAAGATGGGGATAGGAGGGAATGGGGTAACTGCCGTGATCTTCTGATACTCATTGTTTAAACATTGGCTAAATATCATTCCAATACCACAGTCTGACTAGCGTACAGTGCTGCGACCACTAGGCACCAAAACCACTACATTTGGCTACCCTGGCTACATCTCGACCGTATTGATAATTCAGAATTAATACCTCTGCATTATCAATGTCACTTACATCCAACCTGACATTGATTGATGGAGATAGCCAGGGGTTTAGCCCAGAGCTCTAAGCTGGAAAAAGATGGCAGGATTTGAAGATGTGAGAAAATACTGCTAATCTAAATGGTAGTAAATATCTGGCACAGCCTTCCAGGCGCACACACATATATTAATAATAATATAGAAAGGGTAGTAGATGCATGGAATAGCCTTCCAGTGGAATCAGTAAAGGATAACAGTGATATAGAAAGGGTAGTAGATACATGGAATAGCCTTCCAGTGGAATCAGTAAAGAATAACGGTGATATAGAAAGGGTAGTGGATACATGGAATAGCCATCCACTGGAAGCAGTAATGGCTAACAGTGATATAGAAAGGGTAGTAGATACATGGAATAGCCTTCCAGTGGGAGCAATAACAGTGATACAGAAAGGGTAGTAGATACATGGAATACCTTCCAGTGGAAGCAGTAATGGCTAACAGTGATATAGGAAGGGTAGTGGATACCTGGAATAGCCTTCCAGTGGGAGCAATAACAGTGATACAGAAAGGGTAGTAGATACCTGGAATAGCCTTCCAGTGGGAGCAATAACAGTGATATAGGAAGGGTAGTAGATACATGGAATAGCCATCCAGTGGAAGCGGTAACAGTGATGTCATTAGGGTTGGTGTCATTCAGTGCAGTAACCCTCCCATGGACCAAGTCCTGAACCAGACCATACATACTAACAGCAACGAAAACAACAGGGTGTGAAGATAAAACCATGTCATTCGAAGGGTCATTGTAAGTGGGTAATGATGATAGCTCTGACCGGAGGTTCAAATTGTAAATTAGCACAGAGTTTTAGCCATTTAGGGATATTGATCCATCTAAGCTGTGCTTACACAATGGTTTAGCTGTTATAACTAACTATGGGGATATTTTTATGAAAATTAATACTTTTCTGCTGAAGCACAGCACAAAAAAATTATAGACAGTCATTTTGTGGTCCCCTCTGATGTCACCCCTCTGATGTCACCCCTCTGATGTCACCCCTCTGATGTCACCCCTCTGATGTCACCCCTCTGATGTCACCCGGTGTAGTCTGCATCCATCGCACACCATAGTGATGGCGCTAATATAATGCTTGAGATGTGTAGAAACCTATCCTAAATAATAAATAAACCTTATAGTCACTTCATGGTGGGACAATAGACTGGGCTAAATATGAGGCTTTGCTAAAAAAAAGAAAAAAAAAGCAATAAACATGTAAGAAGAATTATGTGACATCATCATGTTTATTAATCCAAAGCATTGTAAAGAACGCTAACAGGCGTCTGTGTCAGTAATTTCATACATTTAGACTCTCACAAACTTTAAAAGTTCATTCATTTGTTTAAAATAAAATCAAAGTATCGCCACATTGGTACAAAAAATGAAAAGAAGGCGGCCGTTGAATGTATCTGCGCGTCATAAAACATAAATGACATAACGTACCAGGGCTGAAACTGGTTTTCCAAGCTCAAATACCAAACTCAGAACACACACCGAGGTGAGGGCAGACGAGGGTGTTGTCCCTTTGGGATTTTGACTGTATTTTTTTTTTCCTTTTTTCATTTTCTAACTTCTTGGTGAAACAACAAACTAGACCTATTCTAAAGTGATTATTATAATAATCCAGTGATGGCTAACCTTGACACCATAAATTGTTTATGGACTACATTTCCCATGATGCTCAGCTAGCTTTTAGACTCCAAATCTTGCTGTGTGCATGCTGTCGTATTTGCTCCCAGTAAACCACCATGTTACGTCCATCACTAATATAGCAGTGCTCGGCAAGACCAAGGTCATTCTAATAGACGTTGGTGTTTCATTGCTAAACTTGTCAAGTCACCCAGTGCCGCAGTTTGACATCAGATTGGTTGCCCTAACCAGCAGCCAGTCAATCGCATGCACGCCAGAATGATTTACACCATTACGGGTGGGTTGCTAACTCCATCACCAGCAGGTCCACCCGCCAGGCACACGTCTGATAATGAATTCCGCATTATGTCACCCTGAGTGCTGTCCAACAGCATGGGGTTCATTCCCTACCTACTTGTAGAACATTAAAACCGATTGCAATATTTATGCTAAAATAGCCGAGCGGTGAGAACTTTGTCCAAATCTGCTTTTTGATATTCACCGTAGTACGGTGTTTAGTGCATAAACTCTTCTGGATAACTATAAAAGGGAATAAAACGTATAACATCATCGTGTTATATACCTGTCAAGGTGTCACGTAAGTACAAACACTCAGCTCAGGAAGACACAATGCTGGGAGGCGCCCATTTAACATTCAAACTCACTCTTCTTGCATAGATAAATGGTCCCACACACCTCGTCAGTATCACACCTACGGATCAGTCACTGTCCTACACACCTAAGTGATACCTGTATTGTAAGCTGACAATCTTAATGAGGCTTTCCTGCTTTGCAAGAGGTGTTCCCATAGAAACCAAAGTTTATTTTCCCAACTAGGACAAGTCCATATTTATGAAGCAGATTTTACTTCATTCTTCTGCTAACATTCTACAAATCCATCAGCATACCTCCCAAGTGTCCGTATTTTGGAGAGACAGTCCCTATTTTGGGCCAACATTCCTCTGTCCTTCTTTCCTTTCCTAATGTCCCTCTTTCCTAGGAGCTCCATATTGTTGGTGTGTCTGAGTGTATAACAGAGCTCCACAGCAATAATACTCCCAGTAATGTGTCTGAGTGTATAACAGAGCTCCACAGCAATAATACTCCCAGTAATGTGTCTGAGTGTATAACAGAGCTCCACAGCAATAATACTCCCAGTAATGTGTCTGAGTGTATAACAGAGCTCCACAGCAATAATACTCCCAGTAATGTGTCTGAGTGTATAACAGAGCTCCACATCAATAATACTCCCAGTAATGTATCTGAGTGTATCACAGAGCTCCACAGCAATAATACTCCCAGTAATGTGACTGAGTGTATAACAGAGCTCCACAGCAATAATTAACCTACAATACATGTGTTTAGAAATCAGTCTGTGTAAATAAGATACATCGTTCTTGTTCTAAATTAAATTTTATTTGCATGAATTGTTATTCACAAGTCACCTAAAATTTCTCAGAACAGCCCCGCCCCTGGCCATGCCCCACGCACACCCCTAAAATTAAAGTGTCCCTCTTTGTCCATGTGAAATGTTGGGAGGGATGCTTTAGTCACCCTGCAAATGACAGAGGAATCCTTAAGGATTCTCTAATGAAATGCATATCACAATTCGCTCACTCCTTCACACCCCATATCTCACCGCCATTTTGGAAGATTGCCCAGATATGACCATGTGTAGCGAAGTTTCCTTCTTTAGACAAAAATGCAAACCCTGTGATCGTTTTTAACTTTATTTTTCCATTAAAAAAAATCACCCACAGGACCAATCTTGCCACAGGCCTCTAGTAGGTCGGGTCGGCAATAAAATTGAGTAAATCCATGGTCGCCAAAAAGGTAGAACAACGCATTATGGGAGCTGTGGTTGTAAGCATATTGAGGAGGTGTCCATTTTAGGAGAAACTAAAGGTGTACAGTTCTTAGAAACATGCCCGTAGCTATATTCTTTAATACAGTGCCAGCCGTCCCCTTTCCACCCCAAGAAATTACTTGGTGGGGTCGAATCTAAAAAACAATACTCTAAGACAGTGTTATTTGGGGAATATGTATGATTGACGTTGTATATAGAAATCTAGTACACAGACACTGTATATGTAGACCCCCACAAAGCACATAGACACTACACATAGTTTTCAGATATTCCATTCTGCTCGAATCCTTCAATAAAAAGGGAGCACATTCGTGCCGTGGTATAAGTTTGGGATCATAGTCGGACAATGATTGATGGTTATTTAGTGGGGATTTATTCTCTAAGCGGTGGAGAGCATAGAACCATAAACAGAACTGAAAACTGTTGACCAAGGGAGGTGATTTGGAACTTATCCAACTGAGCTACTGTCATGGTTTGGTTCGTTAGGCCTGAATTTTGCAATTTTAGTTTTGATTTCACTTTAATTGACTGCTAAGTGCATAAAAATAAATGGAACCAGCCTCCAGGAGAGTCTACAGAGGGCGAAACATTCTGTAGCGCCCTATATAAGAAGGACAGGGCAATGATGGCTCTCCTAGGCACTGCAAATGAATACAAACTACATTTCCCATGATGCTGCGCTTGTATACAGTACAAGTTGACAGAGCTTGTTAGATCAGAAGACAAACTGATGATTGATCTAGTTATTTCAAAGCTACATTTGTGACTTTCAAGGGTTTATTAACTAACCTGTGAGCTCTGAATGTAAACAGACTAAAATAGCCAAGAGGTGACTACGGAGTGGGTTATTTTTCCCAATCAGCTAGTTTGCCTAAATTTTGCAATTTGGTTTTCCAATTCCTACAATTCGCTGTTTAGTAAATAAACCAGAGTGCAAATTCTTCTACGTATTTGAATTAAGCTTTGAGTATCACTGCAGTAAAAGACGGATTGTTTTATTTAAGGCTGTGATAAATGCACAATGGATGATACCAAAATCCTGCTGAGGAATTAATTAGCACCTCCAAAGCAAACAGGGCGTACAAACATCCAGGATCAGGCCCCCCAGTGATTACAAAGCACAGTACATACTGCACACAGCTATACAGCAAGCACACAGCCTGCACTGACATGTAACCAAGCCAGGGGGGAAACAAAGTATTCATATGATAATTGATCAATATTATGCATTATCTCACTCAGAGGCACACATAGTATAATATATTCTGTATTAATGACTGGATAGGAGGTATTTTATATCTGCATTAGTTTAATGAAGGATGCTCTATGTTAATATGTAGCTTAATGAAGGGAGGCAGACATCCAGTACCAGGCACAGGGAGACATCCATTCCAGGTATGCAAATAATGTTCCAGAAATATCATTGTGGATGTAACCATATAGGGCACTGTGCCCATGGGTGGCTGTTTGGGGGCATGGGTACAAGCAAGGCACAGGTGCAGAGACAGGGAGACAGGAAGGAAGGGGTTAAGGAGCCATTAAAGAGGGCACAGGGTATAAATCCAGGTTGGGGTAGGAATGCAGCAGGGAATGCTGAGTTGGTGGAGGGAGATAAGGGGGCAGCAAAAACTATTTGCTAAACTCTCTCCAGCGCTGGGTAGGCAGCCTTAGCTCTACACATTTTGCTGACTACAACTCCCATCATGCTTATCAAGTATGTGACTTTTTTCAATTGTAAGTGAGAAAAGACTGTACCTTTAATTTACCCAATATTTTAAAGCCTGGTGTCCCCAGAGCAACAGTTCACAGTCTGAGAGTGTGATACTCAGGGATACATACAGGGACTCCCTGCAGGATGTGTCTGGACCCAACAGCTCGCACTTTATATAGACAGAGTATGCACAGGAAGAGCCTAGGGCTGATGTACTTACAGTTTGGGTTGGATGCTCGGGCCACTGGGGCTGTATTTGCCAGTAGTTCGCTTTTTAAAGAAGGAGGTCATGTTGGCAGTGCCCTGCGGGTGAAGTGAAGTTCCAGGACTGAGTGCTAGGGTTTAGGGTACCCTCCCCTGCTTGGAGGAGCAGTCAGAGTGAGATCTAGCCCTGTGAGTGCTGGTGTGAACTGGGTGCCCCCTCAGGTCTCCTGTGGGTGCTGCCTGGCACTGGGTGTCCTGTCTGGGTGCTGCCTTGGGAGGAATACTCAGCAATGAGTGGATCCTGCTCTACAGGTAGGAGAGAGGCGTGAACTGGCAGAGCTGGGAGAACTAGGAGCAGCCTGGGCTACCTGGTGGGAGGGGCATCTGACACCTGGGCAGGTACTGTATACTGTGCTGGGTTAACCCTGGGAGTGCCAGCCAGGTACTGTATACTGTGCTGGGTTAACCCTGTGAGTGCCACCTGGGCAGGTACTGTATACTGTGCTGGGTTAACCCTGGGAGTGCTACCTGGGCAGGTACTGTATACTGTGCTGGGTTAACCCTGTGAGTGCCAGCCAGGTACTGTATACTGTGCTGGGTTAACCCTGGGAGTGCTACCTGGGCAGGTACTGTATACTGTGCTGGGTTAACCCTGTGAGTGCCAGCCAGGTACTGTATACTGTGCTGGGTTAACCCTGGGAGTGCTACCTGGGCAGGTACTGTATACTGTGCTGGGTTAACCCTGTGAGTGCCAGCCAGGTACTGTATACTGTGCTGGGTTAACCCTGGGAGTGCTACCTGGGCAGGTACTGTATACTGTGCTGGGTTAACCCTGTGAGTGCCAGCCAGGTACTGTATACTGAGCTGGGTTAACCCTGTGAGTGCCACCTGGGCAGGCACTGTATACTGTGCTGGGTTAACCCTGTGAGTGCGACCTGGGCAGGTACTGTATACTGTGCTGGGTTAACCCTGTGAGTGCCACCTGGGCAGGTACTGTATACTGTGCTGGGTTAACCCTGTGAGTGCCACCTGGGCAGGTACTGTATACTGTCCTGGGTTAACCCTGTGAGTGCTACCTGGGCAGCTACTGTATACTGTGCTGGGTTAACCCTGTGAGTGCCACCTGGGCAGGTATTGTATACTGTGCTGGGTTAACCCTGTGAGTGCTACCTGGGCAGGTACTGTATACTGTGTTGGGTTAACCCTGTGAGTGCTACCTGGGCAGGTACTGTATACTGTGCTGGGTTAACCCTGTGAGTGCCACTTGGGCAGGTACTGTATACTGTGCTGGGTTAACCCTGTGAGTGCTACCTGGGCAGGTACTGTATACTGTGCTGGGTTAACCCTGTGAGTGCCAGACAGGTACTGTATACTGTGCTGCGTTAACCCTGTGAGTGCCACCTGGGCAGGTACTGTATACTGTGCTGGGTTAACCCTGTGAGTGTTACCTGGGCAGGTACTGTATACTGTGCTGGGTTAACCCTGTGAGTGCTAGCTGGGCAGGTAGTGTATACTGTGCTGGGTTAACCCTGTGAGTGCCACCTGGGCAGGTACTGTATACTGTGCTGGGTTAACCCTGTGAGTGCTACCTGGGCAAGTACTGTATACTGTGCTGGGTTAACCCTGTGAGTGCTAGCTGAGCAGGTACTGTATACTGTGCTGGGTTAACCCTGTGAGTGCTACCTGGGCAGGTAATGTTTTAGGTAAGTACTGTAGGGTTGTCTCTGCAGTAATCCAGGGTTAATAGTGCAATGTTTGCGTTCTATGTTCCCCACCCATTTTCTCTGGGAACAGGTGGGGCTTGCAATGACAGCTCCAGGCTGGGGGAGAGGAGGAGGGACCTGCATACCATCCATATATCTGACAGCCCATAATGTACCACAATATACAGTATTATGATTTATTGGGGAGAGCTGCGGCTGAGCTCTCTACAGGTGACATTACATGCAATGAGCTGCCAGAGGCTCTATCTGGGTGCAATGATCTGCCAGAGGCTCTAGCTGGGTGCAATGATCTGCCGCAGGCTTTAGCTGGGCGCAATGATCTGCCAGAGGCCCCTAGTTGTGTTCTTTAGATGGCTAGAATGAGCTGCAAGGTATGAGGAGCAGGTCTGAATTCGGTGTAATGATTTGCAGGCCTGAACTGGGTGCAATGAGCTGCAGGTTTGGGTTAGGTGCAATGAGCTCCAGATCTGAGCTGGGTAAAATGATTTGCAGGTCTGAGCAGGGTGCAATGAGCTGCAGGTCTGGGTTAGGTACAATGAGCTGCAGGTCTGGGTTAGGTGCAATGAGCTGCAGGTCTGGGTTAGGTGCAATGAGCTGCAGATCTGAGCTGGGTAAAATGATTTGCAGGGCTGAGCAGGGTGCAATGAGCTGCAGGTCTGGGTTAGGTGCAATGAGCTGCAGGTCTGGGTTAGGTGCAATGAGCTGCAGATCTGAGCTGGGTAAAATGATTTGCAGGTCTGAGCAGGGTGCAATGAGCTGCAGGTCTGGGTTAGGTGCAATGAGCTGCAGGTCTGAGCAGGGTGCAATGAGCTGCAGGTCTGGGTTAGGTGCAATGAGCTGCAGGTCTGTGTTTGGAATCTCTCTGTTGTGAGCAAATAACATCATCCAGCTTATTATATTATACCAAAAGTCATCAATCATTAATGAAATAAAAACATTACTAAATTACTAATTCATGCTGTGTCCCAGTATTACGTAAAGCGTGATCTCACTATAACCATCAGCACCGCAATGTGAGGGTCTGTTATTTTATAAGATTAAAGCAATGTAACTGGAGAAATGGCTGAATTAGAGAGTTGTGCTAATTTCTCCATTGTGGCCTAGAATCAGCTACACAGCCCTAATCCCTCTTTGCAAAATGCCCACCACAATACTCTGTAATAATATGCTATGCTTGCCTATGACTAAGTGCTAGTTTCAGCGTGGAGCGCGGAGATACTTGGATTAGTATTCCATGACGCTCTCAGCATATATATACTTTTGACAGTTTACGTCACAGTGTTGGTGCGGATATTTGTATTATCGTTATTTTTTCAATACTAGTTTACATTTTATTCTACTGGTTGTTCTGCAGTGATGGGGATGCTTGTTTTTATTTTAATATACGCAACAGTGGTTTTGGTGCTTGAAAAATGCTACAAGTTGGGAGGGAGGAGTGGGAAGGATGGGCTAATACAACGAAGTTAATGTAAAATAAAACAAAGAAAGGATTAAAAAAGAATCAGTATAACTAACTGTAACCTAATCTACACAGTGCATCTAACGTGTGGGAGCCTGGAGTGTCCCTTTAATAATATAAACCCACCCAGTATAACTAACTGTAACCTAACCTACACAGTGCATCTAACGTGTGGGAGCCTGGAATGTCCCTTTAATAATATAAACCCACCCAGTATAACTAACTGTAACCCAACCTACACAGTGCATCTAACGTGTGGGAGCCTGGGGTGTCCCTTTAATAATATAAACCCACCCAGTATAACTGACTGTAACCTACCTACACAGTGCATCTAACGTGTGTGGGAGCCTGGAGTGTCCCTTTAATAATATAAACCCACCCAGTATAACTAACAGTAACCTAACCTACACAGTGCACCTAACGTGGGTGGGAGCCTGGAGTGTCCCTTTAATAATATAAACCCACCCAGTATAACTGTAATCTAACCTACACAGTGCATCTAACGTGTGTGGGAGCCTGGAGTGTCCCTTTAATAATATAAACCCACCCAGTATAACTAACTGTAACCTACCTACACAGTGCATCTAACGTGTGTGGGAAAAACGTAATTATATACATAAGGGGTGATGGACTCCATCTCTAGATCTAAGAAGAGAGCTAAAAAAGGTAAAGGTCTATAACCACAATAGATATATATCGAGCAGCAATGACCACTAGGATCCAATCCAAATATGAGAGTATTGTGGATCTTATCTTTAAGGTCAAAGAGAGAGAGAGAACGACTAGAATACAGAATATGTCTGTATCTGTCTAGTTACCGACTAGAATATCAAATACTGAAACAGTATCAATAGAGTGTTAACTAAAATATGAAGACAGAAACAAAGTATCTCCTCTGGGTAGAAACAAATGGCTTTGGACACTGCTAATGCATGTAGGAAGCTCAATTTGCTACAGGAGATCTGTGATGCTGTCTGCTAACACTACTGGTATACCTGTCTGGTTACCAGCTAGAATATCAAACACTGAAACAATATCAATAAAGTGGTGACTAAATTATCGAAACAGAAACAAAGTATCTCCTCTGTATGAAAATAAATGGCTTGAACACTGCTGATGCATGCAGGAAGCCCGATTTGCTGTAGGAGATCTGAGGTGCTGACTGCTAACACTACTGATATATGGCGGTTTCAGCTGTTCCTGTAAAAGAAAAAATGATTCTACTCTCACAAACTGCTGCTAAACGTAGTGGCTGCTACCAGCTAATGTTACAAATGCTAGATGGTATAAGTCCATGGCCCCCACCCTGTGATCACATCTAGGTGGTAGAAAGTTAAAACAAAGAAAAAGGACCTAACGCACGTTTCGGCGCTCACAAAGCGCCTTTGTCAAAGGTGAATTCGATATGGCTCCTAGCTACATTTAAATATCCCACCTCATCATCCTACAGCCAATCGGATCATAGGGCGTGTTCGTCAATTCGCGCCAAAAAAATGCAGACGGCAGAAGGAAGTCACTCAACTTCTATCACGCCCTGTGGGTGTGAACGGGGGTGGGAGTCTCCAGCCAAGTCATGCTTAACGTTGAGCATGTTGTCATGGAGACAGAACCTCCCGCATTGTGCCGGGCGTTTGTGCCCATCAAGTGCAGTGAAGGAGAGCACATCTGTCCACCGGGAGGAGAAAACCCCCGCTAGTGAAACGTTACCCCTAACACATACGTGTGTAAGATCTAATCCACATGTATGTGATATAAACGTACTAATAAACGATGTGGGGACTCCAAAGGGGTAGGAATAATATGCCTATAAATGAAAGACTAACAATTATGAAGGTATAAAACGCTCTTTCAGACATATTTCTATATATGTCCACTAGAGCTATCCTACAAGTCTAATTTATAGGGAAAAAACCCGAAGGGCGGAAAACCCCTTTACGTTGTGGGGGAGGAGGTTAAGAGAATCCAGGGATAAAAAGTACTGAAATTAACCCCTCACGAGATGGAATGATAGGGGTGGACTAATCCCAGGTGGAATAGGTAGTAGGCATTATATCGAAAAAGCAAATATAAATCTCAAAAAAAAAAAAAACTATTAAAGTGACAGAGAGTAATAAATAGCAATACAACACATATCTAAGTACATAAACTAAGTTCATCATGTTTCAATGAATGGGGTAAAGGTAAACCCCTCATTCAATCCTTTAGGGGCTAGTGTATCTAGCCTGTATATCCAGTAGCATTCCCTTCTTTTGAGGGTCTGATCGAGATCACCCCCTCTCTTGCCTAGTACTACCTTCTCAACTCCTGCAAATTTCATGCAGTTGGGGGTATCAGGATGCTGTGTTCTAATATGTCTGGCAACACTGATACTGAACAAGTTTTGGTTCCAACAAACACTACTTCACAATGTAACAAGGGAATCCTCAAGAAAGGGGTGGCTTTTTTAGGACAGCCCCCCCGAGAGGGGGAAGTGCAAACTCAAAGACAGACCCGCTACCGAGGAAGAGCACGCAGACGGTATTAGTTGACGATTTGAGAGTAGTCAACTTGTCAGATACCACTCTCACCCCTATACAAACCAAGGTATTAATGAGAGGATTATCTTTTGTCCCGACCCCTCCATTCAATCAATTTGACTGGATAAAGGACATAAACTTGTTCGGGAGGAAATTAGCCCTACATAAATACTTCAAACTTAAAGATGACGAAAGAGCTAAAGAACTGGGATTTAATCCCAGAGAATACCAATGTCTGCAGGATCTGGTGTCTCTGTTGGAAGATAATGACATCATTCCCACAGCACCCTATACAGATCTCTGTATAAAAAGTAAATTTACCCCCAACTTTAGAGAGTTTAATAATATTTACACCTTTATAGACTCCACCACAAACATAATCAAAACCATAAATACAGACATGCTGACAGTTAAACCTATGGAGAATTTACCAAAGAAAGAATGGAGGGCATTATGTGAACTTAGGGACAATGATAAAATTATCATTAAGCCCGCCGACAAAGGCGGCAACATTGTCCTTTTAAACAGACAACACTATGTACAGATGGTGGAAGCTATCCTACTAGATGAAAACACCTATAAATTACTAACCATAGACCCATCCCAGAAATATCAAAGGGAGTATAAGACCCTGTTGGATCAAGCTTTTGATCAGGGGGTGTTATCAAAGGAGGAATATTCAGGTATTTACATTAAAAATCCAACTATCTCCACGTTCTACTGTCTCCCCAAAATACACAAGAAACAAGCAAACCTGACAGCGAGACCAATTGTATCAGGTACAAAGAATTTCACAAGCAAAGGGAGCATGTATGTGGATAGGATTTTACGCCCATTTGTAAAAAGTTTGCCATCATATTTGAAGGATACCAAAGACACTCTAAAATGTGTAACATCACTTAAGGTACCTATGGGAGCAGTACTCTGTAGTCTGGACGTTGAAGCCTTATACTCCTCCATACCACACTCAAGTGGGCTGGAGCACATCAAATACTTCCTTAGGAAAAGGGGTGTCGAACATAATATACACACAATGTTTGTGTTAGATCTACTGAGGTTCATTTTGACACATAATTTTTTTCTTTTTCAGAACAAGTACTATCACCAGGTGCAGGGAACAACGATGGGGACATCTTGTGCCCCATCCTATGCTAACCTGCACCTGGGATGGTGGGAAAGAAAGATTGTGTTTTCAGAGCAATACTCAAAATTTACGGACTTCATATTTCTATGGAAGAGATACATAGATGACGTCCTAATCATCTGGACGGGTACTCAAACTCACTTTAAAACTTTAGTGGAAACACTCAATATGAATGATCTCAATCTTAGATTCACCATGGAATATGGTGATCAGGAAGTTAACTTCCTCGATTGCACACTTAGGATAACTAAGGATGGTGAGATAGAGACAACTTTGTATCGCAAATCTACGTCCACAAACAATCTGTTGAGATGGGAAAGCCACCATCCCACTCCTCTAAAGAGAGGAATTCCGGTGGGTCAATACCTTAGATTAAGAAGGAACTGTTCATCTACTGAGGACTTCAAACATAGAGCTACTGAATTAAGACAGAGATTCAAACAGAGAGGTTACCCGATTAGATGTCTAAAACAAGCCTACCAGAGAGCTTTAAACTGTAATCGGGGGGAACTGTTACAAGATAAACCTGTCTTAGAATCAAAAAAACTCATTAGGTGTATAGCCAACTACGATGCGGGTTGGATTAAAATGAGAAATGTGATTGGCCACTTTTGGCCATTACTAACACAAGACCTCCACCTTAAAGACGTTATCCCACCGAAAGTATCCATTACCGCCAGAAGAGGCAGGAACATGAAAGAAATACTTGTACCCAGCCATTTCTCTGGCCCCAAAAAATCAAATACCACTTGGATGAATATAT